AAAGAAAAAGAGACAAAAGTATTTTAACCATATGAGGCTTTTATTAAATGTTCTGCCAGTTTATAGAACAGACAGCGAACTGCTGGAATCCTTAGCGTGGTGTATATCTCCGGCTGACTGTGTACGGGCAATCTCTTCAATCTGACGCCTTATCGAACAACAGACACCGACACACAGACGCAAGGTGTAATATCGTTTTCATCAAAAGGTTCCGCCGGATAAAACAAAGCCAAGGCTCCGTTCATTACACCCGTACACAACAATGACGGAAGCAACATGGCTCCTTGTCGTCACCCTATGGTTTCAGTAGCGGGAGTACAAAGACATGCATCTTTATCAAGATTGTGATTATTACATCCGAAACAATAACAGAAGAAGCTGCCCCTCCCCGGGGATGAGACGGCCCATGGGTTGGGAATTCACTGAGTAAGGTACCGGGGCTGTTTTGGGGGTCGGTTGGTCAACACTCCCCTGGGGACTCATGCTGACTGAACCTGAAAGAGGAATTGGTTTAGAGATAAGGGTTGATAAGGATTGGGCGATAAGCATGATCGCTTGCTAACGATTTCATTGATATGTCGTTGTGTGCTTCATTAGACATAATTATGTCCTTGACATAACCTGCCCCCATCACTTGACCTTTGATCTGGCGGAACAGCGCACTCCCCAGTGAGAGTGGAGCTACTGGTTGATGTACAGGTTACATGGTGGAGTTACACATTCCCATTAATACACCTAATGATGACAGTGTACGCATTAAGTGTAAGCCTTCACAGGGAACTAATTTGATTTTGAAAGAAAGCGGATGCGTTTTCAAGTGTATGTAATTCATAGGTCATCCTTTACTTTAAATTAAATGTTTTGTTTGTTTGGTATATTTTGTTTGGCATGTTATTTCATTTTTAGACGTAGTGAGTGGGTGGAAAGAAGGCGAGGGTCATCTCCATATCAAGATTTCATGTTTAGACTTGTATATCCTTATAATTGTCGAAGGCTTTGGAAACATTTTTCAATGTATGACTTAACAATATGTTACATGTGTTTCCGGTACCCACCCCCGTCTTCAGCGGGGACACCGTCAACATCCGGCAACTAGTCCTCAAGTAATTCTATACAAATAAGAATGATGTCGTTAAGTTCTATGTTCGATGAACCGGAATTATAGATCCTGAGGATGAGAAAAAGAAAATCTTTTGGAATATAACCCAGTGTTGGGACAATCTGTCGTCAGTAACATCTGTTTAATGAGCCCCTTCATTATGATATCACCTTCCAGACAGATTATGATATCACCCTTCCAGGCAGATTATGATATTACCTTCCAGGCAGATTGTCCAAATAGTTTTAATCATACGTTAATGGTCTTCATTGAAAAACAAAATGGTGATCAATTACAATTGTGGGTTAACAGCGTCCGTCGATGGGCAAGAAGCGCAGTTCTCTTGAAATGATTGAACTGTTTCTGTGTGTTTTCCTGAAACAATTCTTCATATGTTCTTGTAAATTTTGAATGCATTCTGTTACCAGTTTCTTTTTCTCATTTATTTTGTTTCCTTTCTTCATATTTCAGTGTATTTTGTTTCCTGGCAATTTGTTATGATTCGCTAGTTATGTTGCTTCAATTCTCCAGGCATCCTCAAACCCCTCATCATGTTTTAATAGTTATTTTACCTTTCATTTTCATTCTACTACTACTGTATTTATTTAATGATATATTTATTTGGCTTAAACATATGTCTATTCTTGAAAATAAATTGGGATTGGTGAACAAGCATTACTGCTTATGTTAGCACCGCTCCCATACAAATTATAATACAAAATGAAATGAAGGATGTGACGTCATCGATATTGACTATTATATAAAAAAGTATTTGCATACATATTACATCAAATACAAATATTTGTTTAAATAATCCATCATTCATGTTTTGTTTTACAATTCTTTATCTATCCTCTAACCATTCATTGTACTGAGCACCCGGTTATGTTTTTTCAATCCACCCTTCAAACATTCTCTACTCATTTTGATTCAACTGTGATGCCATTCTGAATTCATTTTGATATCATTCTTTAAGAATTTTGACATTGTCCTTCATATATTTTTTGCAATTGTTTTGATTCTGTATTCAGTGTGTTCCTACTAATGTACTGTTTCAGTGAAATATTTTTCTACCATTCTATCATCTGTTACAATTATTAAACTTGTTACCTTTTATGGTATTGTTTAGTAAATAGAACAGTAACATAATACAGTATTCATTTAATACATTTGTTCGTTTTGTTATGTCTTTATGTATTCTGTTTATTGTTTATTTACTTGTCTTGTTAGCAGTTTTCACACATTTTGTTATTAGTTTTCATTTATATATTTTAGTTCTACCATTGTTTATTCATTCTGACGCTACTCTTCGTATATATAAGGGGCGGTGGGTAGCCTAGTGGTTAAAGCGTTCGCTCGTCACACCGAAGGCCCGGGTTCAATTCCTCACATGGGTACAAATTACAATGTGTAAAACAAATTTCACTCGTATTGGAAACAATAATGATTTATTTACCGTCTCTCTATTTTCAAGTATTTACTTTTATGTATATGTTTGTTACAGCTTCTGTTATCTTGGCACCATTCTTCGTGTATTCTGCGCATTTATTATGTTACTATTATACACATATGTTACAAGTTCGAATCTCGTTTTACCTTTCTTAGTTTGTTTTAACATATTTATTTATTCTGGTACCTCTCTTTTGTTACCAATCTTGATCTCTGGCATTGCAATCTTTTTCTAATACAACTCTTCGATTCCGGTAATAATTCGTTATTTCTTATTCGTGTATAGTATATAGTACTATAACATATTTTGGCACCATTTGTCTGTCTGTCATTTTGCTGCTTCTCCTATTTCTTCGTGTGTTTCATTTTTCACTTACTTTGTTCCATTGTTATCCACCGCAACAGCCAAGTTGCGAGGTTGCGGGAGATATTGATGACTTTGTTTTCTTGTTCATTTTATTATCAAATTCTATCAAGATACCAGTCTATAAACATGTTTCCCATTTACATTTTTTGTCACCTCTCTTCATATGATCCGTTAGCATTCTTCAGTTATTCCATACCATACACATCGATCACTGGGAGGAGCGATCAACGTCTACGTCTGCAATTAAAGGATGCTTGATGGGGCCGTTATAAAATGTCCTCATCCTGGTCCTAACTAGCTGCCAAGAATACCTTACAAAGTAGTTTTGTCCTAGGGAAGGGAATGTCAAAATATACAAATGTCTGGGGAGTGTCGTAATGATAAATTAAATTCCTGGAGGGAATTCATATTGTTGGAACAGGCACAAGCTATGTTGGGCAGAGAGCTCGCTAACCATGGCACTTGCCCATCGTGAAGCGCTGCTATAGAAGCACGTCTATATATCAGGGTACTTGCCACTCTTATGTTTTACATGTATCTAGGCAAATGTCGATATAGTCCAACACTTACCCTACTATAGACGCTATGAGCGCTGTGGGCACGTCAGTTAGGTGACATATATACTATGAATTAAGTGGGTTACTTTGATTCAGGATGTGGAATACCTAAAATGTAATTAATAACCACTAGTCTAGATGATTCGATAGGCAAGTTCGTATAGGATTATTCCACACATGAATACCCCTGTACAATGTTTCATTCATAATGGAGTGATTACCATGCAATAAATAAAATCCATTTACTGTTAGACTTGGCGTAGTATTATTGCATTGCGTTCGCTTAGTCTGCAAGTCATGCAAAGTTATTTTACTAACGCTTCATTAAATATTTCGCTGGTCGTGTCTTGGTATCTTAGTGTCGATTGATACACTCGCGTTTGTATAACCTTTCATCACATATAGCGCGTGCGGTAAGTCGTGTTCTTTAAAGGCAAAAACTAAGTAGTTTCTGGTCATTGTTGTTGTTGTCATATGCTGAACACGGATGTGGGGCGTGTGTACACGTAAGGGAGATACTTGTGCATCTTCGAGAGTTGTGAAAATCTAGTCAACCCACTGTTTTTCATAAGAAACAAACAACTGACAAGGCGAATGTTAGCAAATAATGAACTCATTAACTGCAGCCTCCCGGGAAATAACACATGTGTATAAAAATATGTGAAGTAGTGGGCAGAGATGACAAGCAATATGACTCGACAACACATAATCTGCTTTAGTTTTCTAGTCCGCTTAGAGCTGTCGATTATTTCGCAGGCAGTCGGGATACAGCTGAACTATATGAACAGTAACTGAAATCAAAGGTGGAATGAAGCTGAAATATACATACAGTGTTTGTTTTTGTTTGATAAAGCCTGAACAGCCAACATCGGTGGGACCGTGCGCACCTGAGAGCACGTAGCTATCCAACAAATATTGCATCTACCTGTTAACGAACTGAAATTAAGTGCGAGCATAAAGGACTATTTGTTTTTGTCCATCTTGTCCATTTGATTGGCAAGTTCTTGAGTAAAGGCAAGATACTTTAATGGATAGCGTATTATTTACTCCATGATAATGCGGCAGTGTTGATCTGGTCACGTAAACTGACAGAAACAGTTCAAATACTCCCACGCGAGCCCACAAGACACAGAGATCAAGGACATCTCATTCCATCATCTGTCTACAGTTGATAAAACAACGGTGCACTCCACCTATCATCTCTAGTTAATCTTATCAGCACGGTAGTATAGTACAGTTTTCGTTTATCATTAGATGTATGTAAGTCTGTGCTGTAGTAATTCACTGTTGCCTGACAACAGTATAAGGATCTAGACTCTTTACCGAAAGGTTGCGTCATAACAGAGTAAAGTAATCTTGTCTTTATTGATTTTAAGCCATTCCAGACGTCATCTGAATCTTACCAGTAAACTAGTTTTGACGTTGTATCAACTCTTGACCGTCAGATTTTGATTCATTTTCCAGCTGAAACCCGAGAGCACTTTTTGACCTGTCACGACACGTGTATAACCACTTCCGGTGTAAACAATCGACTTGGAGATGAGTTGCTGAGTTGTACATGACCGTTGTCGATTTTCTCTCTCATGTGTGATGTCGCTAGTTTAGCCAAAATGCGGCATGCAGACATTTGTAGAAACTACAAGCATCCAACTGTTAGCTGATAAGGGGACCTTGATGACTGAAAATGAAGCTTGTAATATGTTTTTCAGAAGAAAAACCAAAACCCAACTATGGTTTGTTCTCAAACTTGGAGGAATTACTTTTATAATCTACTACGTTCTCCACCTACTCAATATCAGGAACACACTGTCACACTTTCCAGCGGAAGACATCAATATTCATGATCATGGAATCGAAAATGCACTAAGACATTTTAGAGAGTCTGATCCACAGATACCTTTGAAGGACTGTCCAGTTCCTAGACTGACCAATCGTCATGGTAGTCCACGTTCTGGTAACTTTACACCGTCTGCCCACTGCAGGCGAGTGCCACCCGTTAAAGGGTCATGTGACATAGCTGACTCACTGTTCAAGGATCGACCCAAGGGCACCTGTTCACACCAGGACCAAGTACAAATATGTGATTTCCAGGTGAATATAACAAGACAAATATATTTTGTAAACACACGCACAAAAACAATAGATTATGTTATTATTCCATGATATGTCATAACCACAGGCGCCCGACTCTGATATATTTATAAAACATGACTTATATGTTATATATATAGGTCATGTTTTATAAATATATCAGAGTCGGGCGCCTGTGGTCATAACCTTGTTATTAAATGGGAGGCCCTGTAGGCCCATCAGCATGACAGAAGCCATGGATTGTGGGTTTGAATCCAGGTTTGCCCTGACTCATTTTTCTTTAACATGTTTAAAATTGTTAATAATAAACTTCTTTTGAGTGAGTGAATGAGTGAGTTTAGTTTTACGCTGCGTTTAGAAATATTCCAGCAATATCATGGCAGAAGACACCAGAAATGGGCTTCACACATTGTGCCCATGTTGGGAATCAAACCAGGGTCTTCGGTGTGGCGAGCAAACACCTTAACTACTAGGCTACCCCACCACCCCTCACTCACTTGAACAGCTATCAGTAGTGTATGTCGACTCTTCATACAGTGTTATTCAGGTTTTAAGGGCTTCTTAGTGTTTGATTGATGAACCAATGAAACTTTTGGCACTTGGCCATGATGGACCATGAGAAATTAAAAACAATTTCAGTCTGAGTAGATTCAGTGCCACTACTCTTCTGTTGTTAATAGTGAATGTTCACATGTTGACAGGGCAGCCCGAGGAAACTGCTCTGTAAGATGACAAACTGTGATAAGTTTCACCTGGGAACAAGAAGTCTTGATACCGGCGTGTTGAAATGGAGGGAAGTTGCGTCAGCCGAAATGTTACAAAGTGAAATTGTTGACCTACTTCAGACGTCCCACAGCGGCTACTGCTACATTCGCTGTGAACGGCGGACAAGGAGCTGAACGTGGAGTATCCCGACTTCGTGCAACAGTCCAGTGACATGCAGAACGTGCAGCTACTTATTCTGCCCCCTGTAGTCCAAGGCAGCAACAAACACAAAATGGCATCACCTTCTATAAATGTTAACTTCATGTTTATTGATTCTGTTTCAAGACACCATTTTTTTCGATCTCTACCAAAGACTATAAAACTGTTTGACAGACTTAACATTGGAAAGGATGCAGTGGTGTTAGACTTTGAGCTTGTACAGGCGGTGCGGTCAAGAACATTTGAGACATTAAGTAGTTTGTTTCAAGGCTATGTCCCGCAGGGAGATCAGACATTTGGTGTATTGGACATGCCACCAAGAGCCCTCAAAATTGAGGGTTTGTTTGGCTTGTTCAGGGATGCAGGCTATAGTACATTATGGTTGGAAGATCTTTGTTTTGAATGGGAGTGGGGCATCTCTAAAGATCTACTTGTGCATAACAAATCACTAACAACAGTAGAGACATGGAAGAGTTTGAAGAAAGCTTTCAATAAGGCTGGGATTGAATCATTTGGTGTGTCGACAGCAAGCTGTGAGATTCTGTACCAGAATGGAGTCAATGACCACTTCCATGGGCCAGATACTGTCTGCTTCAATGGCCGACATCAACACGAGTATCTTCTAGAGTACTTAAAACTTTACCAGGACATGATGGCTGCCTCAAGTAAACCCTTTGTTACATTCCTAGAAACAAACGTCGGCCATGAGGACACTGGTAGGAGAATACAACAGCTGGATGATCATCTGGGCGAGTACCTGGCATTCATGGCCGACCAGGAGAATACCCCTCACTGTAGTCTTCTCCGACCATGGTAATGCCTATGGAAAGTTTCTGGATGAATCCCCAGAAGGAAGGGTAGAACTCTACCATCCTGCTCTCTTCATGATTGTTCCCACATCAGTTGCAAAACATCTCGGTCGGGACAAAATGGCAGCCTTGACCTTGAATCAGGGCCGTTTGGTCAGCCATCTTGATCTTCACTACACCATTAGATCTCTGATCAGCAGCACAGCCCACATTCCTGAAGTCAACAGACAGTACCTCGTCACCCCCACTGGGCTGTTCCACAACGTGTCGGAATCACGTCAGTGTCTGAACGTTCCACAGATTCCCCCCAACTTTTGTATCTGTGCAGGAGGGGAGTCGCGGGTCAAAAACAACACCTTGTATGTAGTGTACGCACACTTTGCTGTCGGCACCATGAACAACGCCATACAGGCACAGTTCCATCAAGCTCATCCAAGGGTTGTCACTGGATTTGGCAGCTGTCGCAGACTGAGGTTGGCGGCCTTCCAACATGTGAGAAAAGCTGTGCATTCAGTAAGTTCCCTTTTTAAAGCCAGCAGCCATGTGTTTGACTGAATGATTATCCTGATAGAGCCCTTTTCTCACGAAGCAGTCTTAGTGCCAGGAGTATAAGTATTTAAGAATGAGAGTTAGAATCATCCTAATGCTAAGATAACTTTGTGGAACAGGATTTCGAAGCTCTCTTAGCGCTAAGATAGTCGTAAGTTAATGTTAAGGTATGGCACTTACGACTATCTTAGCGTTAAGAGAGTTTCGAAAATCTAGGCCCAGGGCCCTAGCCTCAACTCTGAAATGTTTAAGACATGGTTATGCTATTTGTCAAATTGTTGTTTATATCAATCTTAAGAGATCGATTCTTAAAATGGAACAAATGCAACCTAGAGTTTATTGTCACTTAACACTGAAATGTTGGAATCAGTTTTGATTAAATGGTTGTGGTATTGTTCAAATTGTTTTTGTCTCCTTCAAATTAACATTATGACATCATGGACTTGTTGTCTTCTGTCAGTTAGCTTTGGTATAAATATTTCCAAGCCAGAACACACAAGCTTCGTGATGTAATTATTATTTTGGTTGAACATATTGAAACAATATACCAGGAGACCAACAAGTAGCATTAGAGAATTTGAGAAGTTGGAGATGTGTAAAATTATGTTGTTCATGATTCAGTAGCCAGGCTCCTGTTCAAAAAGCTTTTGGGGATCCAGGGCTGGAATAGGGCCCTGGCAACCTGTGTTTGTCTTAGATGGCGACGAAATGGGTGGTCAGACTCAATAATTTTGTTGATTTTGTATCAATGTAACATGAACAAGATTGCTCAGAATATCAGTCAACAATTTGGTTGATTATTTACTTGTTGTTGACCTTTGACGTTTAGCATGAACAGAAACAAAGTCTGTTTGAGATAATAGTTCAGTTATCTGTTTACAGGACAAGACAGTGTCCCTGACGATGGACTTGTTGTTCGAGACAGGGGATCCGTCCTACCCTCATCATGAAGTCTTCATGGTCTCTGTCCACTCAAACAATGGCCAGTTTGTCCTGAACAAGTTTGACCGCTTATCTCCGTACAGTAAATACTCCGTCTGTGTTGACAAGGGGGTACAGCTGCAGCTGTGTATCTGCGACATAGGCCGCAAGGTGGAAGTGGACAGCCTCATGCCGCTGTCCAATGCTGGCTTGCTACAGAGGCACGACCTACTGATGCATGCCAGCATCGGGAAGGTGAAGGATTCTCAGGACTGCTTGTGTAAGATAAACCAAGAAAATGAAGATGGGCTGACGGTGTCTGTGATGAACGTGTGCACTAACACCAGAATACACGTCTCTGTTACCATGGACACGGTTGATATGGAAGCGTTGACAAGCAAGTCTCCACAGGTGGATCTACACCCTGGGGAAATCAGATTCCTGTTTGCTGGCGTGGCTAAGTCTGGGAAGACGTGGAACTGGTCTTACCAATTACAGTTTACCCTTCACACCTGGCCTTGATCTTCTGTAATTGTTGTACATATTAATGGCAGCTATTTATTGAAATAACTTGGGATGTCTGGTTGTTTCTGATTCAGACGAGTTGATTGGTCAGTTAATGCAGTGTTACTGCTCTATCAATACTGTTCTCGATGTAACTGGATAATGCCATTCACTGTTCAAACTGTCATTGATGTGTAACAATGGAAACCTGGCATCAGGTACTTAATATGATATTCAGTATTTCCAGTTGTGCAGATGTGCCTTTATATTGGTGATTTCAGACATATCGAATTAACATTTAGATTTTTTGGCATTTTTGTGAACAGTTTGTTAGCCTGTCTCAAGAACATTACAAAAGCTTTGTGGACTGGGATTGCTGGAATTATTTCATTTCATGATTTTCAGTCGATGAAGACAAGAAGGGTTATTAACAGTGTTGATGTTATTTTCACCTTGAATGTATTTCTCTCAAGAACCATTAGATATCTTCCTTGTATTTGGGACCTGATGGGCTTTCTTTGTCCCTGCAAAGCTTCATTAACACTCATGAGTCGGTTAACTGTGGAAGTCTTATGTCTTCACATGGTCCCTGGAAGATAATATGGATCAAGGATTGGCCAGTGTGATGCACATGAGGGGCAGCAGTGTTGATCAAACAAACAGCTCGCTTGCTGGCGTCAAGCAGTTAACATTGTTGAAGTTGTTCATTGTTCATATGGACTTAGGGTATTTGTCATTTGCAGGTTTTAGAATAGAATTATACCTGATAAGTAAACAATTTTGGTGAATCGGTTCTCAGGTTTCCACTGATAGTGAATCAGTTCTTATTGATAGTCCACAACACTCATACATAATATACTTCACCTCCCACTCAATACACCTGATATGTATACAGATCGATGCTCATGCTGTTGATTACAGGATTGTCTTGTCAAGACTTGATTGATTACAGACCGCCGCCATATAGCTGGAACATTGCTGAGTGCTGCGTTAAACAACAAACAAACCAATGTTTCATATTTGTAGTCTGATAGATAAATTTATGTTAGTTTAATGCCAGACATTCCTTGCAGTTATGCTTCAAAACAGCATTAATGTTCTGACAGCATCACTGGGTTGACCTGGGACATCTGTGTTGTGACTTTGTCTCATGGGCTCTGGCCCAGAGTTTGTGTCTCTCATAAGCATCACCATCATAAATATGGTTGTCAGTTTGAATATTATCTTAAACTAGATAGTTAGAAGTTAGGTAACCAGTCTGCTGAACAATGTTATCTGTATTCAAATATATACCAGGACTAACAGTCTGCCACAAGTGTGTGTTTTGGATGGTAGATAGCCCGTATAGGACTGACGCCAGCATAGAGGTATGGAGACTAATATGCCTACAGTCTTTGCCTGTAAGTATTCTTCAATATATGAATACATTTTGATGAAGGCAGCTTCAGAGCATGTGGAACACAATGTAATAGTTGAACATGGTTTCAAAATGAAGCTTTGCAAAGAGGATACTGATAACATTGATGTGGTATGAACCACACAAAGACTACTTGTGTGGGGATGTTACATGGAGAACTCCAGGGTAGGAGGCAGTAATGTCAGTGTATGTATTAAGGCCTGTCTGACCGACCGAGGCTGGCTCGATTTCTGACGGACGGTCAAAATTTCCAGCAAGCCAGCTTGATGGTCTGGTAATTTTTTTTAGATGTTCCATACATCTGAGTAAATTCACCATATCTTGGTGGTTATATCCACTTTGGGCTGGTAACATTTTGAAGTTACCAGCCCTGATGTCTGGCTGGATTTTTGGCTTATTTCATACACTGGTAATGTTGTACTTATTTCTATGTATAAACTATGCAGTGGGTTGTTTGTGGGGATGTCGATGGGCGGTTGACCATCTGGGGTATCAGGTCACTGTTTTGGTTTCATGTGATGTTTTTCTAATATATTATTTTATACATATATTTAATATATGCATATATTTTATATGCACAGGCATAATATGAAAATAAAACTTGAAAGATGACTGATTTGTCTGCTGATTAACATGATGTTGACAAGATCTGCGTCTGGATGCTGGTCAACTCCTGCATACGCTGCATTAAAAAACATGAATATGGTTACTTGAAACAAGTGTTTTGATTCGAATGACAAGAAAGTAGGGCAAATTTAATTTGAGAGCCTAGACAAAGACATGTTTGTTTCAATGCATCACAGTCTATTCAAAGACATGCTTGTTTCTACCAAAAGTAGTCCATTCAAAGGCAAGTTTCTTTTTGTTGATTAGAACAAAGTCCTGCATGTATATTTCTACCATTTAGAACTTAGTCAAAGGCATGGTTCTATGGAAGAGAAACAAGTCTAAGGCATGTTTGTTTGAATCCATCACAGCCAAGTAAAAAGCAAATTTGTTCTACTCATTAGAGCCTAGTCATGGGCATACTATTTTCCTGCCAGATGCCAGCCAAAGGAACATGTGCTTCTATCCAACAGAGCCTCGTGAGAAGCAAAATATTTGGTATTGATCAGACAGTGAATTACTGAAGAGGAAGGGATGAAGAGGCCTCAGATAAAGCTGTAACCATGACAACCCAAACACACAACAAACAAATGTCTACAGAGTTTCATGAAACATGTTTATAACTGTACAATACAATGCTGGCAGTGAAGGCAGAAAATAAACAATGGCAACCACGCCACTACAATACATGTACATCTCAATCTCCACGTGGGTCAATCAGATATTGTATACTGTCTTTCACATTGGTCTCTTGGCTACACTTGTGAGTCTTTTTGTTACTGAATCAAGACAGTTAATATTTGTACAAATTATTGTTCAAGAGGATAATTCTGACAATATAAAACTAAATTCACAGCATGTCAATTACACCCAAACATAGTGCTGTCACCTCTGAGTGAGCTAGTCAAGAATATTCCAGTTATACTACTCAAATGACCTGAAAGAACCCAGCTATGACAGCAATGACAAACATGACATGAATCAGCTGTTGTTTAACTTCTTTTGAGTGGTATACTGCACCAGCTCTAATAGCTGCCAGGACACGATTGTTACCATCCAACCCAGTGGGTGGTGGTAACAGTTGCTCCATATTGGAAGGAACAATGCCATGGTGAATGTGAGAGTTTGGTTAACATCGCTCCAGTTCTGCAGTTAGTCATATCACCTGGATGTGGGAAGATGGGCTGGAGTCATGCAGGTGCCTGACGTCTGGAGGAACCAACAAGTATGGGTACAGTGCTGGCAAACCTTGAAACATAATCAGGGTTAAACCACAATTCCAACCAACAATCCTGCTACTGCTGGAGTGGCCAAGGGAGGCAACTTCAACATCACTTTAGATGACTGGGCTCCCCATAGTGACACAGAATGAACCAGCTAAGACCACTGGACTGTCCCTGGGACTCGTTACATTTGGTGATGTGGGGAAGAGGCAGGGGATCAAGGAGCAGAAATACATGAACATTTCAAAATTAAGGAACATTTCAAAACTGACAGTTATTAGAAGATTAAACAGGTTAAAGGTCACATGGAACGCTCAAATCTGACAAGTAACAGCTGTGATGAATTCAACATTTAGCATTTCATAAAAGAGTTATTCCTGGTCCTGCACCAATGTGGTATTTCAATGTGGTCATTCAGCTAGAATAAACCTCATGTTTTTAGCAAATTATAATGCTGAATGTATAAGCTGAAAAAGAGTGTCATCCAATAAAGTAAATCACAAGAATTTGTAATCAAAATAAAGACACAAAATGCTTAACTACCAAACGCTGCTCATATCCACATGAGTATCAATCATGGTTTTTGAAGTCATTCAATTCCTTGTCTTAATCAGAATTTAGATCTCTGTTTGTGTGAAGAACCTCTGTGCAAAGTCTGAAATTAATACAGACTAGTAGATATTTTTAGACCCCTGTGGCTGTTTGGCTGTCCGTGAAATGTCTCGATGTCCACTTGTCTTGAGGGTCAGCCACTTCATCACCTTCCTGGGCAATGTTGCTCCAAGTGACAGGACACTTCCACACAGTAACAGGTTATAGAGAGGGAAGCACATGGGAGGTTGTGGAGGAAAGACATAACACAAAACTAAGATAAGTAACCATGGTAACTACCTGTACAAATTACTATAATACACTTCTCAAACAACTGGAATACAACATGCAGCAGCTGACTATGAAACTAATCACGATGTCTACCAAAACAAATCAGTTTCAGGGGGAAATGTCTCCCAGTATGAAAAGATTAATTAGTGAAATTACATCTGGTATTAACTAATGAAAACTTTTATCTTGAAGTTGAAAACAGACTTCGAACAAAGAGAACACAATGACACAAATAGCTGCACTATAATGTAAACAATTTGCTCTTACACAACAACCTCAACAGTTTCAGTGAGTTGACAGGGATACTTCTCCCCTGATTTCTACTGAAGTAATACAAACATTCAAACACATAAAATAACAGATCTCGGGACACTAACAGACTCACCCAATCTGTGAAGTAACAGAATGACTTATGAATGATTGTTGTGATCGCAATATTTGTATCCAGGTTGCAATAAACATACAAGACTCGGGTAAAAATTCATAAAAACTAAAGTGAAACTTGACAGGGTCTGTGGCACTTTAAAAAATTCAACAGTACACTTTATTTAGGCTATTCTTCACTGAAGAAAAGATTGCAAGATGACTGGCATCTGAGACATTGATAACTGAGTCCCAAACACAAAAGTTTGAGATAATAGCGACGTGATGTGACTTCCCTATCTTAAGTGTGTAGCAATGACACTCATCAAATTGTACAAGGACTTTGCTTGTCTAAACCTAATGGACTGTGCGAACCCTGAAATGAGAGTGAGTGAGTGAATGTAGTTTTAAGCCACTTTTAGCAATATTCCAGCAACATCACAGCTGGGGACACCAGAAATGGGCTTGACACATTGCACCCATGTGGGGAATCGAACCTGGGTCTTGGGCGTGACGCGCGCGAACACTTTAACCACTAGGCTACCCCACCGGCCCTGACATAAGAGTATGGCGACATCGTCAACATAGGTGTATGGCGACTTTACTAACATCAGTGTATGGCGACATCCCTAACATAAGTGTATGGGGACATCCCTAACATAAGCGTAGGGCGACATCCCTAACATAAGTGTATGGGGACATCCCTAACATAAGTGTATGGCGACATCCCTAACATATGTGTATGGGGACTTCCCTAACATAAAAGTATGGCGACATCTCTAACATAAGAGTATGGCAACATCCCTAACCTAAGAGTATTCTGACATCCCCAACATAAGTGATTGGCGACATCCCTAACATAAATGGAAGGCGACATCCCTAATATAAGAGTATGCCAACATCCCCAACATAAGTGTATGCCGACATCCCTAACATAAATGGAAGGCGACATCCCTAACATAAGTGTAAGGAAACATACCTGACATAAGTGAGTGAGTGAGTCTAGTCTTACCACGTTTTTAGCAATATTCCAGCTATATCACCGCTTCACAAAAAAATTGGCTTCACACATTGTACCCATGTGGGGAATCAAACCCAGGTCATCGGCGTGACGAGCGAACGGTTTAAACAACCACCCACCCATCCACCCACGCACACACCCACCCTCCCTAACATAAGGGTATAGCGACAACCCACATTAACATCTGCACATTAGGACATAAAACTTCACTTCTTGACCGAGCTCCTTTTGCATGACGTAACAGTAATAACATTTGTAGACAAAGACAGCAGCTCATAAACACAGGAAACTCACAGTCACTAAGGTCATAATTACTGCATAACAAGATCTCACCATGCAATAAACAGAGAAAGCATGTTCCACGACAAAGACAAGATGTAAAGAATCTGGGTATACTCTGCTGCCACCTGTGTTGAAGAGTGATCTGTCAGTTCTGGATGTGACAAATGGTCATCCTGTGAAATGCCTGGACATACTGACCAGGGCTTGTATAAAGTAGAATTGGTCCAGCTGACTACGTGACATGTCAGTTGCCTTATTTTATGTCAGAACCAAGGAAACATGATAAAATGTTTAGTAAAAATATTTGGTTTCAGCGACAGTCTAAACAATGATGTACGGTTCACATTACTGAACAATAACGGGAGGAGAGTTACACGTCCAGGGGACAAAGAAATGGATTTTCATTATCATTTTCTTACATGTCAATCAAGTCAATACCCATAGACAATTTTCACAAAACTCTTCTTCCATCCAGCTCTTGAAATGAGCAACTTCTCACATACTGCAGATTCGGTTTGAATCCAAAAATCAGAATTAGTAGTCAAACTGAACATCAGAAATAGTACTGTCCAACTTGACACCACTGGTCCTGGGAATAAACAACTCTTGTTCCTTTCTCAAAATGTTTTTTTCATCCTTTAAACAGTATACAGCAAAGCAGTTCCAAACACAGTTTTCAAAAACAAGGATGAATGTGTCCACACTTAGACCTTCAACATTATTCCAACACAATGTTTTCACACTGAAACTGATCAAGACCTCAAGGTCTTTTCACCAAACTGGAATGATTTTTCATACATTTATTTCAAATTTTTTCCCCGTATTTTAAAGTTGCTGTGACAGGAAATCCAATCTCTGCCTGTGAACAGTGAGTCTGGGTCACTGGGTAGATTGTCTGTATCACCTGCCACATCACTAGGTTGTATCTGCCATTTCCACGTCCTGATGAGGCTATAGCTTTACCTATCTATCTATGTACACAATGTCCCCGAACAAGTCCTCCTGTCTCTCCACCAGGTACCTGCAACACAATGCTACAGCTGTGAGAGGTAGAACAGTAAACTGATGAGGCTATAGCTGTACCTATCTATCTATGTACACAATGTCCCCGAACAAGTCCTCCTGTCTCTCCACCAGGTACCTGCAACACAAGGCTACAACTGTGTGAAGCCCATTTCTGGTGTCCCCTGCCGTGATATAGCTGGAATATTGCTGAAAACATGGTAAAACTAGACTCACTCACTCACTTATGTCAGGTATGCTTCCTTACACTTATGTTAGTGTTAGGGATGTCGACTTAAACTAAGTGAGTGAGTGAGTATAGTTTTAAGCCGCCTTTAAGCAATATTCCAGCATAACATGAGGGACACCAGAAATGGGCTTCACACATTGCACCCATGTGGGGAATCGAGCCCAGGCCTTTGGCATTCGAGTGATCGCCTTAAGCACTAGGACTGACCTACCATTCCTTCTGGTGCTAGTCCAGGACAAGCATCTGTGACCTTCCACACGACATTATCATGTTCAAGGACAAGACATACACATTTGATAAAGTTCTAACGGCATGCCACTAGTATTACTCAGTAGAGTTGGGTAGTGAGTGAGTGACTCACCTGAGAAGATGGTGGATGAGCTTCATCAAAGTTCTCATCTTGCAGTCCTCCATGTCCATCTTGTTCAGAATCTCTGGCAACTTCACTAAAACCCAGAAATCACCAGTATTAACACTTACTGCTGCGCACTAATGACTAACTGTCGCTAACACATATACTGAATGTTACCTGTGTTAAAGTCATCTCACCTGTCAACTAACTAATTGCCATTTAGTCCAGAAATCAGTGACACAACCCATCAAACTCAGCTATGGTGTCACTGGCTATATTTAACACATGGTATAAATCACCCAGGTTTCCTAGGTTGTAACCAACTGCTTCCATCCCTCTTTACAGAAAGAATTATTGTTGTGAAAATAATCGACTTCTTGGAAATGTTCTTCATAAGAATGGTGACACTTACGAGTTCACCTTCTCATCACTGTATCTTTGTGTCTTTAAAACAATTTACTATTTAAGAAACATTACAAACTTGTAACCAGCAGTTACATTGCTACAACTGAGTGAAGAATAATTTACTTTAGACTTTGCAACATTTGACATGAGGGTCTGCAAATAATATAGTCTTAACCACCACAACCAGAGATACTGGTTGATTTTCAAAACACACTATTATAAAAACGGAAATTAGAAATTCTAGGCAAGTCATTACTTGTAAAAACATCATCAAACCACTAGTCCTTGAACAATTTTTTTCATAACCACCTACCAAAAAGTCTGAGAAAATGGTTAACACCATATATCTGTGAAGGTGTGATATCATATTTGGACCGGGAATCCACCGGAAATAGTTGCCATGACAACACACTTTCTAGAAAGTCCTCCTTCCTGTAACCGTGTTCCGATGCTCCATCCTTGCTGCCACTGCAGCTTCCTGGGACAGGGGGATTCCCCGCTGGGGGAGGGGCGGAGTCAGAACCACCCATGTCACTGTCACTTAAAGGTTCAGACTTCACAACATGAGAAGAAGAGTGACCGCCTCCTCTTCCCCGTCCCCTCCAGCCCCTCTTCCTCTCATGCTTGACGGTGGACGAGATAGTGGGTGAGGATGGAGCATCATCGTGAGTGACAGATCTTCGTGTGATTCTTCGTGGTGACAGTTCCACATTATCAAACTCTTCTGAATGTTTACTTTGTTTCGGTGCTCCTTTTTGGTTTTTGGCTGCAGGTTCTTCCGTGACGGCAGATGAAGTTGAACTGGTTGGCCTGGGGAAACAAAAAAATGTTACAAATTCGGTAAGACTTCCACCTGTATCCCCCCTTAATTTTAACAATGAGGAAAAAATTCTTTGAGTGGCATTTTTAGAAGTTGGATATATGTTCAGATACAATTAAAGAAACATGTTAAATCTGATCAGATGAGGAATATATATTCAGGTGATATGATTTGACCAGAATGAAATTTAATAGGGGATACGGGCGGAAGTCTTTCCACAAATTCATCTCCAACTTACAATACGATATCATCTCTCTGTGCTTATAATATTGCTGTAGGATTTTAAGGGTAAGGTTCTTTCGTACAATGGCACCCGAAGATGCTCATGTCGATGTGCTGTGGTATGATAACACTTGTAAAAGCTTGTCACCATGGCAACAGTCATCAGAACAAATCAGAAAGGGAGACCTCAAAAACTGAAAGTCTCAAGGGGAGGGTCATACAAAAATAGTACATATATCTGCAAAGGTCATGAAAAAATGGACGTTTCATAACAAAATTTACACAATTTTGCAGTTTGTCTATTCATGTGCACAGCGACATGGAGGATAATCCAAAAGAAATGACATGCATTTAAGGATTATTATTATTTTCAACACATTAGAGCATCAGAAACCTCCAAAAAAAAAAAAACAGTCCATAGCTATTATGAAGATCACTGTGATTCTAATCTGAGAAAAGTGAAAAGTGAAAAGCAGTACCCTCCAACCCTGTAACCCAGGTTGAAAACATAGACATATCTTCGTCTGGTGCATCACTTACTTTTCTTCCTTCTTACTCTCCGGAGGTTTGATGGTGCTCATGACATGGTCGTACTGCTCACGTTCCACGTCATACAGCAAGATGATAGGGATGGTGAAGTCAAAGCAGATCCTCAGCCCATCCACAAGCTCCTTACACAGTGCAATGCTGCAGAGTAAAGATATATTACTGTTAGACATGGTGTACTTACAGACAAATTCTCCTTACACAAGGCGATGCTGATGATATAAGATACATATCCAAGCAGTAATTTAGATATATAGGTTGTAATATAAAAGCGGTAGCTTGTATAAGGACTAGAGGAATCCACCCAACAGTTTGGTAGGGCGAAAATGGAGAGAGTGACAGGCAGCCTGTGGTCACGTGGGACGATGGCGTAAGAAGGGGAGAGGCTCATTTGGGGTGAGCTATATTTAGACTGTCCATTAGGGAACAATAGGACAGAGGTTCCCACTGTACCTCGGAAGAAAAGGGGAGATAGGAAATAAGGTATGTGTCAGGATAAGGAAAAGTTATAACTGATTGTCAAGGTGTTACTCCTAAAAGTTAAATACAGACATGTAAATTAGTTTCAGCAATAGTTGTGTTATAATTGATCCAGTGTGTCCAACATAAAGATGGGGACATGATCCTGATCCTAACACTATCAGACTAAGGACAACTCTACTGCAAGCACAGTTAACCCAACAGATTTACATGTACCTGATGGCTGGTGGACACAGCATGGTGTGTTCATGGCCGTTGTTGTTGTTGTTGCGACGACTCTCTTTCTCCTTCTCACTGGGTTCACACAGCAGGTTGACACAGAACGTCTTCATGAAGCCCTCCAACACTTCGATGACACACGGACTCGCCGGCAGCTTCGTCAGCTGCAACATACAACTCACTCATTACACAGTCACACAAGTGAGAGCCATTCACTGAACTTCCTGCTTTATATTCTTGAGTGCAATGTTTCGATACAGATCTTGTACCGATGTCAAGCAGGAAACGTCGCACTCACAAATAAAAGAAGTTGTTATCCATAAAGTTTGTTCTATATTGTACTTTGCAATTGTGTTTGTGTGAATGGTCATATTTCACTCAGAGACACATAAATGTGTGATTATTCTATGTTAATATCCACAGTTCTCTGAAATATTGGGTTTAAATCTTTCTAATAATGCCACTCAAAGAAGTTACAATTGCAAAGCTTCCACAATATTTCACATTGGACAGCTGCATAATTCCTGAAGTGTTTAGTAATGAGGAAACTGTAACTGTATCCTGAGATGTTGTCATTCATAGACTGATGAATGGTTGCAAATTTGATATTGAAAATAATAAACACACACATCTTTTGGGGGAATTAAACACCTGTCAACATAAAAACATATCCCACTTGCTCTACGGGTGCCTACCTTGTCCCCATGGATAATGGCCACATAGTCATCCTCCAGTTGACTCTTCAATATGTCCGGGATATCTATGTCCACTGGTGTGTGAGTAGCCTGCAAACAAAGCAGACCACCGATAGATGCATGTCAGTGTTGTTTTCTTAACAGCTTTCAGCAATGCCTGAAGTTTGTTTATTTCATCAAACCAGCTCATCCAGATCAGCTGTGACATGTAACTTTCGAAAGGTCGAATAAAATCAGGGCTAACTTATGTCATCAGGCAGCATGACCTCAGTAATATATGGGCTTAGAACATTTGAAACGTGTTATGTTTTTTCTTTGCTTATTGTTTAAAGCCATACACAACAATATTCCAGCTAAATACCGACAGCCTGGAAATAACAGTCGGGAACAGGTCTTCATTATTTATTACAGTCCGTAATGATTAACTCCATTTGATGGCCTCTTATGACAACATAGGCTGCTGAGGACTAAGTTCAAGAAACCCATGGGAGTATGACTGACTGACTGAGTTTAGTTTTAAGCTGCTTTTAGCAATATTCCAGCAATATCACGGCGGGGGACACCAGAAATGAGCTTAACACATTGTGCCCATGTGGGGAATCGAACCCAGGTCTTCAGCGTGACGAGCCAACGCTTTAACCACTAGGCTACCCCACCGCCCCCATGGGAGTATGAAGAGTGTTCATGTTAACTGAAGAATTGATCATAACCTACCCTGCGACGCTCTCGTGTTTCACTGGCCGTATCATTGGAACTCTGGAAAATACAGGGACACATACTTACATAATGTTGTGACATAGAAATTATACCTTCCATTCAGTAATAGGTTTATAGAAACATCCTTCAAGCAAGATTAAGGTCATCCTGTGATGTTAACACTGTCAACCCAATCATCACACTGGACATCGGTAACGTCACATCAATACCTTTTGGTTGATCATCGAACAATGGGTAAGGACTACAAACACTAAGCATCCACAGGCCTTTATGCAAAGTTAGCTATGTAGTATTTTGAGTGTATGAATTATCAATAACTTTTAGCACTGTCATCATGCAAGTACTAAACCAGTTTTAAACAGTGGGAATGCAAGCAGATTATCAGCACAATTTGTTCTGATATCAGCCAAACATGAAACAGGGATAAACATGGAGAAAACAACTCTTACATCATCACCAGACGATCTCCCATCATCGTCACCATCTTCCCCATCATTGTCATCATCATCTCCACTGTTGTCGCTGTCGTCAGTATCGCTGTCCAGGATGGGGATCTTTCCTCGGAATGAGGAACTTAAGATGTCATCTATCTTCCTGCGGCGCTGACTGTTTTTACGACTGCCAGAAAAAGTGCTAAAATACTTACTTTGACATTTATTCTATGTATAATTCTTGGTGGAACAATGTATATGCAAATATCTCTGACCTTCTGTGAAATACATACAGCTTAGAAGTTTTTAACACAACTACTTGTTGATGAAGAAAGAATCTTTCAAAGTACTAGATTTCCAACAAATCTACAAAACAGATGCCAAGAATGGATTTCTTTTTTACATCATTGGACATATTCCTTTAAAGATGTTTCTTTTCCAATCTTAACATCAGTTATATACCACGTTTACTGGGAACACCATCACTGTCTCTAACTATATGACAGCTGGTATAAAGAAGAATCATAAAGAAGAAATCTCACTATCTCTTAGCTGTGTCTGCAAGTTTCTTCATCAAGGTTCTATTTTCTTCTGTGTTTTTTAGAATGTAGTTTTCCCCAACAATGCGATCCCAGCTGAAAACAGGGGAAAAAATAATAGTGGAAATCAAAGTAACATTCACTTCCATATACTGCATTAGAAACACTTGTATTTCTTTTACCTCACATGTAGACAGTAATAAGTGAAGACAGATCAATTGACATGTTAGAAATACATTCCATGCAGCCAGATTAAATGTTACTCTGAAACATATTGATATAACATGCACAGAAACTATCAGCGCCTTAAACATGTTGAAGCAAAGCAAGCAAAATGTTGGCGCATATCCTAGCTGTCCAGAACTATATCAGTTGAAAATATTTACAGGAACACAATTTGGAGTCATGTCTTTGGTCTTATGAAATACCTGCTATTCCATCCTTGAAAATGAATGTGGTAGGCAGCAATTCTGTGGCCATGTTTGTCCTTGGTCACCTGACAATCTAACACCTGTGAATGTAAAGAAAAACATAAAGACCTTTCAAAACTATTTTTCAGTTATAGGATACTCTGTCTGCCTTTCCGTCCCCTTCCATTAACATGCTATCTGATTAGTAACTTAACAAGGTAACACTCTCCACAACAACCATCTGCAATGTTCGAAATAACACGTGAAAGACAAGGAGGCCTAATCACTAGCATTATTCTTGTGTTAGACTTTTGAACACTTCAAAAACAGACCAGAAGGGAGTCACATAATGCTGATGCTGATCTGCTCAAAAGTCATGTTAAATGACACAACCAGCAACAGTCTATCTCTTACCCGAATGATAAGGTTTTGGAGGTAACAGCAACATCTGAACTGCTTTTAGCACAACTTCCAATGACGAAATGTTTCAGGCTTTGGACTTGTGGCTATAGTCCCAGATTTTGTTTATGTGAATGCTTAGATGAGCCAAATTTAGAATAAAGAATGGTTGCCAAGAATGAATCCAATGATGTCATTCCACAGTGAACAAACAGTGTGCTTATTCAGTTCTTTGACTCTGGACATTGAAGGTTTTCTTCAGTTTCTAGATCAGAACTGTCATAGTACTGTATGAAAGGCAGTCCAGTGTGTTATGTCAAAATCAAGTATAATCAGTGACATAGAGATAGTATCCTTTCACTCCACCGTGCAGTCAGACGAGCCGAAACTAAAACATGGACTGGGTTCTGGTTGGGGAGTATGAGTCGTCGTACTGTTTTGTATTCCGAATCTAGTCAGGGTACATTTCTGTTTACTGAAACGTACCTGTGGTACGTATCTGTTGCACCAATGTCAACAATGACACCTCCAGCCAATCTGCGGGATATTTGAAACGCTAGAAATCCTTTCAAATTTACAACTTCACCTAAACTCAATACGAACTGCTAAAATAGCTGTAGAAACAAAAGCATAAACGTGAATAATCAAGATGTTTGATGAGCTATTGCCTAGAAAATTTAAATGATCGCTTGAAACTGATTTCTTCTCGAATAACGTGCAGACGAGACGCTGGCGAAGTTGTCTTGTGTTGACAGATGAAATGAACTAAATACCTTTGCATCATACAAAACTCTTGCTTTCGTCGGATCTGGTTCAAAACAAAGAACTAACTCCCCTACTGAAAAATTAAATCTAATGCCCCTCGTAGACATCTGCGCGCATGAGTTATTTATTAGTACCCGTCATTAGAATTTACAAACAAAAGTGGACGCGCCAAAACATGGATCAATTGTCGCAAAAACAAATAATCGCTTATTTCTGCAAAAGGTGATAAATTGATTACTAATTCATAGTCGGTTAACATGATGCACCATATTATATGTCACATACATATATCACTAAAATACAAAATTGGAGTATCCTGTCTTTTGTTAAGGTCGCAAAAAGGAAATGATGTGATTTTCAGCTGGGAGCATATAAATTGCCACTCGGATATTCTACTGGAAAATGAATATCTTGGCCAATGCTAGCGACTTTGAACTATTCAGCATGCAGTGTTTGTCTGAAATAATTCGAACAGAAATTAACCAAATTTATACAAAAGGTGAAACCCAATTACAAACACAACATGACACGAAGAATGTCAGTGTAAACGCTAGTGAATCGTATTAGATTACAACACTCAGTACTGCGCCACTGTCTGATTTGGCAAACTACTAGTATCTTCCGGACGAACGATTCGATTATGATATATTTTTCGGTTATATCATTATGACAAAAGGTGTTGGCCATTTTTAGAAATAGGTCTTGTGGTCACCCAAATGTAATTTCAGTTCAGTTTTCTTTATTTCCGAAATTACGCCATCGGCCCATGTTACAATTACAAGAAAACAGCATTAACAATATTTGAGCATATCATGATTTTGATCATTCAAATATTTCGCGCGTTTCTTCAAACCAAGAAATATGCATTTGACAAGGCAGTTGTTACATGAATAATAAATTCTGTGACATTTTCACAGGAATATTCAGGTAATATTACACATCTTAACTTATCATAAAATGGGCATTCAAACATAAAATGATATTTAGTTTCCTGTCTTGTTGTAGGTTTTGCGTCTACCTTCTTCAATCATTCCTCGCTGATTACTACATCTATATATACACAAAGTTATTGCATATATTTTCACCTTCATATGATTAAAAAAAAGATAAATTTGATAGTACGATGAAATTTTACATTGGAATATTTTTGGTAAATCTTCTATCCATCTTTGACTATCAATATCAATACACTCCAATATTGAAAACACTTAATTGTAGGAATTGATTCAACAATCTGTTGTATCCACACATCTACACAGCCACACTGATATAGCAGCAGTCTATACCTTTTTCTGCCGACTTGCATTGATAACAATATACATGGTTAAGTCAATTAAGGTGGCGATTTAGTAATCGCAACCAATTATATTACTGTATATATTTACTCTCAAAGAAAACCGTAATATTTCGACAAAAGCCCAACCAGGTGCATACATTCTATATGACGTTTATTATGAACTTATTCAATATTAGGTGCAGGGCAGAATCCCCGATATTTCTGGTGTCCCTCGCCGTGATATTGCGTAAAACCCAACTCACTCACTCAGAATCCCCGAACTTCCCCACAATATAACAATACAGGAAGAACTTATGAAACATATACTGGCAAATTATGAAAGTTAGATACTTTATTCGCTTGTCGCAAGAAAACTCTTAGTGTCTGCTCCATAACTTGTAAAGTGTACATATAAGTATTTATATGAAGATACAATTTCTAGAACATCATTGTCTAAATTAGATTGTTCATATTTCTCCAATCTTCCAACTAATACCTATTCACAATAACTTTAGTATTATTGATATTAAGTTTCACTTGCCACTTGTCATAATAATGTGTTAACTTATTCATTCGCTTTTGCAACCCATTCACCGCACTATCAAACAACAATTTAGTCAACAAACAGTAAGATGAATAAATCACGTAAATCAATGTTAATACAACGTTGGTCATCATCAGATGAGACATCAACAATATCGTTAATAGGAGGAAAACAAGAATGGCGATAACTGGCATCCACGTCGGACTACGAACTTGCAAGCTACCCAAATAATAAATAATAGTTATCAAATATCAAATTGTGCATCTCCATCACATAAAAACAACAACAACAACAAAACAGAACGATAGTTAAGGAAATCCGAGTGTTAAGTAAAAGAAATTCAGGTCGCGGAACTGGACGACAAATGAGTAATGGAAGATGATATATAATAAGGAATACGGTTAACGAATGTATGTGCGTGCCGAAAATACTGGCACACGTAAACTTTTTTTGTCACAGAATTCCATTCTATCTGCATTTACGGGACCCGTAAGCTGTGCATTGTGTTGATAAGTTATACCGTAACGACAAATTTTGCATAATGTTTAATACTTGTTCTGTTACATGCTTGGCACATTACATTCTGCGAATACACAATGCTAATTACTAAGTTTTCGAAGTGTTCAAATGTTACATTATATTCTGATAGTAATCGTTAATAATAGTTACCAGCAAGAGTAGATTAGAGATTCTGTTGCTCGTAGGTACTTTATAATCATTTGTGACGTGTGTATGTATGTAAGCTTCAATTTCTTTTACATGTTTAGTACATTATTATGTGTGTATTTTAAAGAGATTCTGTTGCTCTTAGGTACTTTATAATCATTTGTGACGTGTGTATGTAAGCTCCAGTTTCTTATACATGTTTAGTACATTATTATGTGTGTATTTTAATGTAACACCGGCACACCTACATACAGGGATTCCGGGTTACAATCAGTCCTTGCAGGAGGACCGCATGGGTCGGTGGGTGGGTCTGGCTCGGGGACTTCACTGTCCCCTCTCCGTCAGGGTTACAGTTAGACACCACGACCACGGGCTCCAGTCCAAGATTGTCCCATGTCGTCCTTGATTTGTTGGTGCCATACGTAATCGTGGGTTTCAACAATGTGGTGTTTTGTTAGTGGCGATATTGTTTTGAATATTTAATGTTGTAGACAGAGTTTAAAAGGATGGAAAGTAGATCGACACGACATAAAAATGTCCGTGGTTCGAATCCCTACACGAGACTCGGAGACATGACACAACGTTTTGAAAACGTGAATGATATATAACTGTATACAGTGTATCAGAGTTTTCACTGCGAGTCAACATCGGTTCTTGTGGGATTCACCACAGTGTTTACGTCTAGAACCTGGATCCTGCTCCACAAAGTGCTATTAGCGATACGACAACCCTTAGTCAATGCTAAATTAAGGGAGTTTCAACTTGAGTTTCGTCTTAGCGCGGAGACCCTCATGAATAAGAGAGCCCTTTCCTCCAGCAAGTAGCCGACATGTTCGCTGTGAGAAGTACTGGTCAAAGCGGCACAAAGTCGACCACACCCTTCTAAGCTTGATGTTTGTAATACTTTACGGCTTTGGTCTCTAAAAGACCCAATGGCAATAAAACTATTTTTAGTTATTATTTCGTATTAAATTGCCAGTGCGTAGATCGTTCTGAATCATTATCTGTAAACCGAGGCTTATTCATTTTTGGTCCGCAACGCACGCACGCACGCACACACACACACTTTCTAGTATCTAACAAACGCCAAGATCTACAGAAATACATCTAAACCAAACTTGACACGAAACGGTTGATCACGCTCTACTTCCCAACAATGTATTCACGAAACGAGAATCAAAGACTAACTGGTGGATACCTGAAGTCTTTATTCAGTGTAATGGTGGCTTCCGTAGCCATTGGTGACCACTCGTGTCAAAAGCCAGGACACTCCAGGTGTCTTCTTGCAGGTTACGATTAGGAACGAGTTGTGACCTATCTCAGAAAAACACTTGGGCCACGTTCCTCAAAACGATCGTAACGCTACGACAGTCGTAAGTTTATGTTAAAGTATGGGAGTTACGATCATCTTAGCGCTACGATCGCTTTGAGGCATGGGGCCCATTTTTTTAGGCACGTCCAAAAGAGGATCTGTAAGGTGAACTGTACGGCGACCTGTCAGGTGAACTGTGAGCGAACTTTATAAATGAAGGATACGTGGATTTTGTTGCATCTCCATGTCACTTCCATTCGGAAGACTTCCATAAGTGTAGATGCGCTCAGAAATTACATGCGGTTAAACAACATTACTCATTATCAACAACATCATGCTGGCGTTAATTTGAGATACATATTTTGGCTATGCCTCAATGCAACACCAAGACTTCAGGAGCCTCCTTGAGGAAAATATGATTACAAAGGTCACCAGTCGCAGCCTCCTGTACAGGCGTGTTTAGAATATCAGGCAGTGATGTGTAACGTAACCTGTCCTTTCTCATGTCCTGTCCGTCGCAGTGGTCTGTTTCCACCACACACCGGAAACACATTGTCCATGATGAAGTTGTCCTGCAAAGGGTGGTGAGGTCTAGAGGTCAAAGTGATGTTCCAATACTTACTCCAACGAAAACTCGCAATGGATGTTACCTGAAGTTTGCCTATCACAACCAGGCTGTATTTATTGATTATTGCTAAGCAGCGAGTTGAAACATACATCCCAACCCCAATGTTTGGTAGAGCTGGTCTCGTACCTTGTTGCTAGGTAACCTTCCCGGCTGACTTCCTTCCATACAGGACAATTATGGGCTTGCCCCGGAAGTGGTAGCCATTTACAAGCTCCAGAGCTGCTGTAGCGGTCTCCGTGTCTGAAACAAAACACCGATATAAAATACTTGACTGTCGCTACGAACAAACATAACATAACGGTTACGTTGAGAGTCTGAGTAGTGCTGAAAGGGGAAAGGCCAAAAGCTCGAACCCAAGCGAAAGTTTAGTACCACTCTTGGCCGAACCCACATAAAGAACAGACAATCCAGTGATCAACAGTGTGTATATAGAACGTCAACGCCTAAAAGAAGTCTCGATTGCTGCCGAAACATTCCATTTGGGCATTAAAGGCAAAATATTGTTCAAAAGTACAGGAACGGATCACTGAAAATCAGTGATAACACCAGGTGTTCGCAAAAAGGGTTAGTGATTCCTGATCTGCCAGTAAACCCCACCACTCACACAGTTTGCACAATTATGTTAGTGCAGCCTACCGCGGCACACCAGCATTCTGCTATACCACGTTGGACGTATGAGAAGTGTTTGCGGCTGTCTGTTAACGGTCGAGTCTTGACCAGGTGATCAAGTGACAATGGACATGTGACATCCACACGTTTACTGGTTTGTTTAAATCAAATATTCTTCCGCCAACAGCCAGTATATACTGTGTTTTGATGTGTTGTTAAAAAAGTCGTCTGAACGAAACGAATTTGCTCTCATTCTGATGTTGGATTTCCTGAGTGCTCAAATGTTGCTAGAACTAACAACTATAACACCTATGTCGGTTGGGTAGTGACAGTGGTGGGAAAGTTGTTTATGTGTTTATTCGTCAACCGACAACCCAGTGATTTGAATCCCAAAATGATTGAATGTGTGAGGGAGGTGAGTCTAACACCACTGTGAACAGTATCCCACGTATATTGACAGTGTATGAAATAAGACCCGACCGAGACGGGCTCGATTTCTAACGGACGGTCTAAATTTACAGCGAGCCAGCCCGATGGTTTGGTAAAATTTTAGCTAACATGTTCCATACATCTGAGTAAAAATAATGGCTGTTGTGAATAGACTGTTATATAGTAAATACTTGTCTCAGGTTCATTTAATTCTTGATTGTAACTAATAATTGAGTTATTTTCTTTGGATTGTTTGGTCTTGTTAAATCCATTTAGGGCTCGTAACATTTTGAAGTAACCAGCCGTGATGTCTGGCTGGGTTTTTGGTTTATTCCATACACGTATATCAGTTATATCAGGGCTTGTCATCTGAAAGGTGCCTGGAAAGTCTGAGTGACGCAGTGACAAACGATACAAATACTCGAGGCGAACCGGGATTCGGACCCATCATCACAAGATTCTGGCGCGCCAAAGGGGCACAACTCTGCACAACTACATGTAAATGTGGTGTCTTCGGGACTGATGGGGAGCATATAAATGATACAGTTCTATTTGTGAAATACCAGAATGAATTTGAACGTTATCAAGAGGCTGGACATATATCACAGAGGAAGGGTTGGAACGTTACATGGAAATATGTGCTCTAGTATTAAAAATAACTTACTAGGGAAAGTAACGAAAGCCTGTCCTCTCATCCGGCCTGACATGAGTCTGTATACGACCTTGACCTTGTCGTCCTCGAAACGGCCGAACAGAGACACAAGATCCCGTTCCGACACAAGGGAAGATAGATTCTTCAGATACAACACCTGCAATACGATGTTCAGAATATATTATACATATATTCCTGTTTTCACACTTCCCCAAACTGAACTTACACCGTAAGGATCTATGCTTTCCCGACATTTAAGACAATACCTTCCGCAAATCCTAAAGATGTAAGTTCTAACACACCCGTCAGATTAGACGAAGTATATACATTGTATTCAAATCCATGTTATTCAAATATTGAAGTCGCGAGGAGGTTTCTGTATATGTCCCGTTGTGGTGGATCACTGTGTATACAACGTGAACACAATAACCTGAGAACATGGCTTTGACAGAACAGTACCATTAAGTTTCGTATTGCTGTAGCTATTGCCTAAAAGTCTATTTCCTCTCTCCTTACAGACGGTGCCCAGTCTTTCGTCAGCTGAGCAGCTTTAATCATGTTATTACCATGGTAGCGGCGTAACAGCGTTACCCAGAAAGTGTCAAAAACTTACGTTTGATGGTTCCCCTTGAAAGTAGTTCTCAAACCTAGGAAGTGCCCGGATTTCCTCGAGGTCCAAGCGATATTTCTTTACAATTTCTTCTGGTACATCTTCTACCGTGTCTACAATCATCCGTCGACCTTCCGCATCTACAGTCGCAGGTTGTGGAGAAGCAGCGCCATCTAGAGCAGGTCCTTGATCGTCTGAGAGGGCTTCCGGTCGCATTTGAGGTCCAATAAACCGTTCCCTTTCTGTACCCAAGTCCTCGCCAGCCTCTGTGTCATCCCGCACAGAGTAAACCAGTCTATGTCGTTCACCCCTACCCTCTTTCTTTCCGTGCTCCCTTCTTTCAATGTCTGACAACAGATCCGGCAGTTGGTTTATAGGATCGTTTGGATCGCCCTTTATAACTTTCTGTTTCGTTAGGTAATCCGACAAGGATCGTGCTTGACTGTTCTCGCCTGTGAGTTTGTGTTCGATTTCCAGCTCATGGCGACCCATCTCCTTCACGCCCGTGTTGGCTCTACTGGTGTTGTCCACTGCTCTACTCTTGTCAGAGATGCGCCGATCGATCTCGTCAAGTCGGCCTCTGTAGACTTCTGGGTCAAGGCCATAACTTGACCTTTCTCCCTGGAAGGACAATTGATGTCGATGTGAACAGTAGTTGCTGCATGTAGTCATTTGTACTCACTTCTATCAAGGGTATTCTTTTAGAAGCTAAAATTCAAGTCAATGAGATAAAGGCTAACATCAATGGTGCCAACCCTTTTATGCAGACTCACTTCGTCCCAGACCATTGATGTTTAATACGCGTTTTTTATGTACAAAGACACTGCTCAGTAACACTGGACACTAACACAAGCATAATATCCGGTGTGTGTGCGTGCGTGCGTTTTGTGATTGAGGGGTTGCGCACGTCTCTGGTTCAACAATAAACCACGTAAGGGGGTTCCACTGTCCATAAACGACCCCAAGAGCCCGACATAAGATATGAACAAATCAAATCAACATATTCAGTTACATAAGGACAGCCAATAAGTTCCGACTGTGGGGGACTTTTCATGGTGTGAAACCTACACTTTCTCTGTCCCAGTTTGAGTTCGACTTCCTCCGCTGTCAGACCACACTTCTTGAGCTCCTCCACAGCGCCGTCCTGTTTCACCACCTCCTTGTACTCTTTAAGATGGGAAACTCCACACAGTGTTTTAGCTGTCGGATTGTACTCGCCCGACGTAGCAAAGCTGCGGTGCTGGGCATACTGCCTGAAATAACGAACAGTCGAGATAAATCGTATGATTATAATGCATCGCCAGAAGGAATAACTGCGTTAATGTTTTAACATCGGAAACGCCGAAGAGTGTGGAATAGACAAACCAGTTACTGTTGGCATGAGCAGCGATCTACGCCATCGCTGTTGGGTGTATGACACAACGTCAGCGGCGACAGCCTGACTGACTCCAGCTGTTGTCCTCACTTACAACGAACACATGCAGCACTGATCAGAACTGTTACAACTCACACACGTCCATAGGTTTGGAATTAGTCTTCAGCAACCCATGCTTTTCGTAAGAGGCTACTAACGGGATCGTTGGTCAGGCTCGCCCACTCGGTTGGCATACGTCATCGTATCCCATTTGCGTAGATCGATGTTCATGCTGTTGATCACTGGATTGTCAGGTCTAGACTCGCTTATTTACAGACCGCCGCCAAATAGCCGGAATATTGCCGAGTGCGGCATTAAACAACCAACCAACCAAAGTTTAAATGGAAGTGGAAAACACCATTGACAATTTACCTCGGATACGTTACATTATTTCAAAATCTATTTTAGAAACACTCGATGGTATGCGAAATGTTAAGTTATAATTCATAGATTTAATGGCGTCAAGAGCGTTCTTGTGCAAGAAGGATTTCTTCGGGCGGTTTTCAATAATGAATGTTGCCATTATCTGGAAGTATTATCTTATTATTATCATTGTACTCACTGTCGAAGAGAAACATTTGTGTTCAATTGCTTTTTGGCCATTGCCTGCAACTGTTTTTCTCCCTCGGTCTCGAGGTCTCCACCAATCAGCTTGTGTTTTCCCAGACACGTGACCGGGTCCATCCGCACCACCTCCTGACTGCCATACCGCTGAGGGTTCCCGCTGGACAGTAAATCATCAAGAGATGACAAATACATTATGCTCTCCTCAAGCCATCGTGACAAATGAAATTAGTGTCAGCATTTTCCTGTGCACTTATATTTACGCCATATAGCTGGAATATTGAGTGCGGCGTTAAAAAAACAACGAAACGACCGATATTTTCAAATATGTATAACCAGAAAATATACATCCATAGTAACCACAGTGTTAAGGAGAAGTATGACATAAAGAGAACGAATATTTGTTTAACTGTTTGATCTGTATTTAAGAAGGTGGTGAATAAAAAAAAAGAAGAGAGAATAAAAATGTAGTCTTCCTCCTCATAATAATCAGCCAAATATATTAAGCCGGTTAGCTCTGAGTCTGAAAATTGAACCAAACAATGCATACTCATGGCATTCCCTTCAAAATAACACCCAAAGAACACGTTTCCGAAGCAAAACTTTTTAGTTAATCAAAAACACAATATGAAATAGCCTTGCTCCACGGAAATTCTGTACCGACCAAGTCTAGATAAGGGGACCATGGTCTCCATGGTCCGTCTCGAGTGATCTCAGCCTGTTATTTATATCTTTTCTAGAAATTATCATTAAACTAGTATTAAATATTACCATAGATATTTGTGCAGTCTACTTTTAGGACAGGGGTTTACATGATACGATAAACCTGATACTGATTCAAATAGCAGGGAGCCAATAAGATATACACTCTTCGTGGTTTCGGCAATTGGGAATAGTCGTAATTCATAAGTTTGAATTTTATGCGAGCTGCGATCCCCGAAAGAAACTAATACAAGGGAAGTAACTCCAGGTCAAATCGAAATGTACGAAACTACCGGCAAAATATTCGCTGGCTCTGTTTTCTCCTCGGTGACGATCTCTCGTGGTTCAGTCAGGCCGGCAGTTTTCGCTCACTCAAAATGTCTACAGCTTGGAGACAAGTTGGGATGAAGTAAGTTAGCACTGAATATCGACGAATATGTCATCTTTGGTTGATATTATCGAGTGCAAATGTTGTTAAAGCGGTGAAAAATTACAAATGACTAACTTCGACAAGGACGACTTGGCGTCTATATTCCATTTGACCTCTACGACTTATATCGATACATTCGCAGTTTGCCATCAAATTCAATACTGAAGTTATATTGACAGTAACTACGGTCCGTAACTACGAACATATTACCGTATTTCATACGTACATGATTCGCCATCGAATCCGAGTAGATTTGCAAGCTCCAATATCCCTATCATGGCACTTATGTTCGGTTTTCGATCAGAACTATGAGTGAAGCATTTCGTTTACAGTCATTGTAATCAGTCAGTAACCAGTATGAACCGTAAGTTTATATACGTCTAATTGTCTCCTTCACCGCCAGAATACGAGTTACCCATCTCCTTTGTATGGTGCAATCAATAAGCTGCAGCATTCAAAAGCGTGACAATCTATGTCTGACATAGACTATGATGCTGTGTGGTTTGATATAATTAAACGTCGAATCGGAATATCATTGATATCAAAACTGGACATAAACATGGTAATCATAGAAATATGACCTAAAAAATTTTATGTGGTTCTGATTACCCGACCAACCCTTGAATTCTAGTGCCGACTCTATTTATTTAAGTGGTGTGAATAAAATATGCTTTCAGATCCCATTATTTTTTCCTGGCACCAACAGATATCAGTTATTCTGATATGATGACCGCAAGCTTGATTGAATAAACAATTACACATTAATAAATATGTTATGAGTTTGTATTTTACTTCTAGAAAAAATATGTAAAAAAATAATTCTGACCTACTTTATTTTTGAAGAGGTGTAATCGGAACCACAATTGTTTTTTTTATTTGGACTGTTGTAAAATAGATGCCCCTCAATGGCATTCACTGATTAAGCAACCTCATCAAGTAACATCTATCAAAGTCAAATTTTCAGTAATTTTGGAAGCTAAAATTGGCATGTGCTGATGATGCGAGCCACCCAATGCCCCTGTTATGTTAATGAAGTGGCTGAAAATATAAAAAATGGCTGCTGAGAAATTTGAAACTTTTACTCAGAAACGAAAAGCAGTTTTCTGTATTCTAATAGCTATACTTCATGTTCATTACCAAAACCCAACACCCAAACATCAACGTGGTTTCAAAAACATGGTAAAGACAATTTTTAGTCTGACAGAATAGAATCATTCACACATCAAACGAAGTGGCAACATGTTTATCAGCTGCCTGTTTGCTTATATTCTGGTTATCATAATGTTGTGGATTAAACATCAAAACCGACTGATGTTTCGATACAGATTCTTGTACTGTGGTTAAGCAGGAATGACAATGGTACAAGAATCTGTATAGAAACTTTGCACTCAAGAAATAAAGAAGTTGTTATCCATATAGTTTGTTCAATAGTGTACATCCCAGCTTCTAACATGCCACGCAAAGAAGTTGCTATTTTAGTTTCTAATCTGATAGTTCCAGTTCAAGTGTTAATGGGGATTTGTATGGAATGATCAGTAAATTATACACTACAGACTTCTTACATATTGGTCTAGAAGTAGGTAAGTCAAATGCTTATTATTGCAAAACTGTAACTTTGTTTGATTGTGCATTGCAGTATTTGCAGTCGCCATGAATATTCCAGCATATAGTTATGGATAACCCCAAACTGCATCATCACAACAAGCTACATGCTGGGTTGGGTGACCATGGAGATTGACTATGGTAATTTATCTCATTCAATATTTCATGGACTTGTGTCAGTAATAAATATGTCCATGTTTTGTTTTCCAGCTACATCCAATATTCCCAGATCTGTGCCCGGATCGTCAGGAGATGCTTGAAACCAGAACTGAGAGCAGAGGCAGCCAAACGAGAGGATACTATTATCAAAAAGTCAATTTGGGAAAATGGAAAGCCAGGCAAACCAAGTATGTTGCCCTAAGTGAATAGGTTGTGGTATTCTTGTAAATATAGGACAACAGTAAATTATTACCATAAAACCATCTCATCCCATCTCAGCTAATAGATATTTCCTGGCCAGAATCCAAATAAGCAACTGCAGTTTCTGGGGCTTACCAATTTATTGTGTGACAGTAGTGTAAGATTATAGTTCTAATATTGATAGAATCTTTATATTTATAAATCAGTACCCAATTGTTTGAAACAAATATTTTTAATGTTACCCACACTTCATCCCACCCAGGTCAAAAGGAATGTTTGTGTTTAGGTTTTCTGTTTTACAATTACATATACAGATGTCTTAATCTGCTTTCAGTTTTACCCGTCGAGGCAGTGGCAGCGAAGTGACGAGAGTTACCATCTAGCCCAAGAAGTGTGATAGATGACTAGACACAAGAAGATGGACATCACTTTAACAATGTTTCATGTTGATGTTCGATATTTGTACATATGAGGCCATCTCCTCTAGGTAATTCATTCAGGACATTTGTAACTCTGAATAAATGAGTGTGTGACCAATACAGCTGAGTTGGTGATGTGTAGTTTGGACAGTGTCTGTTGCTGGGCCATGATCTCTGAGTTGGTGAGTGAGTGAGTTTAGTTTTACCCAGCACTTAGCAATATTCCAGCTATATGGCAGCGATCTGTAAATAATTGAGTCCGGTCAAGACAATCCTGTCCAGACAATCAGATCCTGTTATAGTCGTTTGGCTCAAAAGCGAACCGATGAATTGCAATCTAACTCGAAAACTAATAAACATAACATACTCAATGAAACGCTGATCATAATCAAAACATCATACCCACTCTGTGAGGTTTTTGCAGAATTTTTGTCCTAAAAATAAAAAAGTTGTTTAACAAACTATCATTAAAATATTGACACAGTTCACTATTTGTCACGAGGGAGGAGTGCAGAGAAAGGGACAGCCAGGTGTTCGAGAAGCACGTTCACCGACAAAGTTATTTATTCATTAACCTGTGCTGTGCCGTCTCCATCCGTTCTCGAACACCTGGTATAACAACAGTGCATCGTAGCATGTCAGGTGAATGTAGGAGAAAGCCAACAGTGACTTGTTTACCACTTTACCATGTGTATTTCAGTGAAGCCCTTGGGCCGAAAATTGAGGCAAAGCTCTGATTCCAAGCCATGATCAACGGATATTTACAGCAATAATGGGTGCTAGCCTCTGTCACCTGATCAGTAATATCTTCCTAAATGTTATACCTTATTACAGGTATTCAGGTGGTTATGCTTGGCCTGTTAATAATAATAATAATAATAAATGGATATTTCTTATGCGCCATAGTCCATCCAGAGCATGCTCAAAGTGCTACATATAAAAAGAGTCACTAGAGTTGAAGAGGAAGATATGACAATTCGTCAAAATGACCATGAGAATATTTCGCAGTTATAGGTTGTAGACTTTTTTTAAGAGGAAGGTTTTGAGTCCTGATTTGAATGCTTCTAAGGATGAAGCACTTTTTATGGGAGTAGGAAGACTGTTCCATAGGGTTGGTGCTGCAAATTTGAATGACCTATGGCCGAAGTGTTTGAGACGAACTTGGGGAACTGAGAGAAGATGTTGATTCTGAGAGCGGGGAGAACGGGCAGGCATATATGTTGACAACATCTCAGAGAGGTATGGAGGAGCTAGGCCGTGTTTGCAGCGGAAAACAAGAGTGCAGATCTTGAAATGAATTCTGGTTTCAACCGGCAGCCAATGCAGACTCTGGAGGATTGGGGTTATGTGAGTCCATTTGGATGTTTTAGTGACAACTCTGGCGACAGCATTTTGAAGTCTGAAGAGAAGATCATTGGAGATTCCAAACAGTAGGCTATTGCAATAGTCAATCCTGGAGAGAACAAGTGACTGAGTGAGAACTTTAGCAGCATCTGTGGTTACAAGATGGCGGATGTTACCAATAGAGTGGAGATGGAAGTAGCCTACTCTATAGAGATGGTTCACATGTTGCTCCATTGTGAGACAAGGATCAAGATAAACACCTAGGTTTTTTACACTGGATGAAAGTGGGATATCTGAGTTGGCTACTGTGATGTCCGTAGAGTTTATCCTTTTCAGACGTTGCGATGTGCCAATCAACATAGCCTCAGTCTTATCATCATTGAGCTTCAGCTCATTTGTCATTATCCATGAACTAATTGCCTTTGTGCACTGACTCACTCTTGATCTGGCTATTTGTAGATCCTCTGGTTTGAAGGAATCCATCAATTGGAGGTCGTCTGCAAATGCGTGGTGATTCACATCAAAGTTATCAATGACCTCCAACAAAGGGTTTGTGTATAACACAAAGAGAAGCGGCCCAAGGACTGAGCCCTGGGGTACACCACACTCTAGGATCGTTGACTCAGACATGCTTTCAGGGACAAGAATGGAATGACTCCTCGTGCTCAGATAGGAACGGAACCAGGCCAATGCATCCCCTTGTATGTTATAGTCATCCTGAAGACGGCTAAGGAGCTTCTGATGGTTGACCGTGTCGAACGCCGCTGAGAGATCAAGCAAGAGGAGAAGTGACACATTACCCAAGTCTGCATGGCATCTCAGGTTATTCAGGATTTGAAGTAAGGCGGTCTCAGTACTGTGCCTAGGACGATAGGCTGATTGGAATCTGTTCAGAAAATCATTTGAAGAGAGATAGGATCTGAGTCTGACATCAACTGCACTTTCAAGGATCTTGGAAAGGAAAGAAAGGTTGGAGACAGGTCTATAATTCTTGAGAGTATTGATATCCAAATTGTCTTTCTTAAGTAATGGCTTTACCACAGCTTGCTTGAACACCTCTGGAAAGACACCATTAACTAAGCTCAAGTTGGTTGATCAGTTTCGTGATAACTGGCAAAAGAGTCTCCAAAAAGTCATCAAGGAGACGAGTTGGCATTGGATCGAGAAGACACAATGTCTTTTTTTGACCGTTTGATGAGTGCAGCTATCTCACCCTCAGTGAAAGAATCAAAGGTGTCCAGGCAGATCCTATCATTGGGTGGACATGTTGAAGGATCCTGTGTGTCAAGAAATGTTTGGTCAAAGCTTTTCCTGATATTTTCAATTTTACTTGAGAAGTAGGCTGAAAAATTGTCTGCAAGATCCTTGTCATTAGTGGACGGTGGTAATGGGGTATCATTCTTCTTGCCAAGTAGAGATCCCATGAATTTGTGATAGAAGGAAGGATTTTTCACATTGTCAGAGAGTTTCTTAGTACAGTAACTGGATTTGGCTCCTCTAAGAGCCCTAGCACAAGAGTTCCGCTCAGACTTATACAACTGACGGTGAATTTCAAGGCGACTCTTCCGCCATTTTCTCTCTGCAGCTCTGCGTTTCCGCTTAGCTAAGAGAACCTGCTCATTGTACCAAGCAGTCCATGATCTGACAATGATTTCCTTCAGAGCTGATGGAGCATGTTTATCTAAGAGAGATGACAATGTTGTCATGGTGATGCTGGTCAGATATTACTCTGACTCCTGAATAAAAATATCTGTGAGGCCCTTTGACTCAATGCCATTAAAAAGAAACATTTTTAGATGTTAATTCACAAATCATGTTACAGTCACAAACAGTTCATGTAAGGAGTCCTATCTGGACCATGCAGCTTCAGTGCAAGACTACAGCGAAGAGATATTCACTCACACAATCTCTCTCACACACACACATGCTGAAGTGGTGCCCTCTACAATAAAATACCCTGGTATATATCAAAATGAGCAAAACAAACTGCACAAACTTTCTTTCTAGATTCAAACCATTCTGAAATGGGTTTCAAATTAATATCCCAAATGGAACGAACATGTGATTAAGAAATCTCCTTACCTGAGCAGTGTGCTCTGTACAAACCGTTGTAAATTTTTACTGCATATACAGCAAAACCCCAAACAGATTTAAAGTTGTGCCAGTATAAGGAAAATATTAACTTCTGCAGTGACGAAGCCATAAATTTGGCTGTTTCAATCAGAGTGAGTATGTGTTACACTAGTTTCAGCAATATTCGGGCAATATCACAATGGGGGACACCAGAAATAAGCTTTACACATTGTACCAATGTGGGGAATCGACCCCGGATCTTCGGCATGACGAGCCAATGCTTTTACAACTGGGCTACCCCACAGCCCCAATTCATTCAGAAGTGGCTTGCGCGACTTGAGGCATAAGCCTAACCAATCAGAATAAAGTAATTCATGGCACAATGCAGACCTTGTGATGATTGTGACAGAGAGATTTCTAGTTGACTTATTGCTCCAACTGTAAAACTGAAATATAACTCTGCTGGACAGTTCACATATATGTCCAGGCCAGCAACAGGTTAATGTAAACTTGAACCCTGACAACTGCAGTGTAGTACTAGTAGCTGCACCCATGTGTGGGGCTCAGGGAGCAATCGGTCCTGGAACTGCATACTTGGTGAAACTGTAGGTGGTGGCCTGCATCCAAGCCTTATTGGGCCAATGTGAGAATCGACCCTCGTTTGGTTTTAAGAACATATTTTTGTTACACTGACGGCAAGTTAACTGATACTTCAGTGTAAATAATAATTTTACTACTGGGTAAGACCGTTCCAGACACCATATATTAATAAAATTAAAGTTTTTATAATTAAACACATGCATTATATCTAACGCACATATGAAAGTGAATTAGACCACGTTTTAATGAATTTAATCTGTGTTAGCCGAGAGCTGTGATCGGGTCGGACTCTCATAGACCTTACTGAAGTCAGAAGGACCCCTTCCGACTCTCGACTAGGTTAGGTACCCCAGCCGTAACCCTCTCCACTTACAAACGATAATGATCAAAATGATTCAGTAGGTGGCTATCACCCATGTAACCCATGTTCAGTGTTCATGTTCATTTTCTGGAGACATTCGGCTAATCATAGGTCCAGAATAAAGTGAAGGAAATGTCCTGCCGTTTACAGACGCTGAACGAGAGTAACTATACCATGGCACGCCGGTCTTTCTGAATGAATCCTGGTCTTCTAAAAGTCTCCGTCTGTTGTGAAACTTTGACATTTTACCGTTCATTTCTCGACGAAAACACCATCTGAGCGCCTCATAACAATACCAGAGTGACGTCCCTTGTACAAGGGAAGTAACTCTGAATGTATGTGATATTGGGAACCTCTAAAAGTTAAAATTGCAAAATGTGATCCACAGAAACTTAAATGCATTTAAATAAGATGCGATAAATATACTACCAGAACAACTTACAATTTAACTTAGAAAGGTTATTCTATATGTTAAATATCTAACTAGAGTTCCAGTGGGAAGGTATTAACTGGAATAATTGATCTAAGTTTCACGTCAAGATTGAAAGGTGTGCGAAGTCCTTTGATATATCGTGTATTATCATGAGTTGTTTTTAAGTCTCCAGCCCCGCAAGTGACTCATGTTCAGTTGCTATTACACTGAGTTCCTTTTAGATCACTTCCCATCTCATATGTTGCAGAGTAACTGTGGGAGCGCGCCCTATCACAAAGCTTCAATCATACATTGAGTTACTGTTAGACCACGCCCTATCACAGTGCCTTGTGTAGAGTTACTGCTAAAGAACGTCCCATACTCCTGTGGTGTATACAGTTAGACCACGCCTCATCCCCGTGTCTTGTTCTGAGCTCTTGTTACACCACGCCCCATCCCCCTGTTTTGTTCTGAGCTCCTGTTAGACCACGCCCCATCCCCGTGTCTTGTTCTGAGCTCCTGTTAGACCACGCCCCATCCCCGTGTCTTGTTTTTAATTACTGTAAGAGAACGTCCCACGTTCCCATGGTGTATAGAGTTAGACCACGCCCCGCCCCTGCGTCTTGTTCTGAGCTCCTGTTAGACCACGCCCCACCCCGCGTCTTGTTCTGAGCTCCTGTTAGCCCACGCCCCACCCTCGCATCTTGTTCTGAGCTCCTGTTAGACCACGCCCCAACCCCGTATCTTGTATTGAGTTACTGTTAGAGAATGTCCCATCGTCGTGTGGTGTATCGAGTTACCGTTAGACCACGACTTATCACAGTGTTTTGTATTGAATTTCTGCTTGACTCCACCCCATCTCGTGTCTTGTATTGAATTACTGTTACACTACGCCTGTTAGACAAACAACGAGAGATATTCACCTTTGCTGTGGGTTGGTATGAGAGAATAAGGAGAAAACAACAAGAAAACTATCCAGGAATTTTATTTGGAATTCTTGCCATACACAATGAACAAGGAGAATCGCATGTCAGCTAACATGTTCATACTCTACAGTCAGAATAATCATTCTCAGTTATGACCCGAAGAGTTCAGTGACAGTCTAGTCAGTCTTTAAGATATTCTACATGTTAAATAATTAAGACATAGCATTTAGCTTTAGTCTTTCCTTAACTATATATCCATGAGTATATAAAGCTTGTTTAAATCTTTACAGACTAAAACTACAAATGTATATTTGTTATAAACTACATGTGCTATATATAATGTAATGCATATTCTAAAGTCATCGTTGTGTAACAGTGTTAAAGCCTATGTATGATAGTGTTTATGGGAACAAGGAACTAGTATCACATGTGTACATATCTAAATGAGCTTTAAGCTAAAACATTTAAAGTGATGATCCAGGGTTAGTGAGTGACTTCCTGTATTTCGGAGAGATCCAACACATCGTATCACAGGTAGATATAAAAGTGAAACCCCTGTTAATGCGGACGGTCAAATCGCCCCGATTATACGTATCCGGATGAACGGATAAATGTTACGAAGCAATGTACATATGTTTAGACGTTCATTAGAGAATCGCCTAATAGTGGGTGTCTGATTTAACGGGGTGCTGTAAAGCGGATTTCACTATGTATATATATAATTTCAGATTAAAAAAATGTAACTTGCTTAGTAGAGGTAACATATCACAGTTGTCAGGAATTAGTATAAAGACAAGAAAATACTACACGTGAAAGAATATATTTCACATGATATAGACAATTTGTAAATGTATGTATACTGGTGATTGTTAATATCATTATGATGTTAATAAGTAAAGGGATATCCTACATCATACTGATGATTATCGACTTACATCGGGGGTGACCTTTCTCATATGAGGGAACTCTGTTTGTGAAACCTGGGGTGGGGTTAGGCTGGGCTGCATTCTTTGGCCCTGCCCTTTATGCTGTAATCCATGTGCTGTATTGAACTTTCTACTTGTTACGATGGTAACTGGCGCTTAACAATATATTCATGCAGATAATACCTGGGACTAGCAAACACCTTTACCACATGGCAACACCACCACCGCTGTTTGAAATATAGACGCAGGAATTATTCACTGTTTGTCTTCTGATTATCACAGTTCGCCTTCTTTACTGGCAATGCGTCAGGAACAGTGTAGAGTATGTCGCTCGACAACGATCTTTGGTATGCAGTATATATATACATGTATATATAAAGTCGTAGCATACATACATACATACATACATACTAACATTTGTATAGCGCCGATATCCAGCTCAGCTCAGCTGCTCAAAGGCGCTTTGTTTTTCCCTCGTTGACTGGATGTCAATCTCAACGGCACATCGTATTGTCATGGGGAGCATGAGCATGGGGAGCATACAACACTGATTGGTCAGGCCTTGAAGATGAATAACCCATTCATCAAATACAGGGTTAAGTTCTTGAAAGGCATTCAGAAGTTGGACGAACATGAATGCACGACACGCCTTTATGGAGAACAGTTTCTTTTTATTCTTTTTCGACGCCTCAGAGCTAATTCTTGCCTCTTCATCATACACCTGTTGAAGGAGCAAGAATTAGGTCTGAAACGTCGTATAAGGAATACAAAGAAGTTGTCATCCATAAAAACGTGTCATGTATTCACATACACGGTTGTTTATTTAACCAGGCTAGTTTAAGATTTATATCCCTGATCAAACAATTGTGTAGGCAATAATAATTCTGCATGGGTGTTTATAACGAAACATTATTCATTCTGAGTTGCTCGTCTGAGGTCGTGCACGGACTTGCTGTTGGGACTGTCTCTGCTGTTGACGTCCTTGTACCTCAGCTTCACCGCCGCGAGAGACGTGGACTTGAAACGGTCACGTACAAAGTCCGGTGTCTTCTTGGGTTTCACATCGTTGAAGATCCTGCGCTGCATTTTAATTGTAGCCGGTTTGATTGGTTCACCTCCGTTGTCATGGTTACTGAGAACCTCGTCCACAACTCTCTGCACCTGTAACAGTTAATGAAGATGAAGTGAAGACGGCAGATCACATACGTAGGACGGAGGTTGATATGAGGCACTATGTAAACAAGGCTAACAACGGTCGTAGATAAATAACAGCTACATCGCATATTTGATCCCCGGCTACATTCTGAGGATGGACACGTTTCCGGTTACTGTCCTCCTCCAGACAGTATTCTTCCATTATCTGGGAGGGTCGAACAAACCACATCGTCAGATCGAACAAACCACATCGTCAGATCGAACAAACCATATTGTCAGATCGAACAAACCACATTGTCAGAACCGGTAAAGTAGGTAGTTATATCCATTTCATAACTAAAGGTTACCATGGTTTCCAAACTAACGGGTCTGACTGAAGAAGTTTATTCAGTATAATGGCCACCTGACCAAGAACATTACATAACAAACAATAAATACACACAGTGGTGGTGGTTCGAAAGTTGTGCAGCTGAAGGGTATGATAGAGAGGAACGTATAGATAAAGCTTCTTTGACATTTTGTGAACACTTAACTGAGGTCAACGAATCATCATGATTGACATAAGCATGTCTTTGGTTTGAAATTGTATGTATGGAAAATATAGATCTCTCAAATCATAATAAATAGGGCATTTTGTATTGCACATACTGTATACTGAATAAACGTTTTCAATCAAAGCTACCGGGTTTGACCAACAAAACGTATACACATTAGCATCAGTAAAGACAGAACATGGTCGGTACAAAGCGAGAGGAACCTTAAATGTTTTAGCCAATCTTTTTCTTTTTGGTTCTTGTCAAGTTGACGCTGCTTGAAATGTTGTTCAAAGTGGCGTTCAGACTCACTCACCAACTCACTCACTCAGTGGTTACAGAAGTCGGTAAGTCTTACCCAGCCGTAGAGAGCCCCTACCCCGGGCTGACCATGCCGGCTTCATCCGGGGCATACATCTCCAGTAGCTGTCGCGCCCGTGCAGCAATTGCTGGATCAATGGCGTCGATCTGCACCTGGTGAACCTTCTGGTACAGCTTTATGGATCCTATCATGACGCATCGTTTGTGACTCTTCTTCCATCGCTGAAAATAAGAAGACATATTCAAAAATGTGAAGAAATTCTGAATGAAATTTGGTAATGCTATGAGATCAATTTTCTTAACCGTGTCATTCTGGATTCTGGATTTTACTTGTAGATTTACACACGCTCGCCATGTTGTCGTCACCCAACAGTACTCCAGGGACATGGCGACTTGGAAATAATCTTGTATGGAGCAGACAAAACCAGTGACTGACCTTTTAACAATGACTGATGCAACAACTGTTTTTATAGATTATCAACCATTCCCTTATACCACACTCACCCGCGTCTTCCCCTCGTGGTGGTTCATCAGAAGTAGCATTGCCATGACAACGTGGTGCACGAGCGGTGGGGGCTTGACATAACGGATGATCTCCGAAAGAGTTGGCACGTCAATACACGTCGTTGTCATCTGCACGTGCAAACGTTGAACGTGTTCCGAAGCCTTGAGCCTTGCACGTGCAAGGTCCATCTCGTGCCTCATCTCCGAGGAGAACCCCCTTCTGTCTGCATCGCTGACCTTCACCTTCAGTTTCTTTATGTCGTGTCTCTGCAGCGTGTCCAGGATCTCTGCAACAGTACATGGGATTAACGGCAACAGGAAATCAATTGTTCTGTGCTTTGGGATCCGACCACAGCTCCAGTTGACAGACTGACTATCACAAAGCCTCACTTCTATTTGAAGCCTTACCTCAATCCCGCCCCCAATTGGGTCCACACATCGAAACGACAACAGCTTGTACAATAATAAACTCAAGCCTGAAATTGCCTTCACTGAAGATGAGGCTTTGATTCCAAACATGGATACGATATGTGAAATCTGGGGTAGTAGGGTGTTAGAGAGACTCACTCACTAACTGACTGTATCCAGCTACTCACCGTCTCTGAGGTTGAGGACTGAGAGGATCCTTCTGGCCTCCTGGAACTCCCGCCTGGTAGTGTCCAGCTCCCGGTCCTGGTAGTCAGACATGGCAGACTTCAGCTCGCTCTTGTCCTTCCGCTTGGTGGCGCCTTGCAGACGTTTCAGCAGCAGACGAACTGGCAGAGCTGGACAAGAGAGGACGGTATTTATGTACGTCAGAACAACAGATATAATGACAGGGCTTGAGGAAAGGAAACAGTTAGAAGACGACATGATAGGAAACATTGGTGCTACGAATGAATCACTAAATGAGCACCTCTTTCCTAACATTTGCTCTATATTCTGTAAATTGGTGTAGCAAAGACGCGACACTGTAAAGCAGACATCAGCTGCGGGCAAGCGATCACGTTGGCCCATGGAATCCAGTCACTATTTGCTTAAGCAACACCAGGGGCTTACTTTTTCAATTCACATATTCCATGGAGATCAATTTTGGCAAAAGGCCTGCCACACATGGTGTTGCTGAGAATATGACTGCATAAAGCAGGACGGTACAAAGCAAGGCTACGTACAGAAGTCCAGAATAGTCCTCTCCTCCTCTCTTTGTTCCACTTCCCGCTGCTTGCGCTGCCACCTCTCAAAATCACTCTCCTGAAACAAGAGTGTTTTGAAGATTAAACTACACCTTCTATGACATTAATAGACAGTATGAAACCCAAATCATGTTGAGGAATCTACTGGAATATCAAGTGATAAAAGACAACATTGCTGACATCAAAGTAAAGCAGTGTTGTCAACACTAACATATCTGTCCTTACATAACACAGTCACTACCACAGACCCCAGGAAGCCATTTCCCATCCAGGCACCCACATCCGAGTTATATTGTCCATTACTTCTCCGAATCTTCCTTTGAAATGTTCCCTGGTCGCGAATTTCAAATAGCTGAAATGCTTTACAAGAAACAAAGCAGATAAAATCTTTAAATATAGTCTCTTTCTGTAAGATGATGTGTGCATTTGCAAATTGGATGGGTAGGGCATACCTACTCCTTTCACGAACACCGGGCGTCATCACTGCGCGATTCATTCACTTAGTTGACATGTTACTTTTCACTTCAACGGAATCTGTCTCGACAGATTATTTTCTGTCGTTGGCCGTTAGATTGGACACCTACCTCGTCATCTTCATACACCTCTGACTCTGAGTCCTCCGAGGAGTCTTCTATAGCAAAGGACACCTCTTTCTTGTTCAAGGGTGGCTCGGCTTTCTCCTTCACATCAACGTCGTGTCCTGCATCGTCAGCACCTTCCTTCACGTTGATGTCATTACCTTTCAGCTCGTCTTGTTCTTCTGTGGGAACCTGGGGTACACTTTGTCTTCATGTTTGCATTTGGTATCCTTCCCTTTGATGTGATTGTTAGATTTAGCAGCATCAGGAACATCTCTAACTTTGGAAGTATTGCCTGTATCTTCTTCCACTTCGGTATTTGCACCATCGTTGGTTGCTGTGTCCTTTGAAGCTGTCTTTGGTTCTCTGATGACACTATCCGAGCTGCTGCTACTCTGTATGTCAGCTGGTTTCCCATTTATTTCAGCTGTGACTTCTATAGTGTTTTTCTTGACGCCCGTTCTCAGTGTACTGGTGGAACTGCTTGTGAGTGATCCTGCAGGATCTGCCTCACTATCTGTCTCAGTCAGTCTGTCCCCGTCATCTGAGTCCCCGTCATCGTCGATAATCTGTAGCGAAACGTCATCCCCATCATCTCCGGTGACAACACTCTCCTCTGGTGGATCGCGCCATTTCCCCTCAGCTTTCAACTTCTTGATTCTCTCCCTGGCTCTCCTGCAATTGTACTTCCTCTGTTCCTTCTGTGAGGCATACTCAACAGACGACAGCACCTGTACAGAAATCAATGATTAGTCATAAGACTGTAATTTGGGTTGTAAATGGAAGCGACAAAACCCTTTCCACAGTCATGAGGAATCTCGATTGTGACGATATCATGATCATATATTTCTTTCAGCTGTATTACAGCTGTATGATGTTGTTTGTAAACAAATCGAGTCTGGACCAGGAAACTAAAATTTGTCGACATATTTAATAATATTTTCAACTGAATTAGACCCTTTAAAAAGTAAGACGGCACCTGGTACTGAAGCAAAGGACGATACTCCCCGCCAAATGATGCTTTGACCATGATGGACGATCCTGCCTGGTCATCGTCCACCATGATGTCCCCTTCCCACAATGCACCATCTTCCGTGTGGAGATGCTGCCAGTCTTCCCCGTCCAAGACTGCGATATCATCAGCGCCAGGCACAGTAAGTTTGAATTTCAGAATGGACCCTGCCGGAAGATGTTTCCTCTGGGGTCCGCTCAGCTTGCATCCTTGTCCCCAGCTGGGTAGCGTTATGGGGAACTCAGAGCAGTCTTTGTACGGCCAGTGGCAGACGACGAGAATATTGTGAAGCAAATACATCTCATCTCTCTCTTCTACTGGCCTTGTGACGTCATCAGACAATGTTGACTTCTTGTCGTCTGCTCTCTTACCATATAAGTTTATGTTATAGATTCCATGTTTTGGCAGTTTCACACTGAAAGTTACAATATTTTTATCCACGGTCTGGAACACAAAGTCCGACACGTCCTGAATGACGCTGTTGAGGTGATGTGCGACGTCTGCCCTGAGAATCACTGATTTGGTCGTCTGCACTTTCACATCTATCCGCCCAGATGGGGACGAATAAATCAGAGCTGCCTTCGGACTGATGACACGTATTCCAAGTTTCCTCAACATCATTCTCGATCCAATTCTCCCGTTAGGGATTTTAGGCAAACTAAAAACAGATTCGTTTGGTTCTGAGCACCTTAAGAGATAATTGCATACATGAATGAGGTGTCCATCACTTTGTTCAGGTCTGGCTAATATCTTGAGACATGAATCTCCGGCTACCGTAGGCCTGGCAGTGAAAACAACCTTCTGTTTGTCCAGCTTGTGGACGACACACGATTCCGGACCCTGGGTCCCGCTGCTAGACGTTACCGCTTGAAAGAAACTGAGGTTTTCTGGCACTTTGAACACAATTTCTGCTTCTCCATTTTGGGTTTCAACAATGCCAGAATCGTGTGTAACTGGCACCATTCCCATGGCCTCAACGTCTGCTCCTGGACCCCATTCGCTCCTGTCATTGTTGGGGTAGCATTTGAAGCCCGTCAGTCCTTGAGAACAGGAGATCCCCAAGGCGCACAAGTGAGGTTGTCTCTCCATGTACAGGTTCCCGGACTTGCCGAACACCTCCAGCACGTATTTGCCTTTTTCAGTAAGATTCACAAGAAACGTGGCACGATGGGAGTTCAGTGAGTTCTCCAAGAACACATTATTTTTAAGACTGGCATTTTTGGACACATTGCTTTTCTTTGATTCCACTTTACGAAGTCTATAAGAAAATTTCATCCCAGAACCTTTACGGAAGTTCACTTTCAGTTTACACATCCCGTTCTTCGTGGGGACAGTTATCTTGTCCTGTGGACAGACGAGACTAAGACAGAAGAATTCCGGTTTGAGGTACGGCATGGTGAGATACTCTGACTTGCTGACGAACCTCGGTAGAAGCTGCCAGTAGTCCCTGTCAGGGAAGTGGGAGAAGATGAGGTGCTCTGGGTCGGGAATGAAGTAGAAGTGGTTGAGGTCGGCAGCGAAGGAGGAGCTGGGGTCGATGTTGTGGACGTCTTCCTGTTGACGGAGATCTTGAGTATCGTGCCACAGTTTTCCCCCTAGAAAGCAGTCGACCAGTCTCCATTCGCGCCCGAGGAACACCGCACACCAACAATGTCGTTCTGTTTTGGTGACAGTCTCACACGGTTGTTTAGGAAAGACTCTCATCAGACCGGTGATCTTCACGCACTCTATAGACGTGAAGCTACAGAAAACAGACAAAAACATGGCATCATTTAATGCTTGAACCCAACTCCTTACTATAGAGATTAATGTCATCTGCCGCCTTAAATACGAAGAAGAATGTTAATTTGTATCATGAAGACTGTTAATTTGTATCATGGTGTACGGGAGATACGGCTGAAGGTATTTGACCATTACAACTTTCATGTGATGTCATGCCAAGCCAAGCACCGACACGAGTCGGACAAACATAATTATAATTTGGAAAGGCTGTTGACTTGGTTGGTTGATTAGTTGTTTAACACAGCACTCCGCAATATTCCAGTTTTATGTCGGCGGTCTGTAAATAATCGAGCCTGGACCAGACAATCCAGTGATCAACAGCACGAGCATCAGTCTACGTAACTGGGATACGATGACGTGTGTCAACCCGATCCCGCTAGTCGCCTTTTATGACATACATGGGCTATTGAAGTCCAATTCTAACCCGATCTTCAGGGGTATGTTAACTTGTACTGGACAGTGACCAATAACAATTAGAGACATGAAGACAGACAGAAGATCAGAGAAATAATGGCAGTACAGGTAGGAGCTTACATGGTAACCCGCACACTTAGACAAGCCCAACTATATAACCTACCCCATCATTTCCGCGAATATGTCTGCATATGACAGTGAAGCCCTCTTCAGTCGTTGTAGGTACACCGCGGTATAGTCCTGGGGTATGTCCACCTGCCCGTTCTGGGTCACAACTTCCTCCATTGCTTGTGAAGTCAGCCAGCGGTACAGAACATGCGCCTCCTCAACTTCCGTCTCCGCCTCCTGCACGAGGTACTGGACCAGGTCAAACAGAGGCTGCTTCAGGAAATCCCGGGGCATCTGGGTAATTAGAGTTGAGATAAGTGAGTGAGTGAGTGAGTGATGGACGTGATCAGTTCTGACAAACAAAGGAACATCCAGTCAAGGTATGAGATTGTAAACGATTAGCGGAACCTAGGACAGTTAGGGGACCCAACTTAGAACAAAGAACCATGGTGCCTTATGCCACCTTATACCATTGATTTCCTGTATAACACTGTACATTTGAAGATTACTGTGTACACTGAACAGTATATTAACCGTGAAGATCAGGGTTAGAAATGGTCTTAATCAACCAATGCTTCTCGTAAGAGGCGACTGATGCATGTTATCGTATGCCAACTGGGTAGATCGATGCTCATGATGTCAATCACTCAATTGTCTGGTCCGGACTCGATTAAATCATACAGCTGATAAGTTCCGAGGGTGGCATTAAACAACAAACAAGCATAAACACACTTACATTAAATACATATTGGTCCAGTTCCCTGATCCTTTCATCACTGAGAATATTTTTCTTCAAGGTTTTGGGAGGCGAGGGGCAGATAACTCCGTCATCATCTTCCGGCCACTCTATGCTCATCTTCCGGTAGTCCTGTTTAACTTCCTGCAGCATGGTCTGGGAGGGGCACCTGTCCGCGTACCCCCTGTCTTTCATCACCCGCTGCAGCTCCCTGTAGTATCCCAGCACCTCCTCGTCCACCTCCATGGAACGCAGGGGGATCGGGGTGCGGTTGGACGCCCGAGACCGCGGCATGTCCCCGGGGGGTGGGGTTTTGACGCTCATCTTGCTGACGGTGGACATACCCAGACTAATGTTGTCACTTTCACGCTCTCCCCCTGGGTGGGGAGACATCTGACGGACATTCTGGACGGTCAGTTCATCGTGGTGTTTGTCATTCACTAATATCTGTAGGAAAGGAAATGGAGAACTTTATATATTTCCATGTAAATCGGGACCCTATGTTCCTAGCTTCCGGTACCGTATCCCTTCATTGAAGGTCAAGGTCACTTAAAAACCAGTTCTAGATTGTAAGTGTTGAACTGTCTTGTTCATTTCATGTCATTGTCCTAGATGTCGGGCGATGTTCATATCATCAACTGGTTTGTCGATTATTTCCAGGCAGTGGAACCTTTGTTGCATCTACTCCACTCAAAGCAGATAAGAGATGTTATATTTTGAATATAACTTTATATATGATTGCTATTTCGTGCCTCAAAACAGCCAACCAAACATGAACTTCGCAACAGGCTTTGTTTATATCGGGGAGAGGGGGATGGTATACTACAGTGAACAATACCCTACTATAAGCGCCTGTACTGCAGCACCTGTGCTGGACTGAAGCAATGTCCCATTGAGAGCTGGCAGCTATAGGTTTTATGACGAACACAAGTATGTGCTCTCGGGTCGACTTTTTAACATTGCAGTGTGTGTGGAAACATGCTAGGCAATACTACACGATAACGTTTCTTGGTATAATACAAGTAGACCTTATCGGCGAGATGCCATGACACGTTGCACGCAGGGGTGTGACCGAATACTTAGTAATCTTCTGTATGACCCGTATGGCCTGTGTGAACCCTGCTCGGTCTTAATATTGATTTTTATTATTACAGGACAAACATGGACATTTCCAATATGTCTGTGTTCGCTTCATTTAACATGAGTAATTTATCAAAACTTATCGACAAGCCACATGACTAAGTACATATCAATATTTCCAATATAACAACGTCCTTTGATGACACTTTAACATATTGACCACGTCCAAGATTACATCCTGCAGTAATTGTAACAGTGAATAGATTTCACCTTCCTGAATCTAATGATTGAACTTCACAGGCACTTCTCTAGATACAAATTATTGTATATTTATTACGTCTTGAGAATTCATAGCAATTTAATCCATATAAAATACTGGAGATGTGGTCATGGTGTGTTGTATGTGGATACAGTGTTTGTTAATACCACGATCAACATGTTGTACACATACAACGTGACATACTGTTGTAGCTGTGTCTACATGTTGTATCGATACAATGTTGTAACGATTGTACAATCCTCGGTGGAAGCAGCTCGGTAGAACGATATCCTTCTACCACCACATGTGATATATACATGATAACCCGCCTTCTGGGTAATATATACACGATAACACGATTCCTGGGGGATATATACATGATAACACACGTGTGTGATATAATCATGATAATAATAACACACAGACTGCCAACATACCGGAGTGGATGTGTCCGGGATCTCTAGACTTGTCAGGGACGCGCTACAGGAAGACATTGTGGTGTCCATTACACTCAACACACTGGGGGGTTCCGGTTGTGCAACCAGTGATCGGTGAGGGGGGAAGGGAGGAGAGGGGGCAAGGGGGTGAAGGGATAAAGATAATTGTATTGTAAACCTGGCCTTGGTGATACAGAAACAGTGGTGGTAGTCCGGGACAATCAAGATTTACATCTGGGTCGACTACCTTTTGGGCTCTAATAAACAAATACACGACGATCTTTTTAAACTGTCAGAAACATTGTAGTGTATCACGTTGGAGTGGTGTTTGTCAGTCCTAAAAGGCAATAAGCTTGTTGGAAGATCACATACTTATACAACTGACGGTAAAAGCTATGGGGCCAAAGTAGCATATTCCAGAACAGGTTATTCTCAGATAGCTCAAACTATTTGTATGTTTGTGTGTATGGGAGAGGGAGAGAGAGAGAGAGGAGAGAGAGAGAGAGAGAGAGAGAGAGAGAGAGAGAGAGAGAGAGAGAGAGAGAGAGAGAGAGAGAGAGAGAGAGACAAACAACCCTCACACACATAGCGCATAGTCAAGTAAAATGTACCTGTGGTATTATTTTTCTTATCACGTGATGACCCCCGGGTTAAAATATCCAGTTTCTTGTGTCAGACTGCGATAAAAACGATCGATTGATAATCTGTCGCTTCTCGACAATTTTCCTTTGAACAGTGTTTGCTGGGTTCCCTGAGAAATACCTCTCTAGGTTGTGAAACAACCTTCAACAGCCAACGAACTTAGCTCGTGGTACTGATACCTGTCTTCTGAAGAAATGTCTAACGGATTAATGAAACCTTTGGTCGGAGGGCCCAATACAAGTCCACTCTTCAGTTGTAACTGTATAAACCTCGCAGCATATAGGATCGGTAGGGGAAATGCTTAACGTGTGTCATATGTGTTAAAACCTACTGGAAAGTTAAAGGTATTGTGAACATTATTTTATGAAAAAATACGGACAATTATCACTGACCACTTGACCTCGTCAGGAAGGTCAACTGTGATCTTGTGTGCGTTAATGTGAGTCTTAGGCCCGGAGTTAAAACAGAAATATTTTGTTTCATTTATTTGTGGGGAAAAAACCAACAACTAATATATCTTAAGCGAGCCAGGCTCTTGTTATGGTCTGATATAGTGTGAGTCTATCATGTCCCCAGAAGTCCATCGACTCAGATTCCCAGTAACACTACTGTCCACACTAACACCCGACCATGTACACCGACTGTGGAGTCAATACTATCTATAATGATTTAGTATTTGAACGATGAATCTCCACCAACCGAACCAACAACATCGTCCATGCTCCATTACTGTCTGTCGTTCTGTCTGTCGTTCTCGGTTGTCCAGGGAATTAAATATTCTTTCTTTGATGTTGAATTCTCTAAAAAGTTTCGGCACCATAGCGTTGTTCAAGAAGGGACGCCACAACCCCAACCGCTCCATTCGCTACTCTTGCACAGACTTCTTCTCGCTCGTACGAGTAATTTGATTGGACGAGCATTGGAATCGGGCCCAAAACAAAAGTTTGGCAGCAAACTAGTCAGGCGTATTTAAAAAATAAGAAATACACTAGATAATGGAGAATGAGTTACCGTTGGTATTTCTGCCCTGTGATCTTTTTGTCGTCAATAATACAATCCCATTGCATGAAATCTCCGAGTGTATCATACTGACTGTATTCAACCCCATGGTCGTTCAGCAAAAGATTCTAATATACAAACCAGTTCAAGATTCACGAATGCCTTGGAGGGTTGTAAATTTGTGACACAACAAAATCATTTCAACGATGATAATAAAATTCTTCTCCTGAGATAAAAAATGCTTTTATCGATACAGATAATAGTGACCCTTCTTGTGTTCATCAATTAACAGTCCCAGATCAGAGATAAAAGCATGTGTACGTCGTTGTTTGGTTTACAAAATGAATGAATAAAACTTACTCGAAATACCGATGCTTGCTTCTTTGTTGCCATGGTAATTGCGTAGATATTTACTGCGATCTGCGATACACCACCTTCTCCACGTGGAGCCACAGCCCTCGTGGCAAGAATGACATTAAATCATTTAATGTTGAGCATGTAATGTTATCTTCGTTGTGATGTCGTGCGCTAGGTGTTGCCGCCAAAGGCGCTCATAGATACGCATAACAGTGAGACTCCCTCGCTCGCCACATAGGAACACCGTAAGTCCCACCGAAACATTTTCTCTTCTTTGATAAGATTCTTGGACAGGAACAATATATACGTCAAGTCTTAGTATTGAATGATTATTTACGCATTCCACTTAATCAAACTGCGTGGGTTTATTCACAATTACACTTGTTAATCACGGAGCTAGGTTTCGCCAGCGAGTATTCGCCATATGAAATAGCGATATATCAACTTTCCCGTTGCCAGCCAGGCCATAGTGGCCTTTCAAATCCGCCGTTAAACTTGCTGATTAAATTACAGATAGTTCATTACGGGCTAGAAGTAAGTACGGGTGATAAGAACTATTATACGATAATCAGTTGACACCAACTCTTGTTTCTAAAGTGTACGTCATACACCGTTACTCAGATCCGTTTGTTAAACCGACCGAGCCTAAAAACTCCAGAAACAGAACGAGTGGTTATATACCAACCTTTGATGGAGTTTTGTCGTCTGCTCGAGCACGTGACGTCACCTCGAACGGTTTCACGCTGGGTGATCTAGCCGGTGATTTCGAGAATAGATTACCCATTCTGTCGTCTGCTATGTTCATGGTACGCTCATTCTCCTCCGTGAGCAGACGACACCTCCCTGGTCAGACATTGTCACATGACCACAGTAGGGCTTGGACAGTTATTACACGTCCAAAAATGTCATAATTTCGTTGCTTCTCTTCAGTGATTTTACCAGGAAACTCAGACTATTCCCCCAACAGCCAGACTGTCACAGGTACATGCAGTTCCACCTCCCATTCATACAGCGGTGCAGTTGCTCGATGACCCAAAGATACGGAACAAAACCTCCTGAGACCTCCTTTGTTGCCGGTCCAGCTCTCTACTACCAGCGCTCTAGGCTTGTGGGTCGAGGGCTGCCACTCTCGACCTATCGGTGTATGTTATCAACACTTTTCTATAGCTGAAATATCAGAAACAACACGAGTCACATGGGCTTGATTAATTACCCGGGCCGCCATTCAAGGCATTTTAAGTGATCCTGTTGTGGAACTCTCGCGACACCATGCAACGAGGGCACGGTACGAGACCCAGCTTCGTTACCAGAGCATCTTAGAATGGTACATACGATTCCACTCCAGAGAATCCCCGGACTGAAAATTGCGTTTTGTTAATGGATTTCTGCTGCTGGAGGAAACACAAGCACAGAAGAAGTGCATACGTGACCTTGTTCTTATACCGTGTTCATATTCTGTTGTTTTTAAGAGGTATGGTGGCCTACCATACGTTGTTGACGATTTATGGCATGGATGTTGTTTTATGCCGCTGTCTAAGAGCTCCATTACTTTAATATTTTCAAATTGGCTGTATATATGATAATGAAAAAATGAATCTGAGTGTTGTAATTATTATTTTCATTATGATCGTAAGTGAGATCAGCGACCAGAAAAGCCAGACACCAAGGGAATGTCACGCCCTAAACAGTGGATTTAACAACTCAACTGACGGTGTCTATGTCGGGTACAACCATCATTTGCGTTGATACAGGCTGGTCAATAACGGCGCACTGACGACACCAGGTGAATGGATTGTCTGGGGATTCTTCAAATGTCAGTGAATGATTGGGCTAGCTGAGCTCGCCTCATCAATTTATTCTGGTCCTGTCGTCTGCGTCGGTCCCTCTCATCCGAGACATTTTTCTGTGGGTGTGAACAGTGAAGAGAAAAAGACGAAGGCAGTACAGCTATATACACCTGTAACATATGGACGGGCATTGTCCTATGGCATGTACAAAGGTAGAACATGGCCTGGAACGATGTCGTTCCGGTACCATTTATGTTGCCATTACCAATGATGAGTTGTGTTTCTCCAAGAGTTCCCCACCCCATATCATTACACTTCCAACCCGAAATGGCGTTCTCCTAGACGCATGTTATGTTCGAGTATTTTACTCGGTTGTCTTCCTTAGTAGTGAAAGAATATACATTCCTGGTGTCAACAGGTATTTATATCACTTTTTATTAAAACTATCTCGTCCAGTGTGAAAGGCCAGGGATACCCGGCAGACCTATTGTACTGACGCCACAACGACCAACACAGCATTGTGATACAGACTTACTGTGTGACGACATCTCACCCAAATGATGTGTCCTTGTGGATCACGTTGTGATGATAAATCTGGAGTCTCATAAAATCTTCCCCGAACAATATAAGATGATACTTTTATGACGTATTCAGTGACAAAAACAGTGACGACAACTTATACTTGACCTACCATGATGCTTTGTTATTCAGCTGAGGTCAGTGAATACATACAGATTAGCTGTGTTATTCAGCTGAGGTCAGTGAATACATACAGATTAGCTGTGTTATTCAGCTGAGGTCAGTGAATACATACAGATTAGCTGTGTTATTCAGCTGAGGTCAGTGAATACATACAGAGTAGCTGTGATATTCAGCTGAGGTCAGTGAATACATACAGAGTAGCTGTGTTATTCAGCTGAGGTCAGTGAATACATACAGATTAGCTGTGTTATTCAGCTGAGGTCAGTGAATACATACAGATTAGCTGAGTTATTCAGCTGAGGTCAGTGAATACATACAGATTAGCTGTGTTATTCAGCTGAGGTCAGTGAATACATACAGAGTAGCTGTGTTATTCAGCTGAGGTCAGTGAATACATACAGATTAGCTGTGTTATTCAGCTGAGGTCAGTGAATACATACAGATTAGCTGTGTTATTCAGCTGAGGTCAGTGAATACATACAGATTACAAGGAACACTTGGAACAAGAAACCTGTGGCACTTGTGAAAATAGCAGTTAGCCACTGGAGATATTCACATGTTATATTCCTCTTTATTGATGTAGCTATCTGTTTTAGCACATCGGTTTGATTGCTAAGTGATCTTACCCGTGAAGATCGCGGTTACAATTGATCTTCAGTAACCCATGCTTGTCGTAAGAGGCGACTAACGGGATCAGGTGGTCAGGCTTGCTGACTTGGATGACGCATGTTATCGGTTCCGAATTGCGCAGATCGATGCTCATGCTGTTGATCACTGGATTGTCTGGTCCAGACTCGAATATTTACATACTGACGCTATATAGCTGGAATATTGCTGAGTGCGGCGTAAAACTAAACTCACTCACTCACGCTAAGTGACCTAGTCAAGCGATGTAACCACATATCTGGCGACCAGGGTTGACGTGATTTAACCAGTTTTGTCAAGCATAAACCTTAGGCAGTATCCGAAATAATACGCATGAAGTACAACTCTACAATGGCGTTATGGGAGAAAGGTATGACTTACGTGCATTATTATAACACACAACGATGACAGGTTAGCAAGTGTTACAGTTTTAGACAAGCTGTCGTTGTACCTATTCTATTTCATGCAGGTGAGGAGGTTCCACATACCGATCAGAACATGAATCGGGGATGTTCTTCAACGATATACTCTCAACAACCAGTTAATTATATTACCTTTGTTCATCATTGAATCAATGGATGAAACAAAATATCTTTAGCTTTAATGATGACATCACTCAGTGGTTGCTGATCCCATGACACTTGGTTACCACGCGCTATCATTGGTCAACGGAGGTCAACTTGGGTTATACCTTGGTGAACACAGGAAGACCAAGGTCGCTCAGGGTTTTCAAGCCAGCACAGGCGCTGCCCAGGTAGACGTCCTTGTTTTCTGTGTTGAATATATGGCTTAGGGCATGTGCTCTTATTGTCTCAGTATACAAGAGGTGACAGATCTGTATCTGAAAGTGCGTGATTGTGTCTAACACTGATTGTGTCTCCCACTGACCCAGAACCACCCAGGACAATCACCTCACAGAGAAAACGACCTGTCAAGAACCCCCGTCTAGTTGCCAGGCAACTTATGCACCAAACTTTCGAAAACGCTTGAACAATTCACAGTTACCTCCCAACCAATTGGACTCACTCTCTTATTTCAAATGCAGGGTCTAAATACCAGACTGCGAATGTCTGCAATAAATACCTCCCAATCCATATTCCTACATTACCAGATGATTATGCCGTTTTCTTGCCTTCCAGAAGATTTTACGAGCGATTGCACCAGTGAGAAAACGCGATATCAAATTTTGCAATCTTTTATGTTATCAATCTGAAATTGAGTCCAAATATCTGCTTGTCAACATGTTGTGGTATGGTTGTTGCTTTCTGTGGAGATGTCCTTGTATGTAAGCCTATAGGTCCCCGGGTAGGAATACAGATCCCCGGCAACCTGCTGCTTGTAAGTGAGAACACATGCTCATGATGTCAATCACTGGATTGTCTAGCCCAGACTCGATTATTTACAGACTATCACTACCTGGTGAATCGGTCGACAAATTTTAAGGCTACAAAACCCAAGTCTTAAATGCTAGTTCAAAAATATAATAATACCATATTCATATCGGCAATAGTTTTATTGGTATTTTCGATTTTATTGTAAAAATACTAAAAGATCAGAACAGACAACGAATGTAATGATTCAACAGAGATCAGATGAACCTTACACACAGTATCTAACAAACATGTTTATGTATATTACATTCATGGCATCACATATGATAAGATGTGTTCCTAAAAACGTGGTGATGACGATGCTTTAATCTGAAACTAACCAATCATGTCATATAGTTACATTTCGTGTATAAATCATTTCACGTTTGTAGATAATGACAATAGAGAAGTGAGGACGCTACAAAACAAAACCAATGATAAACATACAAACAGAACAAATAGATCGAGAAATGAAAATAAACAAACCCCGACATGACGTCACTTATGATGAAGCTTGTCACATACGGGACACAACCACTGCGCAAGAAGGCAAGAAAACATCAATCGACATAAAACAGACTCACATTAAAGGTATCAATAGTAACCAAAATGAAATCACTAAGTAAATGTGTACTCAGGTAACAGTTAACATGACAAAAAAGATGAAACAAAGATAACGAAACAAAGAAAACCCATGTACAACACTAACTAATGGCTCACACACAAAAACAGAAAATCTACAGAGAAGTAAGACGTGTTACTGGCTGTTACATCGTAAATGTAGAGATTGTAGGTACAACCCAGTAATACTGGATCCCATGCAGATTATGTCTGTCTACCTATGACATCTCCTGGTGGAGGAGGACGCATCTAAAGAAGGTGCATGTATGGCAGTAATTTCAGCAGCTGAATCTCACGACCCCCGGGACATAAATGCTCTTCTCAAAATATTTCTCTGCTTTGATAACAGGCATCGCATATGACGTCATAATTGACTGTCAACTCACAGAGAATGGCAGTTTATGACGTCATAGTGATGATTGTTAAAATGATTGAATGAGATTAGATGAGCATCAAAAATAGAAACAACTGACTGGTGTCATCGCGTATGACGTCACAATACGGATGTCGTGTTGCCATGGCAATGCTTCACCAGGATGAGGTGATGTCTTCTATCATGACATGTTTGTACAGTTCCCAGTCCACTTTTGTCTGCAGGTTCTCCTGGAACGTCTCCTCGGCTGGGTACGGCCTCAGCTGCTGCCGAACCGTCTGTCTCACTAACTCGTTGGCGTGTTTGGCGAAAAACTCCTTGGACAGCATGATACACTCGGCGCCCCGACTCACCTACACAGAGGTGCTACAGTTATAGGCAGCGAAATCAGGACATCCAAAGAATTGACTGAATTAAGTAGGAGTTTTGGGGGTTAAAAAACGAAAGTCTTTTTTTTGTAAAAGAATACATATGATACAAGTTATCAGAAAGCGACGTCGAAGTGCAAGGCGATGAACGAGCAAGAATTAGCTCATATAATGAGTCTCCGTTTAGCCCAATGCCCAGGTTCGTGGTTACTCCAAAGTCTGCGGTCTGCACCTGGCTTTTCCCCTCATCAAGCTGGCAAGCCGAGATATAACTTAAATATTGACCAAAGCGGCAACAAACACAACTCACTCACGACTGTAAACTCACCAGACTGACTGATGTGGATGGCCTCTCGATGTCGTCATCAAACTTAATGGTTGTAAGACCCTGAATATAGAAGATGGATTCATGGAATAATAGAACTCCTCGTCTGCATCTCATCAAAAGTGTGAAACACGTGAAACATACTCACAAATCTGTATCAGTCAGTACCTGACTATCAGGCTGTTTTACATAGGTTTTCGATCTTGTCTCAACTGAAGGCTTGGTCTTTGCACACGAGGCATAACGTGATTCCAATATGGACTTACTTGACTGGCTGGTCAACCTTAACTGATTTATTAAAAGCCAGCTAGTTTGATCATCCTGTATCAGTTGAAGCCAAAGACAGGTTGGCGACGTTGCGTGCTGACGTATATGACTGGTTGTAGAACATATTTAAGTTCATATTTAGCCACTAAAAGGCCTCTGAACTATATCATATTCTATAAAGCCATCATGGCGGGATGAAGAGGGAACCACAAAGTGTACTTACAAACGAATCTCTGGGTTTGAGATGCTCCACCTGGACAAAGACTGGCCCAGTGTTCGTGTCCTTGACCTCCACTGGTGGGGGAGGAGGGGGGATGTTCTTCTTGGGGATCTCATACTGTTTTCTCTTCTCTGTGACGGACTGAAGGAACAAGAGTCAGAGAGGAAACACCTCAGATGGGGTTTTCACTTTTAAACGTAGGGAATCGAACCCGGATATTTGACGTGTTAAACCACCAGCTTCCCATCAACTCATGCGTGGTCATCTTGTCATCCCGTGATCTATTTCCACTCTGTTTTCTCGTTTGTTAAGTTATTCATGATGGGAGCTCGGGTGGTCCTGTCGTCTACGGCCCACTATTTGCTATGCAGAGTTGTGTCCCTTATGCGCTGCAGGAACTTATGTTCATGACCTCTATTTCCAGATTCCTTATATCATGCTGTTGTCAGCACCATATTTGTGCTCGTGGTTTCACTGCAAATGTTTGAGACCTGCATCACTTCGGGATTTCTTCCCATATTAAGCAGCCTCACAGATATAAATGACCTTCTGTCCCCATCCCACTCGCGCTATCCTAGACATCGCCCACTGACTCACCCCGAGTCTGACTCTCTACTCACAAAGTGCGCCTTCTTGGTGTCAGGTCGCTGCATGTACTTGAACTTGGAGAACCTCCCCTGGCCAGGATGTGCTGTGTTCTCCTTGTTGCCCTGGTAACACGCGTCATACATTAAAACGAAGTGCGGTCATTCTCTAATTTGGGATCTGTTTTGCCCATCATTGCAACATGTTATAAAAAAATCAATATTTCTCAAAATAAAAAGGAGATATAATATCCTTGGTATCGATGATGTATTCATGTCCCAGCAGAGGAGTCAGAATTAATGGTGCTGCACTGTACAAAACATTTAACTGAAAGTATCGCGGTACATGGTATAGATGTTGGCTACCTGTGATGTAGCATCTTGGGCGTCAGCTGGCGGCATCAGCTGCGGCAACGCCCTTTTCCTCTTCTTGAGACCCGTGTCCACCCTTGCCTCTGCAGCGAACAAAAACGCAGTCAGAATCGGAGTCCTACAACTTGTACATGAAAGACACGATCCTACGCTACTCGTACAAAACAGTGTCGCAAACATCGGTTGTGCTTGCTGTTTAACACCTGATAAAACAATAATGCAGCTATATGACGGCGATCTGTAAATCAAATCTGGACCAGAATATGGCATTTCCATATTGTGAGCAGCGGTTCCTGTTGTCTGTGCACGATACATGCTTTAACCAAATCAAGTCACCTCCTAAAACCATCATTCATTGCTTCGGGCAGACTCGAACTCGTACTCTTCCGATTGCTGAATGGTGCGAAGGTCCTATCTATTTATTTCAGTGCACTCCCCATACCATATACTGCACGACAGTACCAACATCTCCATCCGAGAGTAACACACGACAAGAAACACCCTGATCTTGTAGTCCCAACCTCGGAAAGCAGTGTAGCCTAGCCGGTCTGTCATACTGAGTGACGCGTGTTGAGTCACTACACTTTCATGGACTACGAATCTCTTTAACATTACAAATAGATATACAGTACAACCAGAAATATTTGAGAATTTAAAGATTGTAATTTTAAAAAATTTTCACTCATTACTCACGTATTAAATGTGAAAATTAGCAGAACATAACTCCAGATTCAAAGACAGGTGAACAGGTAGTATTTTGTCAAGTCACCATGGGCAGCAATGCAGGCTTCAATGCGGCGGGGCATACTACTGATCAAAGAAGTTAGAAAGTCGTGGTCCATGCTGTCCCAATATCGGAACACCTCTTCTTTCATTTCAGCAATATGTGTCAGATTTTTCTTATTGACACTTTCCTTCATAAGTCCCTTAACATTTTCTGTTGGATTTAGGTCAGGGCTTTGGGTCCGTTGTCCTGCTGGAAAATCCAAAACTTTCCAAAAACACGTGAGCAGATGGAAGTAAATGTCCCTCGAGAATATCTGTGTACCGCTCACTGTTCATATTCCCTTCAAATACACAGAGGAGCGTTGCCCCTAACACAGATATGCCACCCCACACGTTAAATTTCGGACTGTACTTTTTTCAATTTGTTTGGTCCAGAATTTCAGTGTAGGCTATTAGGAAACAGCCACACACAACTTTCATCTGAGAAAATCACATCGTCCCAGTTACAATTTCTATGCTGTAAGCACCAGTTCAACCTTCGCTCCTTTTGTTCAGGTTTCATGATCGGTGATAGAATTCCTCGACTTTTCTGCCAACCCATTGCATGCAGCTCAGTTCTAATTGTCTCCTTACAGACAGCCACAGTTCCTCTATCAATCATATCCAGCCTTACGTTTTCTAAACTCCTTCGCTTGTTTTTAGAAACAAGAATACCAAGCCGCCTCCTGTCACCGACAGTCAATTTTCTGGGCCTACCTGCGCCTCCCTGGTGCTCTATGCCATATCCATTTGCAATATTTTTCAAAACACGATAAACAGTGGACAAAGGGATGCCTGTTCTACTTGAAATCACTTTAGCTGATCTGATGTCCTTGTCATAATACTCTAAAATCAACTTCCTCTTCTCTAAATCATCCATACTGAGGATGACTGAAAATGTCGTCTGCGAGCAAGTAAACAAAGGGGGATAATTCTTCACAAACTAATGAAACAGGATTAACGGAGTTGTCTCTCTTGAATGAAACCAAGCACTTGATAGCTGGTCAAGGTTGTTTATACTAGAAATCCAATTAAACATATTCCTAAAATTCTCAATAATTTCTGGACATACTATAATATTCCGACACGATACGTCTTCACGCTCAGTCACCGTATCGCAGTACAAGATCCATGTTAATAAGATGTCAACAATATCCATAGCTCAACACTTTGCTTATTCTATTCATAAAGTGACGTCACTGGAGATGTGCTGGAACGCTGCTGGTTGGTTCAGAAGGCAATGACGCCATTACCACACGTGATCGTGGTTTCTTTAAACCAACGTCACTACATAACTGAGCTCAAATAAGTTTATTGCCTGTACTCCGAAACAAGTGCAAGTCAACTGGGGTCCCCAAATACAAACAATTCAAAGTCAAATAGAGGGAAATAGTAATGGGTACACATGTGAAAGTTAGGTGGTGAGCTATATTGTATAAACCTGTATAAATATTGTATATTGGATTCACCAACATCCGGTATACAACTGACGATTGAACGATACTTCGCTCAGTTGACTTCAGAGATCAGTACTTGATACCAAATTGTAGGCTTAATGCAAATAATTCGTATGGAAGCATATATTGGGCCACAGTGTAAAATATTATTACCATCTACGTAGATGATACTGATTTAGTAAATGCCGAAATGTTTGACTTTCACACGTGTTTTCATTGAATTAGTATCAGATTATTCACTAAAGTAACTCTCCATATGTATGTGTTGAAGTTGAAACGAATTTATTTACTAAACGACTTAAATGCCAAACAATTTTATATAAAATACGCTCAACAACAAAAAGCAAAAACGCAAAAAACTTGGGTAAATTCATTTAACAAAAGTTTGTATTTTTTTGCATAAACAATATTCAACGTTTGTTCACACGATATCCAGCTCTTCAGAACACAATATCGCCGTCTGAGAGACGATACTCACGACTACAATATCATATGTGGAGATAAAAATGTCATCTACGTGGCACTTATACACTTCCATACATGTAGGTGGAAGAGTAGTTCATAAAACGTTAGTTGTGTTGAGAACGTCGAGTGGTTTGTGTGCGCATGTGCGGCAATGGTTAACATGCATAAGTTGTCTGTTTTAAAACTCTTTCTACGTAATTCCCAAACGTTGCCCGTGTCTGTGAGTTTGCGAGTGCGTCCCCATGATTCTAGATCCCGGCACACTCACTCTGTCCCCCTGTGGCCAGGTTGGGGAGCTTCACCCCATCACTACTCTCCAACTCCTTCTTGGGGATTCCGAGTCGAGGGGTGACCCCTCGCAGACTCTTCAGCACCTGACAAGACCCCTGGAACAAACAGCAGCGGGCGAGATAAATGAGTACACCTGCTACATACGTAGAGGGTAATTTCCGAGTAACACTCCTTTCCTTAAAAAAATGGGGGTGGGGCACAGTATTATTAAGGAATGGAGAGTTGCGAGGATATTACCCTACTTACATTACATTTAAAGTATTGGGAATATTTCTGTTATCAAAATTAAATGTCAAAATGACAAAATGAAGGCTTTAATTTGAAACTGGTACACATCGCTCCATTCCTAAAAAGTAATGGAATGAGAAGACAATGGAATGACGTCACAAATGTAATTTAAATGGGCGTCACAGACTACAGGGATGACCGACTGGTTGGCCCAAATGAATATTTTCTTTAGCTGACGATCCCAGGTGATCCGATGTATTGTTGAAAGACGTCACTTATAATTTTCAGTGACGCCATAAACAAAGGATGACGTCACATGCTATTATTCTCCCCATGCACTGATATGACGTCAGACCTGTCCTCTACGGGGGAAGGTCAAGGTCACATAAACAGCAATATTCGATTATTCCACTAAATGTGTACGAATCATGCATTTCAAGGATCAACATTTTTTTGTCACTAGTATTTCGAATATGATCATCATATGACGTTAATCATACTAACGTTACACTCGGAAATACAGTGCCACACACACTCACCGACTTGACGACATACAACCAGTCAGACACGCGACTGTCTTTGACGATGACCACGTTCCGTCTGTAGAGAGAAGAGTCGCATGTACAACATAAAGCCAGTTTAAGGAACAGCTGTGTTCTCAATAGTATTGTGTCGTGCAATAACTTCCTATCTAACGGTATAAAACCGAGGTGTTCTATTTTCTTAAACCGATTCACTGTATCCACACACCGTCCTAGAATAGTTTATCTGAAATCATTGCTTTGTAAATCAAGTAAACATGGTCTGTGATGGCAGTCCTAGATTTCACGTCTTTGTTTGCCTGATCTGTCCAATTACCTAAATCACTCAGGTTATTCCATAACATGTATGAATCACTCAATATCCTATAGCATAGTCAAATACAACTAAATAAAGTGCCGGGTATAGAATTGTAGACTGTTGATCAAACAATTACAACAGTTATCAAAACGTTACTATGCTGAAAACAGTCAGTGGAGTACTGCAAATTTAAGGTCGAAATTGTTTAGCCTGTATCAGACACTTCATCATCGAATAAGTAATAATTATTGTTTGTCAAACATGGTTGTACACTTTCACTTTGTTCAGAATACGTTTAGTTTCTGTGTATTTAAAATACAGAAAAAACTTTTCTATCATTTTTATCATAAAATCTAAGTTTACATTCATCATTATGAACTTTTACGAGCACATCCTTCAATAACTGATATCGCACTAGGGGAGCACCTCAATACATCTGGAATACGTGATGAGAATATAGAACAGTATGCCTCCAAATCACGCAATTCTTAACGGGTGACATGGGATGTGTCGGACTAAAGATAGATAACACGTGACAATAAGATGAGCGTTACTGGTGACTTACTTGAAGAAGTGGAGGAGGCACATCTCCGGTCTCTCCAGCAGCTTGTCAATCGGCCAGTCCTTCATGAACTCACACTGACTGGAGAACAACAGCATGGATACAGAACAACAGCATGGATACAGAACAACAGCATGGATACAGAACAACTCAACACAACCAACAACCGATCATACACCGCGTCAGGTTCGACATATCGGGTTGCCCAGTCGACCAAGGCGCCGCAACTGGGTGTGCACAGGCGCAACCGACCCCGGTAACCAGGCTGAGAACTGCGGCCCTGGCACGACAAAACCCCTGTGATTAGCCGTGATCATGAGTGTGTGACAGCACCATGCCCGTGCTAGTTACGTTCACGTCGGAGACAATCATGAGTTCGAACTCTCCAGCTACATCGATATCAGATGACACACCTTGACATGAATGGAATATTGCTCTAAGCGACGTCGAACCTAACTCACTCACTCACAAATACTTACTAAATGAGATCACAGTTTAGTGAGGATTTATATGTGGCTCAGAAAAATGCCATCGGAATATCATTCTAATGCATCGGTTTTAGTAAAGAATCGAATCTGACTGCAGACAAATAACCAATGGCGGTCACGAATCAGCCGCGGTGGGTTATCTCCCTTGTGACATGTACACCGAGACACAATCGTGGGAGAACCTTGCTGTTAGGTATGTATAATGTCTACTGATATTCACTAAACCAAACCGCAGTTATACCATTCGAAATACGGTGTCCCGATATATCGTTTAGGAAGATCGCAGGACACTAGTCTGATATCGCCCTCCGCCACTTTCGAACTATGAATAGAAATACATTGACACGCGGTCGGACACGCACACGTAGACGTAGAGGTACGGACATGCACTAGCACATTCATATAGTTTAAACATCAAGTCACGGCGTTAGAAATATGTGAAATATCACTGTATATGTGGCCCCTTACCTCACATACTTGATATGGTCGGGAATATCATCGGGCCCTGACCCTGCCATAAATATCTCAAAGAAATCTTCTCGGCCAATGGTAAGCAGCTGGACCGTGTCCTGTGACGTCACAGTAGCTGTACGTCGCGAGCGATGGAGTAGGGCCAGTTCCTGGTGGTGGAAACATCACAAAATGTTAGTTGCGTCTCGCGTCCTCGAATTTCAAGCACCTGCCATTATCGGGCTATTTGAATGTCTCACAGTACCATATGGCCGTGATTTCAGTATCACACAGTACCATGAGAACAAACATCTGAATATTTCACAGTACCCAGAGGCCAACATTTGAATATCTGCTATACCACGTTTGAGCGATGTAATGACTGTGTCGTCACAGTGGCTAGTCATCAGATCGATACATTGGTTGTGACGTCATGGTGGCTATTACGTACCCCGAAGCTCATCCCTTTCCTCATGATAGTGGCCGTGCGGACAACTGAACCACCGGTCTTCGGGTCCCGAATGAGGATTGTCACGACGGCTGAAATACAAACACCTCAAAAGTTATGTCCTGTGAAGATCCGGATTAGAATTGGTCTTCACCAACCCATGCTTTTCGTAAGAGGCGACTAAAGGGTGGTCAAGCTGGGTGGTTGTTACACGTCATCGTTTCCCAATTACGTAGATCAATGATCATGCTGTTGATCCCAGGATTGTCTGGTGGTTCAGACTCCCACAGACCGCCGCCTGAAGTCATTATCTTCCCACAGAGGTTAGTCATACTCAAGTTATATCTTCCCACAGAGGTTACTCAAGTTATATCTTCCCACAGAGGTTACTCAAGTTCCCAAAGAGGTTACTCAAGTCATATCTTCCCACAGAGGTTACTCAAGTCATATCTTCCCACAGAGGTTACTCAAGTCATATCTTCCCACAGAGGTTACTCAAGTCATATCTTCCCACAGAGTTACTCAAGTCATATCTTCCCACAGAGGTTACTCAAGTCATATCTTCCCACAGAGGTTACTCAAGTCATATCTTCCCACAGAGGTTACTCAAGTCATATCTTCCCACAGAGGTTACTCAAGTCATATCTTCCCACAGAGAGGTTACTCAAGTCATATCTTCCCACAGAGGTTACTCAAGTCATATCTTCCCACAGAGGTTACTCAAGTCATATCTTCCCACAGAGGTTACTCAAGTCATATCTTCCCACAGAGGTTACTCAAGTCATATCTTCCCACAGAGGTTACTCAAGTCATATCTTCCCACAGAGGTTACTCAAGTCATATCTTCCCACAGAGGTTACTCAAGTCATATCTTCCAAGTCATATCTTCCCAGAGGTTACTCAAGTCATATCTTCCCACAGAGGTTACTCAAGTCATATCTTCCCACAGAGGTTACTCAAGTCATATCTTCCCACAGAGGTTACTCAAGTCATATCTTCCCACAGAGGTTACTCAAGTCATATCTTCCCACAGAGGTTACTCAAGTCATATCTTCCCACAGAGGTTACTCAAGTTATATCTTCCCACAGAGGTTACTCAAGTCATATCTTCCCACAGAGGTTACTCAAGTCATATCTTCCCACAGAGGTTACTCAAGTCATATCTTCCCACAGAGGTTACTCAAGTCATATCTTCCCACAGAGGTTACTCAAGTCATATCTTCCCACAGAGGTTACTCAAGTCATATCTTCCCACAGAGGTTACTCAAGTCATATCTTCCCACAGAGGTTACTCAAGTCATATCTTCCCACAGAGGTTACTCAAGTCATATCTTCCCACAGAGGTTACTCAAGTCATATCTTCCCACAGAGGTTACTCAAGTCATATCTTCCCACAGAGGTTACTCAAGTCATATCTTCCCACAGAGGTTACTCAGAGTTCATATCTTCCCACAGAGGTTACTCAAGTCATATCTTCCCACAGAGGTTACTCAAGTCATATCTTCCCACAGAGGTTACTCAAGTCATATCTTCCCACAGAGGTTACTCAAGTCATATCTTCCCACAGAGGTTACTCAAGTCATATCTTCCCCCACAGAGGTTACTCAAGTCATATCTTCCCACAGAGGTTACTCAAGTCATATCTTCCCACAGAGGTTACTCAAGTCATATCTTCCCACAGAGGTTACTCAAGTCATATCTTCCCAAAGAGGTTACTCAAGTCATATCTTCCCACAGAGGTTACTCAAGTCATATCTTCCCACAGAGGTTACTCAAGTCATATCTTCCCACAGAGGTTACTCAAGTCATATCTTCCCACAGAGGTTACTCAAGTCATATCTTCCCACAGAGGTTACTCAAGTCATATCTTCCCACAGAGGTTACTCAAGTCATATCTTCCCACAGAGGTTACTCAAGTCATATCTTCCCACAGAGGTTACTCAAGTCATATCTTCCCACAGAGGTTACTCAAGTCATATCTTCCCACAGAGGTTACTCAAGTCATATCTTCCCACAGAGGTTACTCAAGTCATATCTTCCCACAGAGGTTACTCAAGTCATATCTTCCCACAGAGGTTACTCAAGTCATATCTTCCCAGAGGTTACTCAAGTCATATCTTCCCACAGAGGTTATCTTCCCACAGAGGTTACTCAAGTCATATCTTCCCACAGAGGTTACTCAAGTCATATCTTCCCACAGAGGTTACTCAAGTCATATCTTCCCACAGAGGTTACTCAAGTCATATCTTCCCACAGAGGTTACTCAAGTCATATCTTCCCACAGAGGTTACTCAAGTCATATCTTCCCACAGAGGTTACTCAAGTCATATATTCCCACAGAGGTTACTCAAGTTATATCTTCCCACAGAGGTTACTCAAGTCATATCTTCCCACAGAGGTTACTCAAGTCATATCTTCCCACAGAGGTTACTCAAGTCATATCTTCCCACAGAGGTTACTCAAGTCATATCTTCCCACAGAGGTTACTCAAGTCATATCTTCCCACAGATATCTTCCCACAGAGGTTACTCAAGTCATATCTTCCCACAGAGGTTACTCAAGTCATATCTTCCCACAGAGTTACTCAAGTCATATCTTCCCACAGAGGTTACTCAAGTCATATCTTCCCACAGAGGTTACTCAAGTCATATCTTCCCACAGAGGTTACTCAAGTCATATCTTCCCACAGAGGTTACTCAAGTCATATCTTCCCACAGAGGTTACTCAAGTCATATCTTCCCACAGAGGTTACTCAAGTCATATCTTCAGGTTACTCAAGTCATATCTTCCCACAGAGGTTACTCAAGTCATATCTTCCCACAGAGGTTACTCAAGTCATATCTTCCAAGTCATACAGAGGTTACTCAAGTCATATCTTCCCCAAGTCATATCTTCCCACAGAGGTTACTCAAGTCCCACAGAGGTTACTATCCAGAGGTCATATCTTCCCACAGAGGGTTACTCAAGTCATATCTTCCCACAGAGGTTACTCAAGTCATATCTTCCCACAGAGGTTACTCAAGTCATATCTTCCCACAGAGGTTACTCAAGTCATATCTTCAGAGGTTACTCGTCAGAGGTTACTCAAGTCATATCTTCCCACAGAGGTTACTCAAGTCATATCTTCCCACAGAGGTTACTCAAGTCATATCTTCCAACAGAGGTTACTCAAGTTATATCTTCCCACAGAGGTTACTCAAGTCATATTATTCTTCCCACAGAGGTTACTCAAGTCATATCTTCCCACAGAGGTTACTCAAGTCATATCTTCCCACAGAGGTTACTCAAGTCATATCTTTAAGTCAGTGTTTATGGAAGTGTATATGTCAGGCTACAACTTAGCGGAGAATACAGAAACCCACTCATACATATATTTATTGGAATAAATGCACTTGAAGAAATCGAGCTCAGCCTAACACAGTAAATATTACCCGTAAATGAATAATAACAGTCTCCAAGTGGGTTGATATATCATATATCTATGTACATGGAACAATGCCGGACAACGGCGGGTGGGATATGACCCGGCTCTGTTGTGCTCCATGTGAAAGGTCGCCCTACAGTCGACAACTTCACATTGCCAGCACAGGCTGATACAGACTTTCACCGTTACAGACAACCATGTCACCTGTTGTGGTGGCACTCTCGTGGCAAGCGGTATTGTTACCAGTCTCTAGTTTCAATGGCTGGTCCACTGTGAGGCAGTATCATGTGTCTTAGTGGGAGATCCTAGCGCACACACACAGACGCCATGGAAGCGCGATAACCATTTCGCCTCCACTGGCGGCATGTACATGTCGAGAATACACCTATTTTATTAGAAATAAGAAAATAATCGTTCACAGAAGAAAAAAGAGCAAGACTTTCATTAATGCTTATGTACCGTCAGTATGCTCATGTACCCTCAAGACGTAAAGGTGCCCTACGTACTCACTCTAAATATAGTGAAACAGCGTGAGTCCGAAAACCCCACTCACTGAAATAATGGATCAACGGACTAATCCTTAATCCTCAGTTGTATTCGGCTGTATTGTCTGTTGTATTCTGTGTTGTATTCACTGGACCATTACACAGTTGTAGCGACAAATGTTAATGCACATGCTTACACATGCATGTGAGGAGGTAATGAAAGTAGTTGAGAGGGAAACAGTATAGATGGCGAGACTTACCTTGGCCGGATAATATGAAGTAGAAGTTTTCAGCGTAGTGACCTTGACGGATAATTATTCTCTTCGGTGGGATTCTGCAATTATGTGAGCACACTTAATAGGACAAATTGTTGGTGACAAGCACAGACGTACTGGCGTACTTTGACATACATTACACATTCGACTTGTTTGCATTATGTAGTTGAGTCAATAATATTCACGTTATAATAGTTAAGTAGCATTGATCACACAAAGAAATGACGTCACTTGAAGTGCTGCCGTTAAGCCGTAGACGACGTGAGTGTAACGACCTGGATCAGGAATACACATGAGTGTTTGGTGATGGCAAACTGATAGCGTCCTGTGGAATGTATCGTTAATCCGAAAGTCTCGTTCACACTGAAATCGTCCTGATAATTACTCAACAATGTCCACTGAATCATGCGTACAGACGGAATATTGTCCACTGACTCCTTCCTGTCTGGGTCGAACCCAGTAAACCTTGCTAGTTACAAGAGCCCAAATGTGGTTATAGCGAAGCTTACTAAGCATCTGTGTTGATAGCCACAAATATAGCCCTGTGAGGCGAGGATGGTACTCACACTTCATACCACGCAACCTTCGCCAGCTTCTCCTGCATGTGGAGAGGGTATTCCGCGAAGGACCGCAAACTCTGCAGCCCGAACATCGCCTGCGGTATAACAACGTCAACATCAGCATCACTGAATATTCTCATGTCTGGGCAGGGATAGGACTACCATTCATGGTACAGCAAACTAGAGAACAGAAACTGGAGACTGGGGTTGAATGTGTGTGTGTGTGTGTGTGTGTGTGTGTGTGTGTGTGTGTGTGTGTGTGTGTGTGTGTGTGTGTGTGTGTGTGTGTGTGTGTGTGTGTGATGTGGTGTGTGTGTGTGATGATGGTGGGGGGTGGGTGGGGGTGTGTGGTGTGGGTAGGTGGTGTGGGTGTGGGACTAGATGTAGATGAGGGGTGGGACTAGCTGTGGGTGTACACGTATGTGTGGGTGTGGCTGTTGTTGCTGTTGTGGATGTGGGTGGTGAGGGACTGGCTCTGGATGTGGAACTTGGGGTGGGTCAGGGTCTGGGGGTGGACACTCACAGTCTGAACCTGGTCCGAGGAACGTTCATCTGACGGGAGGCTGAGGATGTGCTTCACCTCGCTGCTGATGGAGATCTGAAACACACGACGTCGTCAGCCATTGAGGGGTTTCATACTTACAAAGTTGTCACTCTTAAATGAGGTGCTGGTACACGAATTCATAGTACGCATTGAACGTACGGTTTTTGTAACTGTGGTTCAATTGCTCGTTAATTACCATGGATAAACATGAGCACCGCACTCCAAACGGATTTCACCAGCACTGATGTCACATTGATATAACACTGAATTCAAAATTTATTGGTAGACAGAAGGCTGTATGGACTCATGTTAAACGCAATTTACAAATGATCCATTCTAAAGGACAAACTTCAAAGACCGCTCCCATATGAACTGAAGATGTCATCAAAGATGTACCTCCTTCTTGGCCTTGAAGTAGGAAGGGTCGAAGGACAGGCCGGAGTTCTTCATGTTGCTCTCGTCGCTCTCGCCCGCCATGTCAGCAAACGTCTGGGGGCGTCCTCCCTGGCCAGCCCTGGACATACACACATACACTGAACAGTGGCCATGTTAAACACCTGCACCCTCAAGGGTCAACTATTGCCTACGCGTCCCTGTGCTATAGAATCTACTCAAGGCAATAGCTGCCACTTGATCAACGTCACTTTACTGACAGAATGTGGAGCTTGAGCTCACAGTTCACAGATGTTTTCCCGAGTGGAATGTCTTGTAACATCTGCATCAAGTCGTTCAAACATCATTTTGATTGTCTGCTGACTTACATCATCTTCTGTACCTAGTTTGCGTCTTTTTACATTTTAGTATTTCAGTCAATACAACGTCATGTTTACACAACGTTCATGTTTTAATGTATTGTACACTTGCTTCATGGAGACCTTCACTCTTTCTAGTAATGGATGTTGGTTTGTAGTTTAACACCGCACTCAGCAATATTCCAGCTATATGACGGCGGTGTGGAATTATCGAATCTGGATCTCACAATCCAGTGATCCACCTATGCTGTATGGATACGACAACATGCATCAACCACCCGTAACCACCCGTAAACACCCGATCCCGTTAGTCGCTGGTGTCGTGTGCAAGTAGGGATGTGTTCAAGTCATGTGGTTTCTAGGTCTTCCAGTCTGTAGGTATAGCTCGATGGCTTCCTCTAAATGCATCCTACGGTCCAGTCGCACACTTACTTCTGTGACACCATGGAGGCTATGTTGCGCAGAATCATAATCAACTTCACCGCCTTGATAAACTTCTCCTTCATCTACAACAGGAATGTGTGAGTCACATTGTAGCTTCAGCATATACATACTTTACAACAGTGAAACTTACAATGGATGGGGTTGGACGCGGGATCAACATCCGGGTGAATACTTAATTCGGAAACTTTATTCGGTAATATACGGCCTTATGGCCCATTTTACAGTTAATATATAATGTATTTATAATGTCACGTGAGTACAAATTGAAGAACTATCTAGCAGTAAATATATGTTTTAACAATACTGCAACATGTATAACAAGAGGATTTGGGGAGTTTAATAAATTTAGCATGTTGTTTTTATGGACATGTTTAATATGTGGAAGATATTTCTCTCTCAAATCTTTATATTTATCACAAACGAATAAAACATGAAATTCATCTTCAATAAAGCCTAATTTACAGTTTGTACATTTAATTAGATCAATATTTCACTTTGTCAAAGGCTAAGGCACCGAAAAAATGAGGACAATTTGACTCTTCATGAAATTCGCAAATCCACAATAGTAGCTTAACGTCGGATGTCCAGTCGGGTTTGGTTGTGGTTAACTAACTAACAAGATGTGCTTCAGAAATTATTTACCTCCCCGGGCACATGTCTGACAATCATGTAGTCTCCAGACACGCCGCCATACATGTCACGCCGACTGGTGACAACGGAGACAACGTCGTGCATCGATCTACACTGACGTATACGTCGACGTCCGTCACGAACGCGGTGTTGTTTATCGCTGGGAACAACATCATTTAACCTAACCCAGTTCGTAGTTGACAAGGGAGGTAATTTATCTGTAGGAGACGAACATTCATCCTTTTCAGAAAGCGAAGTTTTAAGGTTAAGGTCATGCTGATGATCTTCACACAAGGAAGATAACTCTGTTCCAGCATAGTCCGCTTCCGCTACTGGTTTTAGGAACGATTCACGATCTGATTTCGGTTTCTTATCTTCAGTGTAGTTAGACTGGGTATTTCCAGACCCTTTTTCGCAATTTGAAACCGGTTCCGGTTCGGAGTCCTCAGGCAGCTCGTCCATGAATAGTTCCGGTTCTATGATGGTGTAACTGTCGATGGAAGGTAGGTACAGACTCATGGCGCCGGTGTATGTGGTCTCCTAATTAACACTCTTTATCTTCATGTATTTACCATTTCTACATATCAATGAAACTTTTCCCAATGCCGTCATCTTGTACAGCGTGGTACAGCTGACCTTCATCTTTCCAGTAAGCAGCAGCGTCGTCCATTGTAAGCTCATCCAGAGATGGTCAGTGTTTGACCGGTCTGTCAGGCTGTTTGAACCACAAGTGTCCACCCCGAATGCCGTATATACTCTGTTGATGGACCAGGGGACTTCTCTGCAGATGTTTAACGATTCAGGGTAGGAATTAAGGGATGACAATGAGTCGTCGACGGTGAAACATTCAAGTCATGTGACAGAATGCAGTGCACAATCTAAGAACATGCTTGAGATGAAACCTCGTCAGTGATTACTCCGTCAAGCATATGGCTCTATACAGCAGCCATTCCTCGTGACATCCATAGTTTCCACGTCATTGGTGCTCAGTTTTTATACACATGTAACCACCCTTGTTTATAGTGCATATACCAGGTTATGATATTGTCCACTCCGACGTCCAGCCGCTGTTAAAGCACTAAAACACGACACCACAGTGTTGTAGAGTTCATACACAGGCCAACTGTAGTGTCCACTCTGAAGTCAATCCGGTGTTTATACACAACTCACCACTGTACATGTGCCAGTCAACACTCGCGACACCCGCTCGGTTTCCACGTATGAAACACCGGCGTTCACGACAAACAGAACAAACATTTACCTCCCACTTCGGCAAGAGAATGGGCGTCTACAGCAGGTTAAATGGCGAGTCGCTGCCGCACACAATGCTCGAGATTCGGTCAACAAGACCTTATTAAGTTCAGTGTCACTTAACAGTCCACACTGTAGTCTTTGATGCGCCGAGTCAATATGGATCTATTCAAGCGTGTCCCTATATTATGATGACTGTATAGATGATGGAACAGCTGCCATGTTCCAGTGTGGCTGTGGAACTAGAGTGTTCTGGCCTTGTCACCGGTGGCTTGCAGTCCTCTGTTCCCCGGTTACCTCATTCTCCATACGCTTCGAAAATGGCTAGTGTAATAAATGGTCATAATGTAATTATTTCAGGAAGCACGGAATCGCTACCTGTCCAGGGGGTCGATCGTAAATTGCGTATTTTTCATGTATTATCGATACTTGGCACTGTGTTATGATCAACTTTTATTTGAGTGTCCTCACGTTTTCTGAGCTATCCATTAACCTCTGGAATCGTTTTCGACTTTACAGTCCATTCTGAAAGTTTATGTGTCCACAGAGTTCCTCCTCCCTCCTACCCGCACCCATGGCGGGCGTGATTTGTGAAAGTTATCAGGAACACTGGTATTAACAACTAATATCGACCCTGCAATCAATTCACATCGAACAATTCACACACTTTACGATCTTTGTCATATAAATCGGTATTTTTACACACTGTGTGCAGTTATAGACAATTAGTGTGAAGATATATCCTGATTTGAGTCAGCAGGTGTGTGGCGTTACGACAGGATCACACACAATTGATGTAAGGTAGAGTCAGCAGGTGTGTGGCGTTATGACAGGATCACACAAAACATTGATGGAAGGTAGAGTCAGCAGGTGTGTGGCGTTATGACAGGATCACACAAAACATTGATGGAAGGTAGAGTCAGCAGGTGTGTGGCGTTACGACAGGATCACACAAAACATTGATGGAAGGTAGAGTCAGCAGGTGTGTGGCGTTACGACAGGAAACATTGATGGAAGGTAGAGTCAGCAGGTGTGTGGCGTTACGACAGGATCACACAAAACATTGATGGAAGGTAGAGTCAGCAGGTGTGTGGCGTTACGACAGGATCACACAAAACATTGATGGAAGGTAGAGTCAGCAGGTGTGTGGCGTTACGACAGGATCACACAAAACATTGATGGAAGGTAGAGTCAGCAGGTGTGTGGCGTTACAAGTCAAAACATTGATTACACAACAGTCTCAATTCCTGCTGACTGGGTTCCGTCATATTGCGCAACTTCGTACACTAACCAGTCCAGAAATTTGAGACCAATTCACTGGATACATAAATATTAATCAGTATTATTTGATACATCTAAGCACTTGTATATTGCAACATTACGCTCCTTCTAATCCTTGCAAACACGTCGTGCAACGTGCTCTGTCGTACAGCGTGCTCTGACAAACGGAAATCGTGGAAATCTCAAAACGAGGCTCTGCCGCTAGAAAAGTTTGGCGGTCTGGTACGGGTTTGATATTATATCAATCACATTGTGCGTTACAAAACTACACTGAATAAGCGCAAACATACATAACAGGTGTAACCAGTGAGCCAGATGAATTGTGAATCCTTATACGACCTCATCAAACAGGGGCAGTCTGTGACGTTGCTGCCTACACCTCGCCATAAAATATAGAAATACGATGTTATTAAAGTTTAAATTTAAAATAAACTTGTAAATACCATTTTCTTATGAAACAAGGAATTGTAATTCAGTGTAACCATAGTTGTTTGTGATGTCTCTTTTCACTTTCACAGGAGAAAAGTCGGATCGGCTGAAAAGTAGGTCATTGTCTGAATAGGTTAATGAGACTCATGTTTCGGTTTGGACGGGATCACACAAAACATTGATGGGAGGTAGAGTCAGGAGGTGTGTGGCGTTACGACGGGATCACACAAAACATTGATGTAAGGTCAGGTGTTATATAGTCTTTAGTTCACGGTTGGGCATGACGTATTAATGTCATCAGCTTCTCGACATTATCCAACATATCAACAATCCTTCGATATTTGTCGATATTATGTGAAAGGCGTTATTCTGAAATGCCGACCCTCTCAGCGTGTTGGGATAATCGAACCAGATTTGGTTTTGTCATTATACAGAGTTACAATAGGACATCCTTTCCACACAATAATACAGAGTTACAATAGGACATCCTTTCCACACAAGCATGATAATTTCGTTGTTCGACAGGCGGATGGGATTGTGGGTTGTCAGAATGAAAGTGGTCAGAAGTTCCGAGGTGACAATACTGTTGTGACTTCTGCCTCAATTACCAGGTCACTGAAGTGGTCACGTGGTTTGGGGATGACGTGGCGTCCCGGAGAACGGGCTGATATGGAATGTTACTCGCCACTCCATTTCCGTAGACAGTCGTCCTACAGACTGGACTGAAATCTGGTTTCTTAAAATGTAAACATCAGCTAAAGCGACAAACCATTTCAAGACGGTGTTCATGCCATGGTTATAATTTCTGGCGTGAAGACAGTCCAGTACAACAGTCGGCAGGTGGGCATATTTCTACCAAGTTGGACTCTTGCCATTCACACGATGTATGTATGAAGTAACATAGTGATGCATGTACATCTGGTAGACCGTGGTTACTCGTGGGACAATGTCGCCTAAACAAAGGGAACAGTTCCCCTGTAATCTGTGGACATGAAGGGGTTCCTTCTTCTATCACTATGAGTTAAAGTGAAGTGGGTTACAACATCGTCTATCTCGAAAAACAAAATTGGGCTACAACATGGTCTCACTCGAGACATATCTGAGGGAGCTACAGCAGCGTCTATCACGAGACATACATGATAAGTTACTTACACAGACACCACTGTAGACCCGTGAAGATCCGGGTTATAATTGCTCTTTAGAAACCCGTGCTTGTCGTAAGAGGCGAGTAACGGTGGTCAGTCTCACTGACTTGGTTGACACATGTCATCGTATCCCCAATTGCGTAGATCGATGCTCATGATGCTGATCACTGGATTGTCAGGTTCAGACTCGATTATTAACAGTACCTGGAATACTGCTGAGTGCGTCGTTTAACAACAAACCAGCCAACCACTGTAGATTTGATAAGCGAGAGTAGTTTATTCACGTTCAAGCGTTGTCTTGCATTACTTTCAGATCCATGGTGCGTACAGCTATTTGACACTGACGAATTAACTATTTCTAAATATTTTGATCACGTTCCCAGAATTGGTCTATGTAATCTTTGCTCGAGGATTTAGAATTTAGGAATTGGTCCCATTTCCAGTACTCATCCCTCTTATATCAACGGAAGAGCAAAAGAAACTGTAAATATCTGCTGTATCGCATGGTTGATTTTCAGCATTAATTTTGTTGAATATTTCTCAACGTCTATTTTTATAACAATATACATTGTTTAGAAAAATCTTTTCCAAAGAAATCGCATAATACACACCAGCTGATGAGTATCTCGTCTTTGAAAAAAATCCTTCTGTCTGCACTAAAATAGGCACTTCGTAGGTGTCATGTAATTTCCTAGTTGTCCGTTTTCCAACACGATTACCCAGCCAAAGATTACGTTTTAACAAATCACTGAAGGAAAAAATGACGGTCAAATAGACTAAATCAAATTATGTCATGACAAATCCGATCAGGCTTGGTAAGTGATCGTCAACGCATACCTACGTCACTCGTGCTATCAATCAGTGGATTGTCTGGTCTAAACTCGATTATTGATAGGACGCTGTCATACATGTGGAGATTATTTCACAGCAACTCATATCCCAATAGCTGACCAGTAAGTTTCTATCACATCCTATTTAGTATTCCTATGTTTTTGGCACCAACGGATGCTATGCACTGGTCATCTCGGACCAGTGATGACCCGGGTCACCAATCTACAACATGACTGATTATTTCTGTCACTGAACGCTAATATCATCGTTCATAATATCAACCACTAGGTTTCTTTCCACTGACAACCATTGTGTCAGGCGTGGTATGACTGACATGTCACTGACAACCATTGTTGTCAGGCGTGGTATGACTGACATGTCACTGACAACCATTGTGTCAGGCGTGGTATGACTGACATGTCACTGACAACCATTGTGTCAGGCGTGGTATGACTGACATGTCACTGACAACCATTGTGTCAGGCGTGGTATGACTGATATGTCACTGACTCAGGCGTGCAGCCCTCACAATCTATATCTAAGACAAGTATCAAACTCACCATCTTCGCTCGGAGTTCCTTCGCCATTTTGTTTGCATTGGCCCGCATGAGAACAGCCGACGGACGATGTCCAGTGAGTATGGCGCTCTTCTTCTTGCCGACGCTGACGCGGCTAAAGTCGCCGGAGACGCTGACGGTATCGGGGCTGTCTCTGTCCATGGCGGTCCCGCTAGGACTGGACATATCCACAGAAGGTCCTTTGCCAGATGACACTCGAGACGATGTTGCGAGCATTTCGGCCGACGGTTCTTCGTGGATAGTCACACTGACGAGATCAGGGGACAAGACGGCTGAGGTGGGACGGCTCTGGGGCTTCGACTCCATCTTCTCCTCTTTCTTTTTCGTTTCCTCCTTCTTGTCTTCCTTCTTTTCATCTTTACCCTCTCCCTCTTTAGAGACGTCTTTTGCTTCCTCCTCCTCTGACGACGAGGATTCGTCTGCTAAATCGTCCAGTTCCTTTGGGAGAAGATGTCTATAACGACGGAACAAACAAAATTCACCTTTCTTCCTCTTCTTTTTCTTTCCACCATCGCCATCGGACTTTTCTTCTTTCGACTTGGCTTGGACGAACCTTTGCAAGGTTTGGAGAGTACTGCCGGTGTAATTCTCAGGTTGGGAGTAATAGTCCAGATCAGTTTCTGGCGGATCACTCTTGCCGGTCGACAACCCACCCCCGCCAGCGTGTCTCCCAAACTCATGGTGTTGTGTTGTTTGTATCTCTCACCTTCGCCGCATGGCCATCAAAGGTCTGAAATATATCGAGACAAGGAAGATTAGGATTCGGTTAGACAGCGACTGGAGAGACATCGACCCTACTGCATGCGGCGGACGATGTCGCCAGTGTATGACGTCACAGACACATCTATGACGTCATGCGTCTATCAGTAGCCGACGCGTCACCCACGGTCTCAGATTATGTTGGTTGAGCGCAAGGAATTCTGGGAAAGAGGGTGCCAACACCCTTGTTTCAATATTTAAATGAATTTCTTCTGATTTTATATGATATTCATATCAGTCAAAACAATTATACTAAAAGAAAGTACTTATGTATGGACGTAATTCTATGAAGCTAGAAAATTATCTGATGAGTCATAATTTAATATATTCACAAAGATTAACTTTAGCCCGTAATCTGTGAATCCTGTGTGTTAACAGAGTTTTGATCACATGGTGACAACCAAGATGAGTGTCGGTTGCGAATGGCTCCATTAAATATTATGCCCAACATACGATGACCAGGTCGTCCCGGAGGGAGAGCGTGCACGTATCTAACGCGCTGTTGACCAAGGTAAAATGCGCTGCATATAACATGACAGCTGACCCTAACCCGGAGTGTAACCACGTGATCAGACCTCAATGGTGTCCATCGCTAAAATATCATTACGTATGTAATATTTTGGATTACTCTTTCTCAGTAAGCGCAGCTTAACGAATAATCATTTCTTGAAAAGCGCAATCTGGAAGGTTTGTCATTACTGTAAGCAATATTTCTTATCGTCAGTATGGCTTGTTTTTCAAGTAAGTATGGGTACAAACATAATAACTTTAAAGAATCGGTTACAGGCATATGAAAGATGATGCTTACCAACATTATTAAACCCATTTGAATAATTATAAACAATTTGAAAATCTAGGACTTGAAAACAGTATGTCTCCAAAGCAGTGTTCCACCTGTACAATGGTGTTAACACAGGGTAATCGTTGGAAAATCCAGGCTGTATTTAGTCCATCTCGTAAGTGAACTGTTAGTAGCTGAAATATTGCTGAAAGCAGCGTAAACCCCCTCTCTCTCTCTCTCTCTCTCTGTCTCTCTCTCTCTCTCTCTCTAAGTAAGTAATAGTACTAAACACTGATTGTTAGTTGAGCTGATCAGTATCCCTGTTACCGTAGTATATACCTCTCTCTCACTCTAATAGTACTAAACACTGATTGTTAGTAAACACTTACCGTAGTATATACTCTCTCTCTCTCTCTCTCTCTCTCTAATAGTACTAAACACTGATTGTTAGTTGATCAGCTGATCAGTATCCCTGTTACCGTAGTATATACTCTCTCTCTCTCTCTCTCTCTCTCTCTCTCTCTCTCTAATCTCACTCTCTCTAAACACTGATTGTTAGTTGAACTGATCAGTATCCCTGTTACCGTAGTATATACCTCCTCTCTCTCTCTCTCTCTCTCTCTCTCTAAACACTGATTGTTCTCTGATCTCCCTGTTACCGTAGTATATCTGTTACCGTAGTATATACCCTCTCTCACTCTCTCTCTCTAATAGTACTAAACACTGATTGTTAGTTGACCTGATCAGTATCCCTGTTACCGTAGTATATACCTCTCTCTCTCTCTCTCTCTAATAGTACTAAACACTGATTGTTAGTTGAACTGATCAGTATCCCTGTTACCGTAGTATATACCTCTCTCTCTCTCTCTCTAATAGCACTAAACACTGATTGTTAGTTGAACTGATCAGTATCCCTGTTACCGTAGTTTATACCTCTCTCTCTCTTTCTCTCTCTCTCTCTCTCTCTCTCTCTCTCTACTCTATCCCTGTTACCGTAGTTTATACCTCTCTCTCTCTTTCTCTCTCTCTCTCTATCTATCTATCCCTGTTACCGTAGTATATACCTGCAGCAAGGAAACAAATGTATATACATACATGCATTACACAGCGGCCGAAGTGTGTCGTATCCGTGGTGTGTCACAACAACCGCTCGGTGTCTGTGAGCTATCTGTCTATTGTCCCCAGATCGTCACTTTCCAACACTTTATCATGTTGTAAATTATCACAAGTTTCATTAACAAGCCGCATTTATCTGTTGATGTGTCGATACATATTGCTTCATATTTTCAAGCGACGACAACTTTGACACACAAATCAAAATCTGTTGTTGGCCGTCTTTGTGACAGTGTTTCCTTTAGTGAATGATAATCCCTCACGTGCCTTAACTCCAGCAACTGTTGTAACATTCATGTTGTTTGCGCACCCCTTTTACGCATGTTATAGGACAGTTAAGGAGATAAGTTTACAGCGCTGTAAATCTCGCTTTCTGACATATGAGTGTAGCGGGCGTTATGCTGTCCGCGCGAGAAGTGGACGAGATTTGCTGATCGCTTCTCGGATGTTGGGTCCTCGAGGTATGGATAATATACACACACGATCTACCGTGTCTGTTGTCAATACCAGGTGCACTTGGAAACACAGGATTATACGTGTTTAACTCTGCTGTTGAGTTACATTATCTCATTCAAATAGTTGATTTTTTAAAGTAAAACAACTACATTAACTTTTTAAGTGAGACTGTAACTAGTTGAATGACTCGACACCAGACACATATACGGGTAGAGAGTAGATCGCAGAGTATGCCTTGCTGGGGCTCCTGTGTCCATAAGTACCCCTTGAAACTGGAAGATATGAAACTATGTGACGTGTTGGGTCTGGTGTGTTTAGGAAAGAATTGTGGGAAGCTGCTTGATCGTTACACTTCGTCCATCGGTCTACCACAGGTTTCAGTGCAGGTGCTCAGCTTTACGTAGGTCATCCACATCGTTTCCTGGACTTCAATACTTACGATACCGATTAAAATTGTTCTTCAGCAGCCCATGCTTGTCCCCCTTGAAGATCCGAGTTAGAATTGGTCTTCAGCAACACATACTTGTCCCCCTTGAAGAGCCGAGTTAGAATTGGTCTTCAGCAACCCATGTTTGTCCCCCTTGAAGATCCGAGTTAGAATTGGTCTTCAGTAACCCATGTTTGTCATAAGAAGCCACTTCCGTGATCGCAGTCCAGTTGCCGCGAGTTTGAGTTTTGTTTCTAGGAACAATGACCAAATAGCAATCAGCACGATGTAGTAACATGTTTCTGTCGCTGGATACACCCATGTGTAACGTGACCTGAGAGGTAGGCGGCATCACGCCATATTACACCTTGATATAAACCTACATGGAATAACATCGTGCAAAACGTGCTCTATGGAAGTGTTGTGATCGTCACTACAGATGGCTTGTGTTTGACATTCAGACACATGTGTGTTTAGTTGAGGTATGTATTAATGTACTGTCAGTGTGTTTAGTGGACTGCCCACCTACCTCCATGTCTCCGGGTATAATCCCTTCCTGTCACATCACAGCAGCTGGTGAGATACACCGCGGTCACACCCGACAGTATATCACTCATAACTCACACCAATAGCCCCCAGTGAAGATATACATGTTATAAGCGGCCGTACTGTAATGGCCAGTCATTGGTCAGTGCTGGCCTCGCTTGGCCACTGCCAGTGGCCACATCAGTACAGACAGCAGTGCCACTCCAACTGGCGTTACACCATCCGCGTGCAGAGGTTGTTCAGCAGGGCTGACCCGGCCCAGGCAAGAAAACATCGGTATTCATATGTTGTGTTCCCGACATTTCCTACAGTGACTAAAGTAGATTATCCACGCAATATGTATACAGTGTTCCAGTAGATTATCCACGCAATATGTATACAGTGTTCCAGTAGATTATCCACGCAATATGTACAGTGTTCCAGTAGATTATTCACGCAATACATACAGTGTTCATGTAGGTTCAATCCATGGCGCCTAGTCATAATCTGTGACCATTTGGCAAGGGTTCATACACTGCAATACCACAAATATAAACTTGCTTTAGTTACATAGGACTTGACCTAGAATACGGTGATCAGACAATAATTCGATCTTGACAATCATGGAGATTATCGATCTGCTGCCATGTCTAGAAGCAGACTGGTACCGACGTCTCATATAATGTCACTATGCCAAGAGTGAAACAAGTATAATAAATCGACGATCTATAAAAGAACACCGAATATAGAAATGAATAGTTAGTCGATAATAAGCTATATTACTTTCTGGTATATGCCAGCAATCATTATTACCTAGTTTCTGGTATAACAAGCATGATAACATAGTTTATATCATGTTATAACCAACAAGAAGAAAGCGAGATATGAGAAAGGAAAGTTGGAAGAGTACCATTCATAATACCATGCATGGGTCCATTTAGGGGAAGTATAATTTGTCTATAGCTACAAGAAGACATGCCTTTCTGAGGCATGGTGCATGTAGATTACAACTTGTCGAAACACTCATCAAGTGAACAAGTCATACATCTGTCGCCAGTTACTGGTGTATTACCGTCGCACGTTTACAAGTGGTTCAACGGGGCAGGTGCGCCATGTTGACAGACGGTCATGCTGGTGTAGACAGGCTCGATACAGCCGTAATCCCATCGTGGTGTAGTGTACATACTGCCCAAGTGTTGACTGCCGAAGTGTTGACCACTCGGTCACTCCACCCCTGTGATGTACAATGTTGACTGCCGAAGTGTTGAGCGAGGCAGGATGGACCACTCGGTCACTCCACCCCTGTGATGTACAATGTTGACTGCCGAAGTGTTGAGCGAGGCAGGATGGACCACTCGGTCACTCCACCCCTGTGATGTACAATGTTGACTGCCGAAATGTTGAGCGAGGCAGGATGGACCACTCGGTCACTCCACCCCTGTGATGTACAATGTTGACTGCCGAAGTGTTGAGCGAGGCAGGATGGACCACTCGGTCACTCCACCCCTGTGATGTACAATGTTGACTGCCGAAGTGTTGAGCGAGGCAGGATGGACCACTCGGTCACTCCACCCCTGTGATGTACAATGCCCATATGTACATAAGTGCTCTCTTACTTGACACCTTGAACCGTAATATTACCCTGAAGTGTGTGGGTAAAGTGTTACAAGCAACACGAACTGTACAGTGTGTGGTCGAATGTGTGAAGCAGAACTGATTGTGGCCGCGCAAATTCTTGTAATGATGTTAAATGTGTGTGTAAACATTGATTGGTACCACCTCTTTGCCTTATTTCCGTCAGGTAAACGCTGTCATGGCCAATTCCACCTGTCATTCTCAGGATAAAATTACAGTTACTACGCAGACGATAATTACCCAGTTTCTACGCTACACAAATGTCCTGGGTTGGGTTCCTGTTTTGCGACTACTGACGACTGCCACGCGGACGTATTGGGGGAGGAAAAGTTGTTTTACGCCGCAAGCGGCACTATTCCAGCCTGTGACCAGAGGGCGAGCGTAGGTCACCCTGTGAACAGCATGGAATGATACCCCACCTGGAACCTTGAGAACATAAAGGCGACATTTGTCGCCTCGCGTCGTCCAGAATTATATACCACTGCTTGCTGTGTGCAATCACATAGACCTCGGTAATCAGAGCAGTACTGTTTCCTTTCATGCTAGTGTAAGGAGCTTTTCCGACTTGTGAAATGTGGATTTATAAAACAAAATCACACGTTGCAATTTGACTCACGATGCCTGACTACATTAACTTAACACAATTAATGTTATTATTATTGGTGTTGTTGTTGAGGTTATCACATGTTGTTCGATGTGCCAGGATATAGCTGCTATATTGCTGACCATATCCTCAGATAGTTCACTCACTCGTCCATCGGTAACCCTCGAATACAGGTAAGGTTTATAGATAAGGTGAGCTAACAAATCATTATTCCTTTTCTGACCAAGTGGTATTGTGACGTCCCGACATGTGGCTGCTGTAACAAGTACGTTTGATCTCCCTGTTCTTTAAGTGTCATTTCCTAGCCCGTGGAGAGTTGAACGTGATTATAGTTCATGCGCCGTACAACCGGGCGGACGATAACAACCCTTATTGATCGACGGCCCGTGTCCGCAGATTTCATTCCTTTTTTAGACGGAAACACAAATGGAATCGGTAAAACAGAACTATATTATGAAGCTCATACAAGGGGCTACGCACTTCTCAATCCGGGGATAAAGAGATCAGCGGATTAATGACAGCAAGCTATCAGGAAGGACTTAGTTCGATGCTGTTATGGCGGACCATTAGACAAGCTTGTGTTGTGGATCTATTACAATAACTATATACAGAAAGGCCTAAGTATGCTTTGTCCCGCAAATAGAAGCACCCGTGACGTCATGAAGTGAACTAGTCCAGCCTGGCGTGGACCATCCTCGTTTGGCCAGGGTATAATATGTGGATCTATTATATACCTCCGTTGAGTCCGATCTTGAATATGCATGAGAGAGACCGAATACGTGAGAAGCTACTGATAAGATTGTGACGTCATTACATTAAAGATGTGAGGGTAGCGACCATGATAGGGTCCGAATTAGATGGAGATGAGTTATCGAAGATGTCGAGAGGGTCAAATGGTTGTAGAGTGGGTGTTAAATGGGCTGTGGGGACAGTACACGGATATCCTTCACTCATTCAAATATAGCCATTGAGATCAACCGATGTACTTCCTATATCTTCTACACCCATCAACACGGTCTACCTGTACAACCACTGCTACAGATGTTGATGTAACACCTTTGTTAACCCTAACCTCAGCAATATTCAAGCTTTATGACAGTTGCCTGTAAAAATAATCGACCAGACAATCCAGTGCGGACCAGACAATCCAGTGACTGGTATCATGAGCAGCTTTCCTCTCGCAACGGTCTACCTCTACAACCACTCCATCCAGACAGTATGATGACACGCCAAGTCTCTAACATTTAGACTGCAACAGTAAGTGTTACTCAAGTAGTGCTACCACAAAACTACTGCGACTGCTACCACGGTCACGACTACACCTACCGCTACCTAAAGGAGTGTTTGTAAGACCACATACATAGACCATCGCTCATGCGTTGTCTGTCTCGTGGTATCAACATCAGTGCCCCTTCAGACGATGGCTCAACGTTATTCATCTAGCGTGTATCGTTGAAATGAGCAAATCATCAAGTCCTCGATGACAACCTTTAATTACAACATACGTCCAATGTCTGTTATTGGTTGATCTTCCATGAGTTTCCATGACAACTATCAAAATGGGGGGCAGGGGTCGTCACATTCTCGGATCCAGCTTTCAAGTTGGCCGCTCTCCACGTGCATCAGAGCAGTGTAGATAGTACCCTAGTAGGGGAAAAGATTATTATTGTGTGTTATTCTTACATATAGGACTATAACGGAGGTAACGTAGCTATGGCAGAGCACAAGGTCAAAAGGGGGGACAACTTTGAACACATTAAAAGCTTTAGTTTGTATTCGAGACTACATACTTACCTTATTTAGGACGGGCTTCGTCGACAGGACATCAAACAGTGCAGGAAGAGATACCCCCTGTGGAAATAGACAAAGCCATGTACACGCCCGCAGATCGCATCCAGTGGCCCGGCGTTAAAAACGAACACACACAAAATACAATACCAGTGTTTACTCGTACAAGTTAAATTACAACTAAGTTAAAAGCCTACCCTCCACCCCACCCCAGGTACACCTTCTCTTACCCCACCCAAGGGACAAAGCTTCTCTACCCAACCCCGATGTTACTCCTCTGTACCCCAGGACACGCCCTCTCTCTACGACCCCAGTGTACGTCCCCTCTACCCAACCCAAGGGCTCTCATCTCCACCCGATCCCAGAGTACCTCTCTACCTGACCCCCAGTACCACCTCCCCTCTACCTGTTGTGTAGTCTCCCTCATGCACTGGTTCGCCGGGCCCCGTCGGTCGTCCAGAAACAGTGGCTTCATCCAGTGGTCGTAGTTGGTCTCCAGGATGTACCAGCCTCCGGCAGACGCCATCGGCCACACGTCTATAGCCTCATCCTTGTTGCGCGTGATCACACTGCCCTGGAGCCAATCAAAGTGCACATAGAGTGAGGTCCTGTTCAGTAAGAAGACTGTTGCAGGAGGTCCTCCAACAGTAAAATTGGGAACTAATGTCACAACATATGGACGCTCCAACTGTAATCGACATCTGTCTGTTTGCCCTGTCTGTGTTCCCGGTTCAGTAATATTTCTATAAATCATAGTGTTATAATCTCTCAAAGTGAAAATCAAATCAATGTAAATTACGATTGATTAAAATACGTTGGATCACTACTCCGATCACTATAGGAGCTGTGTATCAACCCGGGGCTCGCCCATGTATTCCAAATGGAATGGAACTATCGACACATCAGACTGTCAGATTATACCAATTCTTGTATCTCCGATACTTGAACACTGACTGTTGTCGTAAAGCAACAAATGCTTTGTGAACGACCTCTGGTGGGTTACTTGGAGAATGCAGGGGACAAGTGATAGCCTTGAAGTGAATGACCAAGAGTGGCAGAATTTCTGCTTGACCTACGACAGCATATATCATGGCGATAGAGGGAACAAGCCCATCACCAAACTGTACACCACCACCTGCTCTAATAGGGTAATTTTCTTACGATATCTTTCAATAAATTAATTAAAGGTCAGATAAGTTATTCTTGGCTTATTTCCTTTTTGGAATTAGGGCATTTGGTCAATAGTTGTATTTGCAGATTAGGAAAGATGCGAATGGAGCCAAAAGGAACGTAATAGTGTAAGGTCTTTAGAACGGCGCGTGAGGTTTTTACAATATCAACAAAATGATTTGTGTGTCTGGACGAAAACGTCCCATGTACAAAGCCTGTCAAATACACCATTTGTAAAAAACACACATAATAACTCCAAGTGTAACTTGATCAAATGTCACACTTCAAATCGACAAACTACTGCCATTGATCTTATTGAGTTACCTCCCCTGACGTCCTTCCCCCTAGGATATAGTAGATCGGAGCCAGCAGTGGAGTGCTCCGCAGCATGGTTAGTGCCTCTGAGTAGGTTTCGGCCGTTTCCAGGGCGGTGCGCGTCAGGAAGCCCGTGAAGGTTCCGTTCTTCATGTCCAGCAGCCATTCCAGTACACCTGTCCAACAACAACCAGGTCAGGTCAGGTCAGGTCTAGGCAGGGCAGGGCAGGGGGCAGGGCAGGGCACGTCAGGGTAAGACAATGTCATAGCGTCCCCGCAGACAACAGTGGTTTGTCCGGTCTAAACTCCATTAAGAGAGATTTAGAAGTTGGGAGTACTGAAGAAGGACAACAATGAGTGCATCAACAACATCTTCATTACAACAGGTCAGAGTGACGTTCCAGTGTTGGGTCTAACATCACTTGCATGGTAACGGTGTCGGAACCTACACCGAAATGTCTCTCCTATTGTAACAAAGATGTTTCCAAAGAAAATGTGATGAATTTATCAGCATGTACATGGAATTAAAGCAATCTATGACACCTATTCTTAATAACCTGCCAGGCTAACAACATATACACCTGTTTGCAGATGGTATAAATGAAATAACATGAAATGGTTATTAAAAGGTGAGACGGTTATTTCAACATATATCAGAGTTGTGTTTTGTTCTTCAGTTTGCTTGTTTTCACGACTGTTTTCAGCCCAGTGACATTCGTAGTATTTCGGTCCAAACAATTTTTAAGTAAATACTTTCTGTTGTCCGGCAGTTTACTACAATGCCGACATAAGTAGGTATGCAATAACTAGAAGGTGATGTAGGTGTTAAGTAAAGCTTTAACCTGTACGGTATATAATTAGTTTCATGTTATACTGACCAACGACACCTCCCCCAGCGTCCCCGCTACGGGCGTTCTCCGACACGCTGAATGCTTTCTGTAAAGAAGATGGTAGACAGTGTAGTACAGACTTCAGCTGGGCGTTATGTTCATATCTACACATCTACTTACATGTCACGTGTCAGGAAAACAGATGTTAACATCTGTCCTTAATTCAAGTTCAGGCATATTTCAATACGATGTATATCAGCAGAAAGAAATAAGGGGCTATCATAACTAGTGCAGATGTTTGGCTTGTGTTTGTCAGGAAGATGAGGGCAGGAGTTCGTTCTCACCCCAAATACTGGCACTGCAACCTGGGTTCAATTTCAATATGTTCCCTTATTTTTCCCTATCAGTATATTGATAAAGAAATACACTTCCTGTGAGGGTCAAATAAACAAGAAGAAACTAATAGGAAGAATTCACTGAAGTGTATTATGAAAAATAGATATAACGTTTGATATCTGCATTTATGGCTGACACTTTCTGGGCGTGGTGTTATGTATCAGTAGATGTTGGTGTCCGTCACTATATGTCCTTGATCACGTGATGACTGTGGGTATGGTTAACGCCTGTTTAACATAATTTCAGTTTACCGTGTGAGAGAGGAGTGAACTAACACGGGCTGTATATGCGCTATACACTCGCAACGAAATACGTAGCCATGGAATATAGAAACATATCACAGATCGTAATTTGGATTAAATCTGGGATTTGAACCCGCAAGTATCGGATCCTGTCACGACTAATGGGTTTTGGGAGTTATATACAATTATAACCCGGTTCTAGTGTTAATACTGACAAGGAAGAATGTACAGAACCAGTGATGCACACACACTTACCGGCTTCATCCCAGTTACAACCCCGACATAGCCTGCATAGTGAGCCGCTTTAAACACCAGGTTACCTCCCCTCATGTAATTGATGTTCACCAATAGAGGGCGCAGGTTTTCCGCAAGAAACCATGTCCTGTTTTTAATGTCATACCTGAAAATGTCATTCATAGGATTATTTCTCTGTGGAGTTTTGTTACAGACATTAGAAGAGATGTACGGACAATCGGTTTTAAGCTGAACTTGGGACGTTCTATTTGACCTGATCCCCTGGGCACGTGATGGGCTGCGTGATAATGGTTACTGAAGTGTGTTTCTAACCCTCGGAAGATTTGGATGTACATGGATGTACGGGAGACCGTAACAGTGTGTGGCCCGGAAGATCTCGGAAGTACAGGGATGTACGGGAGATGTACACCTACTGCCCGGGATGGATGTACGGGGATGTACGGGGAGACTAGTGTACACCTACCTGCCCGGAAGATGTTGGACTAGTGTACCGGCCCGGAAGAGATGTACGGGAGACTAGTGTACACCTACCGGCCCGGAAGATCTGGATGTACAGGGGTACGGGAGACTAGTGTACACCTACCTGCCCGGAAGATCTGGATGTACGGGAGACTAGTGTACACCTACCGGCCCGGAAGATCTGGATGTACAGGGATGTACGGGAGACTAGTGTACACCTACCGGCCCGGAAGATCTGGATGTACAGGGATGTACGGGAGACTAGTGTACACCTACCGGCCCGGAAGATCTGGATGTACAGGGATGTACGCGAGACTAGTGTACACCTACCGGCCCGGAAGATCTGGATGTACAGGGATGTACGGGAGACTAGTGTACACCTACCGGCCCGGAAGATCTGGATGTACAGGGATGTACGGGAGACTAGTGTACACCTACCTGCCCGGAAGATTTGGATGTACAGAGATGTACGGGAGACTAGTGTACACCTACCGGCCCGGAAGACCTACGGGAGACCCTACACCTACCCCAACGGGAGACTAGTGTACACCTACCTGTCAAAGATGTACATGTACACCTACCTGCCCGGAAGATCTGGATGTACAGGGATGTACGGGAGACTAGTGTACACCTACCTGTCCGGAAGATCTGGATGTCCAGGGATGTACGGGAGACTAGTGTACACCTACCGGCCCGGAAGATTTGGATGTACAGGGATGTACGGGAGACTAGTGTACACCTACCTGTCCGGAAGGCAATACAGTGCGTTTGTGACAATAAGGTTTTGATGTAATTTCCGAAATTCCTGAAATAGACGTTCTGCTGTTGATATTCAAACTAGACCGGGGGTTTAGAGGGAATACGATATTACTGTGGTAGTACGGCAAGATGACGAGAGATAAACCTACCCTTCCCCAAACTCAAAGTCCATGTTCCTGGCGTGGTAGAGTTCCCCTGCAACAGAATGTTAGAAACTTAGCATGTCTCAATGTCATGTAATGAAGTGTACATATACTCACAGGTGTGTCTGTACCTTACTGTAGGCACAAACACATACTATTCCGTAGGCACCACTTTATACCATTCTGTAGGCACCAAGAGATACCCTTCTGTCAGCAGCAATATGCACCGCTTTGTATGGAAGCAGCATCGTTCGTTCTGCAGTCACTATTTGCAATGTATACAGCCCTGCAGGTAACAATACATCCGGGCGTTCATCGTTTCATTGTTACACTGCGGTAGTGCTGGCATACTGTTCAAACCAAATTTACTCACTCATTCAGTGTGTTGCATCCTTAATACATACATAAAATCAGGACTACTTCTAATCACAGGCAAACTGTAGCGCAAATAGGGTTGCTCGCATATAGAAAGACTGGTAATTTTTTCTCTTTGTTGCGCAACCCTATTTATTTGCGCTATTCTCGAAACGTTCGTAGCCCTACGAACTTCTTAAGTCCATTCTTTACACATTGGCTACGATCAAAGTTACGAATTCTTAGGGCTACGAACGTTTCGAGAATAAGGGCCCTGGTTTTTAAGTTGACTCACCTTTACTGTCCTCGGCGACAATGGACGTGCAGAACGTGGACATCTCGTAGAAGATGTTGTACAGGACGGCGTCGGCTGTAACGACACAGGTGTGGAAGATAAGACAGTCACATGACCTTTCTGCTTGACTGTAGTTAGTCGTCAGTGGGTTTGTATGTTCTCGGATAATCATGAATATTTTGGGGATACTCTTCCAAGTAAAGACTGAGCACACGATTTCATAAACATATCTCTCACTTTATGCATGGCCCCTAACCTATTTTGTTTAGTGTATGATACAGCGACTTCAAACGATGGGACGCTGAAGTATCCAGTAACGACAATGGATCCATCCCTACTACGACCTCATGGTGGAGGAGTTTCGAGACTGTATAACACGGCCGTGGTATTCTTATCCAAGCAGTATTTCTGAACTCGCGGTTTATTAACCAAAAACATGAACAGAAGAAAAGATTCTTTTCTAATTTTACAAATATTTTGTTGTATGTTTGTTTGTTTGTTTTACGCGGCACTCAGCAATATTCCAGCTATATGGCGGCGGTCTGTAAATAATCGAGTCTGTACCAGTGATCAACAGCCTAAGCATATACCTACACAATTGGGATATTTTGTATATGAATGTGTTTCTTAGATGATATTCTATTGAACCACGCGAATGGGTTACTGTTTAACTTGTGTTCAGTCCTCTTTAGTCAGCTTACCCAGCGACATGCCTGTAGCGTTGGCAATGCCTGCTATCTCCCCGGCAAACGGCTGTGGCAGACGCTCGTCCAGCTTGCCCTTCAGACGAGATATATTGATTACATATACATTGTCACACTCAACTGCAAGGATGTTGTTTGTTAGCTATAAATATCAGAAATCTTTTGTTGTCTTTTGTAACAAAACGCAAAGGAATACATGTACATGAATGTTGGAGGGATTTTATGACCCTTCTAACGATTGTATTTTCTTCATGGGAAAAGGCGGAAAGGCATGTTTTCGTTATTTTGTCCCATGAGTATATTATTATGACGTCAGACGCCGCTTACCACGTTGTTTCCACCCAGTCTACCAGCAGCTTCATGTCACGTCCATACTGCTCAAGACTCGACTTGAACTTGTCCAACAGCCGGCGGATCTGAGGGAGACAGGCGAAGTGACTGACATATTTTTGTAGTGTATGGTCAAACAAAGAGCACGGACATGCCGAGGCAGCACAACGATACTATAATCGGATTGAATCTTGGATTCAAACCCAGGACCGACAGCTACGGGTAGGTCTAAGAGACGTAAGGGGCGTGTATTTTAGTCAAATCACGTCAGTTTAGCGCCACTACGGACAGTATTTCAGTGACGCCATGACGTGTTGCCCAGCTTTATGTTGGGGGAAACCCTGAACTGATGCAGATCCTGGATGTTTAACCCATCAGCACCTGTATGATACACAGAGCACATCACCGTAGAATATAGTAGGTGTTAATTGTGTCTCTCGGCCACTGATATTTCATCCATAACAAGTCACAAGGTCACGCTAGAAATGGACGTATCACCGTGACTGTTCATCACTTGCCGCGGAGGGATACACGGTTTTGTTTGTTTGTTGTTTAACGCCGCACTCAACATTATTCCAGCTATATGGCACCGGTCTCTAAATAATCGAGTCTGAACCAGACAATCCAGTGACCAACAGTATGAGCATCGATCTTCGCAATTGTGATACAATGACATGTGTCAACCAAGCCAGCGAGGCTGACCACCCGATCCCGTTAGTCGCCTCTTACTACAAGCATGGGTTACTGAAGATCAATTCTAACCCGGATCTAACGGGTTAGGGATGCACGGATAAGGAGATGCAGTACCGTCAGCTAACTTGTATAGATAGTCTGGAGGATATGACTCATCTGTCTACTATCAGAGCAAAGGTACACCTACTGCATTAGACACGTCATAGTTCCGTACCTGTACAGTTCCTGTAGATACCATACAACAACATGGCCTTCATCAAAGGCATTGCGGGTATTATGCAGGAATTCACTTTGCGTCCCCGAACGCGATGTGAATGCAGTGTTTGCTGAAGGCGACGTAAACCGCCGTGTTTTCTCACTCACCTGCATCGTCTTCGGCTTCACGACGTGAACCCATCTTTGCTCAGGTGGAAGGTCAAGGTCAACCGTAAGTGTTTCAACGCCGGTCCTGAAGGAAGGAAGTATTTTTGCACTCTCGCGTTTTTGACTGATATATTTCATATGGCCGGACCACTAATACGGCGGGCAAACCACTATCTGAACATTGTAGAAAGGCAGAAGCAGCTATGTGTAACATGACTTATATCTGGGTTGCACGTTCTTACTAAAGAACAAATTCTTGCACCTTACTGTGTTGAGTCCCACCCGGGATTGGGCAATGGGAGCCGTGGCAGTTGACACTTGTCAGAGGGGTTCGCTACATTGTCTAGACTACCAGTTATAGGACTTCATTTTTGTGGCAGCCTCGGTGTGTTTGTCGCTGACTGTGGTGCTGAGAGCGTGGGTTCGACTCACGTTTCAGGAGCCTCCCTTGCTCCAGCATCTTAATGGTATGGTAATGATAGAGCTACTCACTTAGAGGGAGGGGGGTAGATGTTTTTCTCACAGGTGACGTTTTCCTGAAACAGGTGAACATGGGACGCAGTTAATATAACAGCTAAATAGGTACAAAATAAACACAGGCAGTTGTGTATTGTTACTTGTAATCTGCAGACTTCATGTGTTGATACTTGACAAATGAACCGGAGGTGGTTTGTATTCAGTTTAACACAGTGACTAGTTGTACACACGGCTCAAGCTCTGGGGTGTACTTCAGGCTCCATTTAAAGACTGACCGTCGCCGTTACATGTGGTCTGGACCAGGTAATCACGTGTGCTATGACCATCGTCCTACCCCGGGGGTGGATGCTCGCGTGCATTCAACCACGTGACCAAACCAGACCACCCAATCCATTTAGCGTTTCATTGATACAATTCATGTTTCGAAGGAAAGAAGATAGTATGTGCTTCACAAAATGCAAAATGATAAATTAAACCATGCATCCAGTAAGCATGCTGCTATAACTATAACGCGTGCTACCTACACCCAGGGCGAGCGACGCCGTCGTCAGCAGCAGCAGCAACACATTCACAACCGTCGCCATGTCTCGGGGATGCAGGATTATGTCGGGTGTCCGACTTCAAGTGTCCTAGTTGTCCAGTGCCTTGTATCTAGTATATGATAACGTGTTATACACAGACCTATAAACAGAATGACGACCCTGCAGATATTGGGTCTATGGTCACACATGATATAGGCGATAACCTTGATTCCGTATCTACTGACATACAGTCTGCAATATCGGTCTTGGTCAATATCATCTGGTAACAACTATGGACTCTTGTTCTGCCTGCAAAACGCAGTGATATACCGCACAAGCGGCATTTGGTTATTTTTCTCTTTTCTCTATCCAGATCAAGATACGCCCATACATTTGATTTTTTTATCTTTCTCCATGTCTATCAATTGTCAAGATAGTTACCTTATCATTTTAAGAAGTGAAATTTCAAACGATGTATAATATTTACTCTCATCTGCAGAGAATTGTAACAACTAATACCATACAGCCACACCTTATGAGGAGTAAACTATATATATTTAATATAGGTCTTAATAAAACATTATCAGATGGGTACATAGAACTCAGTATGTCAGTGTAAATGGCTATCAATCTTCTTTTCTCTCAACCTCTACTGCAGAACCAAATGCCTGTGTTCCTTCATCCGTACTCTTCGTTTTGTATACTAATGACTGTTACTTGTCAATATATGACGTGCTTACTGTGAAATTCGCAGATGACGCCACTGTTACTGGCCTAATTTCCGATTCTGAACATTATTATTGTCAAGGCATTGACAAAACCGTAATGACAGTTTTTTATCAAACCTCTATTCAAAGTGTGTTGACCTACAATTTTCTATGTTGGTATGGGAGTCTGTCTCATTGCAACAAAACAAGCTTTTCAAAATTGTTAATACTGCTTGCAAAATTTCACCATTTTGAACTACTTCCTTCTGGACGCTGCTGTCGATTACCTTCCCTCAAAACAGAGTTCGACAGTCTTTCATACCATCAAGTATTCGTGAATGCAACAAATATTTTGAATCACCATCACGTGATTACAACTAGAATTATTCAGCCTCTTTACCTATGTGGTTAATTGAATTATATCATGTCAGTTTTATTGTGTAAATAGCATTCGTTTTCTGCATGTAATTATTGTGTATATTTTTGTGAACTGTGTATATATTCATTTTGAGACAGTTGGATGTATAAGAATTTCCTCAGGATAATCAAGTTACATCTTATCTTAATATTAGACGTTAACGGCCGCTCATGCTTAGCACATGGCAGACAGTCTGTCAACGTCAATAATTCGAGTTGTCTCCCCTTTTCGAGTCCTCGAGTCCTTGAAAATGGACTCGAGTCCAGCTAAACCCGACTCGTCCTCGAGTACTCGAGTACCCGTGGAAGCCCTACACAATATCACACCGGGTCCATATCGGCGAGGACATCTGGAGACTGATAACGCAAAGTGAACCTTGACTTTGGGCGTCCAATATGTTCTTTATTGGACCAATCAGATCAGATTTGTTAAACGTTTAAAACCATCATTCTGAAATTTCTATGTGACCAAAGGAAAATCCACACAGAACACACATATCATTTTGAGAGACTCAGTTTCGGGTGTATATGTCGTGACGTTCAGTGTAAGGGTGTATATGTCGTGACGTTCAGTGTAAGGGTGTATATGTCGTGACGTTCAGTGTGAGGGTGTATATGTCGTGACGTTCAGTGTAAGGGGTGTATATGTCGTGACGTTCAGTGTGAGGGGGTGTATATGTCGTGACGTTCAGTGTGAGGGTGTATATGTGAGCGACGTTCAGTGTAAGGGGTGTATATGTCGTGACGTTCAGTGTAAGGGTGTATATGTCGTGACGTTCAGTGTAAGGGTGTATATGTCGTGACGTTCAGTGTAGAGGGTGTATATGTCGTGACGTTCAGTGTAAGGGTGTATATGTCGTGACGTTCAGTGTAAGGGTGTATATGTCGTGACGTTCAGTGTAAGGGTGTATATGTCGTGACGTTCAGTGTGAGGGTGTATATGTCGTGACGTTCAGTGTGAGGGTGTATATGTGGTGACGTTCAGTGTAAGGGTGTATATGTCGTGACGTTCAGTGTGAGGGTGTATATGTCGTGACGTTCAGTGTAAGGGTGTATATGTCGTGACGTTCAGTGTGAGGGTGTATATGTCGTGACGTTCAGTGTGAGGGTGTATATGTCGTGACGTTCAGTGTAAGGGTGTATATGTCGTGACGTTCAGTGTAAGGGTGTATATGTGGTGACGTTCAGTGTAAGGGTGTATATGTCGTGACGTTCAGTGTGAGGGTGTATATGTCGTGACGTTCAGTGTGAGGGTGTATATGTCGTGACGTTCAGTGTGAGGGTGTATATGTCGTGACGTTCAGTGTGAGGGTGTATATATGTCGTGACGTTCAGTGTGAGGGTGTATATGTCGTGACGTTCAGTGTAAGGGTGTATATGTCGTGACGTTCAGTGTGAGGGTGTATATGTCGTGACGTTCAGTGTAAGGGTGTATATGTCGTGACGTTCAGTGTGAGGGTGTATATGTCGTGACGTTCAGTGTGAGGGTGTATATATGTCGTGACGTTCAGTGTAAGGGTGTATATGTCGTGACGTTCAGTGTAAGGGTGTATATGTCGTGACGTTCAGTGTGAGGGTGTATATGTCGTGGCGTTCAGTGTGAGGGTGTATATATGTCGTGACGTTCAGTGTAAGGTGTATATGTCGTGACGTTCAGTGCGGTAAGGGTGTATATGTCGTGACGTTCAGAGTAAGGCTGTATATGTCGTGACGTTCAGTGTAAAGGGTGTATATGTCGTGACGTTCAGTGTAAGGGTGTATATGTGGTGACGTTCAGTGTAAGGGTGTATATGTGGTGACGTTCAGTGTAAGGGTGTATATGTCGTGACGTTCAGTGTAAGGGTGTATATGTCGTGACGTTCAGTGTAAAGGGTGTATATGTCGTGACGTTCAGTGTGGGTGTATATGTGGTGACGTTCAGAGTAAGGCTGTATATGTCGTGACGTTCAGTGTAAGGGGTGTATATGTCGTGATCGCGTTCAGTGTAAGGGTGTATATGTGGTGACGTTCAGTGTAAGGGTGTATATGTCGTGACGTTCAGTGTAAGGGTGTATATGTCGCGTGGCGTTCAGTGTAAGGTGTATATGTCGTGACGTTCAGTGTAAGGGTGTATATGTCGTGACGTTCAGTGTGAGGGTGTATATGTCGTGACGTTCAGTGTAAGGGTGTATATGTCGTGACGTTCAGTGTAAGGGTGTATATGTCGTGACGTTCAGTGTCAGTGTATATGTGGTGACGTTCAGTGTAGGGGGTGTCGCGTCGTGACGTTCAGTGTAAGGGTGTATATGTCGTGACGTTCAGTGTAAGGGTGTATATGTCGTGACGTTCAGTGTAAGGGTGTATATGTCGTGACGTTCAGTGTGAGGGTGTATATGTCGTGACGTTCAGTGTCAGGGTGTATATGTCGTGACGTTCAGTGTCAGAATTGTGTATATGTCGTGACGTTCAGTGTGAGGGTGTATATGTCGTGACGTTCAGTGTGAGGGTGTATATGTCGTGACGTTCAGTGTGAGGGTGTATATGTCGTGACGTTCAGTGTGAGGGTGTATATGTCGTGACGTTCAGTGTAAGGGTGTATATGTCGTGACGTTCAGTGTAAGGGTGTGTATGTCGTGACGTTCAGTGTAAGGGTGTGTATGTCGTGACGTTCAGTGTAAGGGTGTATATGTCGTGACGTTCAGTGTGAGGGTGTATTACTATACACAACTATAATGGCACCGTCTGTCTTCTACATTCGAAAATCGTCGTTTTTGCTTGTTTTGGAGCTGATATTGACATTTAGGGCCCTCGTCATTTATATGCTGCTAGGGAGGTTCACGTGGCGTTACCTCCCGTGAAGTTGCCCCCCTCATCTTCAGGGAGAGATATCATAAAAGCAAACGATCCGATTATGACGAGATTGTCCTGACCAAGACTTTATAAGAGGGTTGGGTGATTGGTTTCAGATTGCTTGTGTTCGCTTAGTATTCTTAGTGTGTCGTAATCTCAAGGTTGCCTCGTGTATTTCTCATGCATAGTGTATTCTCAAGCTTGCTTCGTGTATTCTCCAGCTTGCTTAGTGCGTGTTCAATCCTACACAGTGCTGCTTACTGTATTCTCCAGCTTGCTTAGTGCGTGTTCAATCCTACACAGTGCTGCTTACTGTATTCTCCAGCTTGCTTAGTGCGTGTTCAATCCTACACAGTGCTGCTTACTGTATTCTCCAGCTTGCTTAGTGCGTGTTCAATCCTACACAGTGCTGCTTACTGTATTCTCCAGCTTCCTTAGTGCGTGTTCAATCCTACACAGTGCTGCTTACTGTATTCTCCAGCTTGCTTAGTGCCTGTTCAATCCTACACAGTGCTGCTTTCTGTATTCTCCAGCTTGCTTAGTGCGTGTTCAATCCTACACAGTGCTGCTTACTGTATTCTCCAGCTTGCTTAGTGCGTGTTCAATCCTACACAGTGCTGCTTACCTGTATTCTCCAGCTTGCTTGGTGCGTGTTCAATCCTACACAGTGCTGCTTTTACTGTATTCTCCAGCTTGCTTAGTGCGTGTTCAATCCTACACAGTGCTGCTTACTGTATTCTCCAGCTTGCTTAGTGCGTGTTCAATCCTACACAGTGCTGCTTACTGTATTCTCCAGCTTGCTTAGTGCGTGTTCAATCCTACACAGTGCTGCTTACTGTATTCTCCAGCTTGCTTAGTGCCTGTTCAATCCTACACAGTGCTGCTTACTGTATTCTCCAGCTTGCTTAGTGCGTGTTCAATCCTACACAGTGCTGCTTACTGTATTCTCCAGCTTGCTTAGTGCGTGTTCAATCCTACACAGTGCTGCTTACTGTATTCTCCAGCTTGCTTAGTGCCTGTTCAATCCTACACAGTGCTGCTTACTGTATTCTCCAGCTTGCTTAGTGCGTGTTCAATCCTACACAGTGCTGCTTACTGTATTCTCCAGCTTGCTTAGTGCGTGTTCAATCCTACACAGTGCTGCTTACTGTATTCTCCAGCTTGCTTAGTGCGTGTTCAATCCTACACAGTGCTGCTTACTGTATTCTCCAGCTTGCTTAGTGCGTGTTCAATCCTACACAGTGCTGCTTACTGTATTCTCCAGCTTGCTTAGTGCCTGTTCAATCCTACACAGTGCTGCTTTCTGTATTCTCCAGCTTGCTTAGTGCGTGTTCAATCCTACACAGTGCTGCTTACTGTATTCTCCAGCTTGCTTAGTGCGTGTTCAATCCTACACAGTGCTGCTTACTGTATTCTCCAGCTTGCTTAGTGCGTGTTCAATCCTACACAGTGCTGCTTACTGTATTCTCCAGCTTGCTTAGTGCGTGTTCAATCCTACACAGTGCTGCTTACTGTATTCTCCAGCTTGCTTAGTGCATGTTCAATCCTACACAGTGCTGCTTACTGTATTCTCCAGCTTGCTTAGTGCGTGTTCAATCCTACACAGTGCTGCTTACTGTATTCTCCAGCTTGCTTAGTGCGTGTTCAATCCTACACAGTGCTGCTTACTGTATTCTCCAGCTTGCTTAGTGTATGCCGAGTGCTGCGTAGTGAGTCAACATGTTGCTTACTGTATTCTATATGTTACTTATCGTATGATCAGGGCGTTGCAGAGTTCAAGGTTGGTTAGTGTGTGTAAAATGCTGCTAACTGAATGACATATGGTCCCTGATGCTCGGCCATGTTAGTGTGTGACTCAGTTTGTGTTTGAATTGCTTAGCTTTAAGAGGAGTGGCCAAACAAACACGTCAGATGCTACTCTACCTCTATCAAAGTAGCAGCAATATTATAAAGAGGGACAACAGATAGAGTTTCAATCATGGTACCAAAGTGGGGAATCAAACCCAGGATAGAGTGGCCAAACAAACGCGTCAGATGCTACTCTACCTCTATCAAAGTAGCAGCAATATTATAAAGAGGGACAACAGATAGAGTTTCAATCATGGTACCAAAGTGGGGAATCAAACCCAGGATAGAATGGCCAAACAAACGCGTCAGATGCTACTCTACTACTTTATCAAAGTAGCAGCAATATTATAAAGAGGGACAACAGATAGAGTTTCAATCATGGTACCAAAGTGGGGAATCAAACCCAGGATAGAGTGGCCAAACAAACGCGTCAGATGCTACTCTACCTTTATCAAAGTAGCAGCAATATTATAAAGAGGGACAACAGATAGAGTTTCAATCATGGTACCAAAGTGGGGAATCAAACCCAGGATAGAGTGGCCAAACAAACGCGTCAGATGCTACTCTACCTCTATCAAAGTAGCAGCAATATTATAAAGAGGGACAACAGATAGAGTTTCAATCATGGTACCAAAGTGGGGAATCAAACCCAGGATAGAGTGGCCAAACAAACGCGTCAGATGCTACTCTACCTTTATCAAAGTAGCAGCAATATTATAAAGAGGGACAACAGATAGAGTTTCAATCATGGTACCAAAGTGGGGAATCAAACCCAGGATAGAGTGGCCAAACAAACGCGTCAGATGCTACTCTACCTTTATCAAAGTAGCAGCAATATTATAAAGAGGGACAACAGATAGAGTTTCAATCATGGTACCAAAGTGGGGAATCAAACCCAGGATAGAGTGGCCAAACAAACGCCAGATGCTACTCTACCTCTATCAAAGTAGCAGCAATATTATAAAGAGGGACAACAGATAGAGTTTCAATCATGGTACCAAAGTGGGGAATCAAACCCAGGATAGAGTGGCCAAACAAACGCTGGCGTCAGATGCTACTCTACCTCTATCAAAGTAGCAGCAATATCATAAAGAGGGACAACAGATAGAGTTTCAATCATGGTACCAAAGTGGGGAATCAAACCCAGGATAGAGTGGCCAAACAAACGCGTCAGATGCTACTCTACCTCTATCAAAGTAGCAGCAATATTATAAAGAGGCACAACAGATAGAGTTTCAATCATGGTACCAAAGTGGGGAATCAAACCCAGGATAGAGTGGCCAAACAAACGCGTCAGATGCTACTCTACCTTTATCAAAGTAGCAGCAATATTATAAAGAGGGACAACAGATAGAGTTTCAATCATGGTACCAAAGTGGGGAATCAAACCCAGGATAGAAAGCTTTGTCTACTTGTCTACTACAGAAAACACTGTTATACACCTATGACATATGCAGCTGTTGCTGGAGCAGAATAACAACACAAAGACAGATTAATATATATTAGAAAAGATTTATTTACAATGCAAAACAATATGTGTACAACTGTCATGACAAGGGGGCAGAAGGGAAATATCAAAGTGGTATATGATACAAAAGGAAACTTCTGTTTCGTTAATGGTTGAGATCATCGCCATGCCGACTAGGGTTGATAGAAGAAGGGAGGTAACTCTACTCAGTTTGAAGAGCAGGTTAGTCTGTCAAGTTATCTTTCTGATTGTGTTCAGTATAGGTTCAAATTTCGGATTAAGTGATTTTGTGAAACAATTTATTGTTTCAAAACTTAGCAATATTCTAATTTCTTATACACTAATTTTTCTGACATAATATAAGTACCTTTTTCCTAATCTATTTTTTTTACAAATGGTAACCATTACATCATTCAGATACTTCCATTACAGCACGAATTCAAAATAAGTGTAACACAAAATTCACTGTCCCACGTGTACACAATTACATATTATAGTGACAATCCGATACTCTTCCCACAAAAACTGAACACATGTTGGCTCTAAGCCAACAACACATCTCTCTTTCCCCAGGAATGTTTCGTGCATATCAATGTTATATAATTACCCACTCAACTTTACAGAGACAATTCCTGTCCCTAAAAACGAAGAAAAAAACACATTATGCATAATTCTTCACATTGCACAACTGTCAGTGTCTGTGAACAACAAAAAAAGAGATAAAACTTGGATCAGACAGAACTAAAGCAATACATTACTTGCTTGGATGATGACGGTCCTAAAATAAACTTTATTCCAATTAGCACTTGTACAAATCGCATAGGCTTTGAATATCACATCATGATGACTGCATGGGTGGTATATAGACATGTTTCCATGGTAACACTTCAGTCCGCATCCTCAACATCTATCTAATACTTCTATCTTGAAACTTCTGTATGAAACGAAACTCATCATCCGTGAACAAATTTTTAAAGATAATAAGGACCAGCCAGTAGAAAAGAAGGGTAGAGACTGATGGTTGCCATGGGAACCTGGAAGTGGAAGGTTACCAAGGGAAACAGGGGTCCTTGCAATATTGTATCCAGGTTTCAAGATGGCCGCTGTCAACTTGCATTAGAGCTGTGTATGTCGTTAGCTGAAACAAAACAACAGTGAGGGAGTAAATTTGGCAACTTTGAACATTACTGTCTGAGCAAAAAATTCATTCCAGTTACAAAAGCAACCTATGTATGACATGAACAGCATCTCGTTAACAGGGGGATTCTCGTTATCAGAAGATTCATCAAATCACTGTGCAATGTTGCATCCCTTGAACAGAGTTAGTTCCCTTGGGCATGCTAGGATCCTATGACAGTGGGATCAAACTAATGCTTCCAGGTTGTCAGCACCTGACTTTCTTCCCACACTAGGGCTTCATATACCTGGAATACTGTTTGAACACACTCACTCACTCTTACAATAACTGACTACATTTCCACAGTGATTTTGTACAAGTTGATCCTTCACTAAATGTAAGTACAAAGTATCTTTCTACTTTTCAATAACTGCTGATCTGTCTCCTGAAACAACAAATGGTGAATATACCACGGCACACAGACTGACCTTGTTAAGGACAGGTATTGAAGACAGCACATCAAACAGCCCGTTGACGGAGACATTCTGTAACACACACGATCAGAACAATGTCAGTGTGGTAACAATATAAAATACCACATGGGAAAGTACACATAAAACACTGAGAACAGAACAATAATGTGTTTGATAAATGGCTGAGTGATACTTGTAGTGGTACACTGCTTTCAGTAATACCTCGAAAGTGAGGGTTTACACATGGAACATGCATAGGACCTTAGTCTTTGGGGGACCAGCATAGGATGCTGGGGTCAACCTCACAGGATTTTCCAGTTAGTTCTTACTTTTCACAGGGAGACAATCATGGCTACATCAGATCACCATTATTTACCAACAAATTAATGAAAAGACAGATGACACCAGTGATAGTGTTTTCTGTATGATAAGACTTAATCCTAAAAGCAGTCAGTGTGGAACACGTTACCTGCTGAGTGAGTTTGTGCATGCACTTGTTGGCGGGGGTACGTCGGTCGTCAAGAAACATGGGTTTCTCCCAGTGGTCGTAGTTGGTCTCCAGGATGTACCAGCCTCCAGCAGACGACATCGGCCACACGTCCAGAGTCTTTTCCCTGGCCCTTGTAATCACACAGGCCTACAACACAGCAAAGGGGTCATTTGGACTCAAGTGTTAGAGTAGAAACTATGTCAGTGTTTCTTCCTGAATACACTTGCAACATAGGTTAAACATCAAGTGTGAATCAAATGTGGCTAATTCAGTCCGTATCCTACAACAAGAGTCATACAACACAGGACAGTATCATCTCACTTCAAACCGTGGAGTCTAGGTTAATCTGGAACACTCTTGTATTGGGAAGAAAATATTGCCAAAAACAGAACACTGAGTGTTTAGCCCCACGGCCAACAACACATCTCAAATTACATTACCTTCTGAACAAAACAACCAGAAATGACCAGAATTATGTTTTTCAATATGGCTGCAGTTGATAATTGGCTCTGAACAAACTGGAGTGTCATCATTACATGTGTTAGTGGGAACTGGCACGTGAAGTTTCAGCTTCACTGATCCAGGTCTTTCTGATCGGGATATATCAGCTGATAACCAGGCCATTAGACTGGAAGTACTGGATTTACAGGCAGGTGACGTAAAAGAATCTGTAACCTCTGTATGACTCTTGTTCACAGATGTTTTGTTTCCAAGACTTACCTCCCCTGACTTATTGCCTCCGAGGATGAAGTACGCTGGCGCCAACATCTCAGTCTGTGTCAGCCAGTCACGAGCCTCGGCATAGCTGGTGGCATTCTCCATGACCCGGCGAGTCAGGAAGCCCATCCACGACCCACTGTGATCACCCAATACCCACTCTATGATCCCTGTACCCAGAAAATAAGCATCAACTGACCATCACAGATAGCTACCTAAACACAGCGGCTGATGTGACGTGCCTCCACTTTCATTGTGTGTTAACCTTCTACCTTCCTCTCGTGTTGCTCACTTCCAAACTTGAATATTGGATGTAGGAGCAATCTGCAACCAACCTAACTACTCCACTATGCGTCATCTGTCAGCTGGTTCATGCATATGCCGGAGATTACAACAGTACCACTTCACGAGGAATATCATCCTGAAAGGTGGTGAGTCTGTGTGCTGTAGGGAAGGTGAGTTCGTTTCCTGTCTCTGAGTCACGGTCGGCAAACCAATGACCAACATCAACCCTGCTATAGTCAGAGAAGCCGACCATCTGATCCAAGAGGTGAAGAGAAATTGGGTTTAACGTCGTGCTTGAGAATATTTCGCTCATATGAGGACGTGCATGTGTATGTATGTGTATGTGCGGCTGCTTGTACTAGCCCAGACTTGAGCTGGTTTTATAGTGCTAGCCCACTGAGATAACAATGAAGCATGAATATCCCACTCAGACACATTATACTGACTCCGAGCCGACCAGTCCTTGTTGTACCCATTAATGCCGAGCGCCAGACAGGGACCAACAAGTACCATATTTTAACGTCTTTTGGTATGACGCGGCAGGGGATCGAACCCGCGACCTTCTGCTCTCTGGGCAGACGCTCTAACCACTACACCACGGAGGCGGTCTCTGATCCAAGATGTGTCTTAATATCTTATGAAATGTCGCATAGGAAGACTCGTTATCGTTAGATTCTATAAAATAGTGACTATCTAATATATAATAATATAAATGCACAGCAGTAGATCAGGCTGGGCGATAATCACTGTCACTATAACATCCAACTTCATGTCAACAGAATTATGTCACACTGAAACACTGATTACTGTCATACCAATAAATCCACCGTCAGCGTTGAACCTCTCATCCATGGACAGGGTGAACAGGCTCTGAAGTGAAGAAATCAATCAATGGCAGACAAACATGGACTTTCTGACAACCTACAATATCTGCTTGATATATGAATACCGGGTACACAGAATATAAGTGGCATTGGATATCAGACATAGCCATGTGACTCGAAAAACAAGCTTACAATTCTGAGGCTTGTGGATGAGATTTAAACTCTTTATCAATGAATATTGACATGTTTCTTATCCAGTGTTTGGAAACATGAGGATGAGATACTATTTATCATTCAATATAATTATTCAAACTTCGTCAGTTTGTAAACAGTGTCTTGAGTGTGAAAACATACAGGTCTCCCGGAATAGATTTTGAGATGTCCCCCGCCATGACTGGCTGTTCTGTTTTCTGCGGTTTCACCCTGCCGCGACAGATCACAACTTTTGCGTTTGCAAAGATGATAGTTTCTTAAACAACTTTTTTGGTGAGTCCAGAAAAAATTTCAAATATAAGAAAGATGTTGGGTATTAGTAAATGATAAACATGTGTACTATTTATATTTATGTGGCAATTTTGTACAATGATAAAATTTGCAATTCATCGGTCGGTTTCTGACTCAAACGGTCTGTAGTCAACCAGCTTCAGTAGCAGAGAGGCTTGTAAGATCATCTGACACATGATGTAACGGATGACTTTATTATTTATTTCTGACAAAAACATCTAACCAGAGTAGTCCCAGCATCTAGTTTTGACCTGTAAAGCCCTCCTAGGGTAGACACACTATGTGCTGATATTAGGAGCCAAGTCCACCATAGCCAAATTTGACTCGATCAAATTTAGTCGCCTTTTCCAACATGCAAAATAATTGTAAAGAAATATCCCCTATAGATAGTTTGGTCTTAAATTGTGATAAAATACTGAAAGAGTGGAGAACTCACAGGTTTGACAGCAGTCAGGATTCCGACATAGCCAGCGAAGTGGACGCCCTTGAAGAGTGTCTTGCCACCACGGGTATACTCAATGTTGACGATGAGGGGGCGGAGGAACTCGGAGATGTCCCACGTGTTGTTCTTTATGTCCCAGCTGGAAGACAGGGAAACCCCATTAATCATGACGTACCCAGTACAATTGTCTTTGTTATATTGTAATGGTCTCAACTACATATAGATCTTCCAAAAGGCATAGGTCAAGATGCTGCAAGGTTTCCTGGTAACCAGGGGTAACTATAGAGCTCCACTATATACAAAGTCAGCAGGTTTGTTTGGAGTAATTATTCCAAGGCAAACTCTTGATGGATATTGCACTGTTACAGCTCTGAACACCAAAATATAACACAAAGTTTCACTAGACAGGGATGTTCACACTCTCACCAGATTCCACTCACTCACCCTAAGAAGAGGCCGAAGTCCAAGTTCCCGGGCATGGAATAACTTTCCTGTAAAACCACCATCACAATACAGCGTCAATAATAGGGAAAGGGTATGGTAACATGATACATCGTCACATGATACATCTCAGTAGCTGGGTCAGGAATACACTTCATGGTAAAGGTTTACATCTACCAAAAATATCAAATAAAACCCCAAAAGGAAAACTGGCGAGAACATTCTTCATGGTAGAAGCTGACGACTAGTTATTCTCTAGTTCAGCTGACTTCTTTTTTCATTGTATAGAAAACATGTACATCCTCCCATGATGCACCCTGATGTGGAACATAAACTCAAACAGCATACAAGTTGATGTGTTTTGGGTCCAGCTCTGTAACATCCGTAGATCCACATCTGTGTATTGATACACTACTCTGCTATGTTAGTCCTATCACTCACATCTCTCTGCTAGGATACTCAGTAAATCACAAACTGGTCACCTCCAGGAAACAAATCTATCTGTTTGAGTAAACTGTCACATACTGTACCTGATGGGTCCTCAGCGACAATGGAGGTACAGACGGTGAAGAACTCGTAGAACAGATTGTACAACACGACCTCACCTGACATGGAGATTACATAACAAATTACCATGGTTAAAATCTAATCAATCTAAGAAGTACACCTACTCAGGGGTGGAAATGACCCATTGCCCACGTCCGAGTCCAGTGTTTTTTCTGTCGGGCAAGCAAATTTGTATATCACACTGTACCGGTGTCCAATTGATATTCCAATGTTAATTATGTTGTTTATTTTAAAAAATCAAAAGAAAACGTCCGGTATAGTGGAAAAATTATCAGGGCAAGTGATTTTACATGTGCCACTATTCCGCAGTACACTAGCAATTTTAAAGTTATTTCCACCCCTGCTACTGTTGAAATTAGGGCTGGGATGGGTCCAAATTTCCTACCCGGGTACCCCACCCTACCCGTTATGTCAATTCCTGACATCAAATTTGCAAGAAATGGCAACATATTCTTCAGACAATACATTTCTTTTGAGCATGAAAGAATAACATATTTCATTGTTTAATCTATTGGTCACATGATTATAACGGGTCTGGGTATTGAGATGGGTACCCGGGTCCAACTCATTACCCAACCGTCCCAGGTATCCAGGTTACCCGTCCCCGCCCTAGTTGAAATCATGGCACATCTTTTACATGAAATGAGTGATACTGCTGGAACACTGAAGGCCATCCTCGTATGACAGCCTGGGATACTGACTGAATGTTTTCAAGAGTTGAAAATAAACCTGATCCTTTTTGTACTTGTGTTGTACCAATATAATAAGGAAGATACAAATACACTGCAAACAAGACGCGAAGTGTCTGAGAGTGTGTACCGAGTTTCAGCCCCGACGCCTTTGAGATCCCACTCATCTCACCGGGAAATGGGTACGGTAGAGTCTTGTCCAGTGTGGGCTGGAATGATCAACATGGGAAACAGTCAAACAAGGGAAACAGTCAAACAATCAAACATGGGAAACAGTCAAACATGGGAAACAATCAAACAAGGGAAACAGTCAAACAATCAAACATGGGAAACAGTCAAACAATCAAACATGGGAAACAGTCAAACAATGGAAACAGTCAAACAATCAAACATGGGGAAAAGTCGACCAATCAACTCTAGAAGACAGCTTACTGTGTATGCATTGTGTACACTCTGTGTGAGGATGGATGCAGATGTCCCTGCTGTCCTCTCAGGGCCATCCTCAAGGATATATTTACTTGACCTACCATTTCAGGTAGAGTTAAAGTATGGACACACTGAATCCCTTCCAATTATGACTTCAGACAAAACGATCTAGATCCATTACCATGATTAGCTATGGAGAAACCTATAAAACATTACTCAGTTCTCAGAGATAATCACAGTCGTACATTCATCTTAGTAGTTTTATCAGCCAAACAAACTATCAATCGCTCTGCACCTACAAAACACAGTTGGTCCGGAGCAGTGTAACAACAATTCCTTTTATATTTTAATGAATATTCTTGAATATATAGCTTGCTGCGATCTGATGATCACATGACTATATATGTCCCGGCCAGTGAATAATTGACTTATTATCAAATAAAAGAGTTTGACTTACAAAGTTATTGTCCACCCAGTCAATGACACCCTGTGCCTTTGGCGTCCAGTCCAGGGCATATTTCTTAAACTCTGCCAGGATATTCCTGATCTGAGGAGTAAACACATAGCTAGTAAGGAATCCCAATGTAACCCATCTATGTACGTGTCTGTCGCAATCTGGGGCTCATACACAGGAAGAGTTTGTGTCGATGTCGTAACCTTGTGATGCAATGGCACTTTTTGCAGGATAAGCATTGAGTTTACAGGACAGCACATGACTTCAAAACTTCAGCAACATTTCATTCTGAGCATATCTAGAATTAACATGAATAAATGGACAATTATCTTTAATCTTTGTCATGACTATTTGAAAACACATAGAAAAATCCAGTCAAATGATTAGATTTCCTTTTATCCAGAGGTTAACCATATATATACACACTTAAGTGCATAATGTAAACTTCGAAAAACACCAAAAATATTATGCCCTTCGATAATGAGGTCATTTACTACCACCAAATGAGGTCACATGGCAAGTCAACTATCACTGTCCTCACAAGAAAGTCACATGACTTAATTAATTTGTCATCAGCTTCTTTTCCGACGCCATTTCCAGGCAAATAGGAAACAGATTTGCCAACAGTTTTAAAACAGGTATTTTGACATAAGTACTTAGGCGGCTTATTTAATTATTTTCAAACTAGTTTTGCAGACATGTTATGAGACTGCTGTTTAGGTGTACAACCATCGCGCCCGAGATCAGTTCGCAGCACTGAGTCAGTTATGCAGTGCATGATGTGATTTTCGATGGAAGCAAATTCTTATGAATTTTTGCTTGTCACCAATAATAGCAACACAGTTCCAGGAGTGAGCTAAATATATCCACGTATATCCAGGTGAGCTAAATATATCCACCTATATCCAGGTAAGCTAAGAGTGACCTTCACCTGTACTGCCTTATCTTCCACTACATGCGTCCACCTCTGTTCTGGGGGAAGGTCAAGGTTAACCACATAGGTCTTGACCTTCTTCCTGGAAATGGAAGAATATTGAGCTATTAAATGGCTTGCAGGAAATTAGTAATGAAGCAGCTCTAATCATGTCATATTTGTTAAATCATCCTTGGTGTATATAATCAAGCATTTAAGTCCTGACGTCACCTGCACACATTGGGGGACGCCCAAGATTCAAATACTAGAGCAGCATACCTCACAAACCCACAGTGCACTGAGCTATATTTCAGTTTTAGTTGTTCCTGAATAGAGGTTTCACATTTTTCTTATAAGTTTATCCTATATGTCTGATACCCGTGAAGATCTGGTTAAGCATTGGTCTTCAGTAACCCGTGCTTGTCGTAAGAGGCGACTAACGGGATTGGGTGGTCAGGCTCGCTGACTTGGTTGACACATGTCATCATATCTCAATTGTGTAGATGGATGCTCATGCTGTTGATCACTGGATTGTCTGGTCCAGATTTGATTGTTTACCGACGATCGCCATATAGCTGGAATATGCTGAGTGCATGATATGTTCGGACTGATTGCTCATTTAGTGACTTGCTATGGATGATTAAAGGCTTCTATAGATTGAAATATGATTGAAAAATGTAACAGGCAAAAAGTAAAACTAAGTTCTCTCAGAGACAGAGAACAGAGACAACTTGTCAATCAAGAACAGAGGCAACTTGTCAATCAAGAACATAGACAACTTGTCAATCAAGAACAGAGGCAACTTGTCAATCAAGAACATAGACAACTTGTCAATCAAGAACAGAGGCAACTTGTCAATCAAGAACAGAGACAGAACAGAGACAACTTGTCAATCAAGAACAGAGACAGAACAGAGACAACTTGTCAATCAAGAACAGACAGAACAGAGACAACTTGTCAATCAAGAACAGACAGAACAGAGACAACTTGTCAATCAAGAACAGAGGCAACTTGTCAATCAAGAACAGAGACAGAACAGAGACAACGTGTCAATCAAGAACAGAGACAACTTGTCAATCAAGAACAGAGACAACTTGTCAATCAAGAACAGAGACAGAACAGAGACAACTTGTCAATCAAGAACAGAGACAACTTGTCAATCAAGAACAGAGACAGAACAGAGACAACTTGTCAATCAAGAACAGAGACAGAACAGAGACAACTTGTCAATCAAGAACAGAGACAGAACAGAGACAACTTGTCAATCAAGAACAGAGACAAGAACAGAACAGAGACAACTTGTCAATCAAGAACAGAGGCAACTTGTCAATCAAGAACAGAGACAGAACAGAGACAACTTGTCAATCAAGAACAGAGGCAACTTGTCAATCAAGAACAGAGACAGAACAGAGACAACTTGTCAATCAAGAACAGAGACAACTTGTCAATCAAGAACAGAGACAACTTGTCAATCAAGAACAGAGACAACTTGTCAATCAAGAACAGAGACAACTTGTCAATCAAGAACAGAGACAGAACAGAGACAACTTGTCAATCAAGAACAGAGACAACTTGTCAATCAAGAACAGAGACAGAACAGAGACAACTTGTCAATCAAGAACAGAGACAACTTGTCAATCAAGAACAGAGACAGAACAGAGACAACTTGTCAATCAAGAACAGAGACAACTTGTCAATCAAGAACAGAGACAACTTGTCAATCAAGAACAGAGACAACTTGTCAATCAGTGATGACAACATCATGTCAGGTGACAGGCCATATTCTAATCACACGATCGTGGTAATGTCTGATAATGCTTGACATCCTTATCTTATCATAGGGAATATCATGAAAACTGTAACAGTGCTGGACTTAACCATCAACAACTAATATGAAATATGTTTTGAATAAGTTAATAAACTACTTTAGCCAAATGTCAGAAATCAGAACAGTGTTCTACTTAGGAAAATGGTTGAAATGAAGTGAACATAGTTGTTGATTTGTCACTGAAGGTCATGGCCACACACCATGGGACATTTTAAGGTTGGTTGTTTGTTTTTTGTCTCCCAAACCAAAGAAAATACATTACAAATTGAGTCCACCTAAAGTCTAGAGTGATTTGGCAAGTTTAAATTTCCTCAATTGGAATTTAGAACTATTCAGAGTGATGTTGCACAAAGTGGTCTCAGTGCTAACTCCCATACCTAAACAGAATTACAGCAGTCATGGCTTTCTTTTCAATTATATATTTTTTTACAGATGTATATTATAAAAAAATATAATATTATTTCTGTGAGTAAATCTCAGTCTATCCCTCCCCTCTCAAATAATTTGGCCCCATATACCCACAGAGTATTTAATTAAAAGGAAAAAGCATGCCATGGCCTGACCTAAATATACTTGTCCATTTTATGGACATTTCTTGCTGGACTTTCACAACTTACTCTATAGAAGGTGGGTAAGTGCCTCGAACACAGCTCTCGTTGTACTGAAACAAAGACATAACACTGTTATACCTGGTGGGGTGACGAGGGAAAACTGTACACTGGGTGTATGTCCTCCTCAACCATCTGTCAACTCCAGGAAAATGTTACAAGTGTAAGAATGTGTCCAAACTTCTAATTAACAAAATACTGCAAAATCATTTTATTTTCAAACTTAATGTCCTAAATACTACCAGAATGAACTGATTAACTGCAGACTGACAGACAAGTTCAGCACCACCCCAGCCTTAAGTAACAGAGGATACTGAACGATCTTCAGTGTAAATTATAATACCATTTTTATTAAAAGAGTATCAATCTCACTGTCTCTATTTTGATACTAAATCTTTCACGAGTTTAATAAAATGGTATTACATGGAAGCGAGTTTAGTATTCTGTTTATTACTCTCCAACATAAATTGATAGAAACTACCTACAGTGTGATGACTCTCAGCTTTCTGCAAGTCAAGCAAGGTCTCATACTATTTAACGTCATAACTGTAGGGGTGGTGGGGTAGCCTAGTGGTTAAAGCGTTAGCTCGTCACGCTGAAGACCCGCGTTCGAATCCCCACATGGGTACAATGTGTGAAGCCCAATTCTGGTGTCCCCTGCCGTGATGTTGCTGGAATATTGCTAAAAGCGGCGTAAAACCAAAACTCAGTCAGTCAGTCATAACTGTAAATCGTTATGACGTTATACCTCTAGTGGTATTACACTAGTGTAATATTGCCGTAAATATATTACACTGCAGTATCTTCCACGGGAGAGTAATAAGTACATTTATTACATTTTCTGATGCTTGGATATTAACAATGAAAAAGCCTTGGTAAGGACTGTTGGTATTGACACTGCCAACCATGATGTATGAATTATATACCCAGTGTTACCTTCAAATTAAATTTCCCTGTCAACCTAAAGCTACACAAGTTATGTCAACAGCTGTCAAGATATGAAGAGGAATTGTCCTAATAATTCTTGATATGCAATCTCAAACCATAAATTTCAAAAATGGGAAATACTATTACCCATGTTAAGATTTTGGGGAAATTATGTTTTCCTGAGAGGTTATTAAAATATGTATTTCAATAAATGATACACTTCTTATTTTGAATCTATATTTGCGTTATGACCAGTATAATCTGTAAACAAAACAATCAACTACCAGCCTGTTTCACACTTGTTTCATTAATGCACTAAAACTAAACCTTTCATCACACATTAATAGCCTAATGGAACAGTTTTTCAAAAGAAGCAAATTTTGTTTGACCTTTTATACATGATACACAAGCATGACAATATTTATGACCAATCCCAATTTCCTTAAACTTGAGATAAAGAGTCAACTCTCATCTGCACCAGGATGTAGCAAAGATCTGTATACAAGGAAGCTGATTCATGGATGTGGCTGACAAACTGTACACATGATCATATAGACAAAACACCCACACTAGTTGTATCACAATGACAGTGCTAAATGAATGAACCAATTAATGATAAATATAATAAAATAGTCTCATTAAACTTGGACTGAAATTGTGCAGTCTGTGATTGTTGACATATTCAATGTATAAAATAGTTTTGAAAAGTGACCAGTCCTGAACAAACACAGCACGTCCCAAAGACTAAAACAATAAATTCTAGCACGACAATGTGTGATACTCGATTCTGATTGGCTAAGAGCTCATCAAAACCGTACTTAAATGACAGTTGAAGGACCGCTAATTAAAGTGACCGATTCACCGCGTATGAATACAACGAACTCGTTGACCCTATTGTTTGTAAACAAACATGTCGGACATCGGCAATTTCTATCTCGGCAGCATCTTTGGTGTTTTTGAAGTAAAAAGCGAATGGTTTGAAGAAGAATTTCTTGACCCTAATCCCAGTGAAGAAACTACGAAGCTGGGAAATCTGTCAGCAGTGCAAAAGCGACAGTATATTCAAAGCTGGTCCAGATCTACGAGTGTTGACGTCAACAACACACGCCGCCCACTGCGCCCTAACCTGACCGCTTCCGTCCCAGCCGTAATGCCCAGTCCTTCCACTTCCACTGTCCATGTATCCCACATAAAACATGGCATGTCAGGTCTTTTCCAAATTGGGAATAGTAGGGTGGTTAACAACAATTATTTCCGTGAATAAAGTTAGCGGCAACTAAACTTAGCGAGTTCACGGCTTGCATTTGGGCGAGTTGATTGTCATACAGCATGGGAGATCAATAATTCGCTTGAGAAAAATCAAATAATTGTACTTGCTCACAGTATAAACTGTATTTTTGTTAATTTATGTATGCTACTTTTTACAAATACAAGCATACTGGTTCCTGAAATATAGCATTTATGTTGTTGAAAATGTCTTATTTTGTTCATTACACAACCTGTCCCTCAACGGGATGATTCCAAGCGATTTCCAGGAAAAAGGCCCCTTTGCGCCTTGTGTTCTTGCGCGCCAAACAGTTCGGTTTTAAAACGCTTATCAGTTGTGCTAGAATGAAGATAAAGCTACTCTGTTTTCAATTTTGCGGTCCTTTATCATTGACTTAAGATTTAAATCAACGATAAAGGACTGCAAAATTGAAAACAGAGTAGCTTAAATCAACGATAAAGGACCGCAAAATCTCTGAATGTCAGTGATACACATAAAGGGGGGAATGTATGGATGTCAACTTCTGTAAAATGAGGAATATGATAAGTAAATTCTTAGTCAGTCCTTGTGAATAGACTGGTTGTCCACATCACATACTTTATGTTCCCCTCTGACAAGTGTAACATGCCAGGGCTCCCATCAGAGAAAGCTATGAATACATGATGACTTTTAGAATGTGGTCAAATGTAGCATATAGTTATCTGTGGTGTAGAGATTACTTACTGACAGTTCGTCACTCACTCACTCACTCACTTACTGACAGTTATATTGCCACATATGATAAACAACAGTCAGCATCCCAGATAGCATGCGGACGTTGGCCCAGTGTTGGCAATGTTGGCAAAACCATTGCCAAAGTTGGGCCAACGTCTGAATACTATCTAGGATGCTTCATTACCATATCTTCATACAGACTTTGAACCCACACACATGTACAGATGTGGACCAAATTGTTACTGTCTCTTTATAGATCAAGTTTGTTGTACATAGCTTTCTGATTAACAAGTTTATTTATCACATTCATATCAAAACAATTTTACTAAAATAAATTAAAAGAAAGAATTTCCCCTTAGTAAAATAAACTTAAAAGCTTATACAATACATGGATCATTTTTTGAGAAGCAATAAATGCAGGATTATAATATAGATCATACAGTTAGAGTAGAAGCACACTAAGTCTTGTATTTGACATTTTTCATCAATAATAGTTCAGCTATGGAAATAAAACATGGTAAAAATGTTTTTATCACTTTTATCATAGGTGGATCCAGGGTGTCCGCACCCCAGCCCTTTGGTCCTGAAAGTTTATTAAATGACCATTGAAAACGTGTTAACATGAAGTGTGCACCCCTCCTTTCTCAAGAGTGTGCACCTCCCCGCTTCGCAAAAAGCTGTATCCGCGCCTGATTATGTCCGTGTATTGTTTTGAAAAACTAAACTTATTATCAATAAAATCTTAGAAATCCCACATGTAAATGATAAAATATCTTAATTTGCATGAATTAAAGAATTTAATGAAGTTCTTGAATGGCATTTAGAACTTGGACGAACTTGAATACATGACACGTTTTATTCACCTGATGAAGGAGCAAGAATTACCTCTGAAATGTCGTATAGAATCAGAGACCATATAATAGAATAAACAGAAGTTGTTATCCATAAAATATTTCACGTATTCAAAAATGTAATACAAAAATATGACACAAAGAAGTATTAACAGAAAAACCATAAACCTATAAAAACAATTGTGACAGTTTTATCTAACGTTCATACAGAAATAATGCGATGACAATAAGAGTTTGCCAAATTATTCTAACTGCAATTTGCAAATCGTGCAGCCGATGACAAAACCACCAGAGGCACCACGGGAACTTAATGACAGTTCAGGTTACCTTGGGGGTCTGTGCCACCGAAACGACAACGCATCCCATCAACACGCCAACCGTCCACAGCATTTTGTTCTGTGTGAGTAAACGTACAGCTGTGGTGGTTCCCCACGGTCCGTTCCCCACAGATAAAGTGTCAGTGTCACATGACAACAAATGCACGCTTACAGTACTTCCGGGTTTATTGCGCATGACCCAATGAAGTTGTGCGGAAATACGAACCGGTTTCTCTTTTTCGACATACAAAGCGTGAGTAAATCTAGAACCGGTTTGATGTATTAGCACATCCGGGATGAGTTGAGCTGACGCACTGGCAGAAGACTGTTAGCATCTCTATATCTGTTTGTCTATATTCACACCATTTAAATTGAATCAGTTTCAAAATGTCGGAAGTAAGTACCCGTAGTATTCTATATCGGAACGTGAAAATATGCGAACTAATTAGATAAGCCCAATAGCAAACCCGCTGAAAATATTGATGTGTTGAATTAAAAAGTCGTGTACTGCTACGTTGTCGTTGAATCTGATATTTCATGGCGAGTCATGACAGCTGCAAGTGGTGTTAGCTTTAACAGACTCGATCGATCAGCCAGATGTTTAACATGTTTAACGAACAACATTCTCGATGCGAATGCCACCCACGGGATGTTGTGTAACATGGGAGTTTTTTGCACGCACTCTCTGCCCAGAGGTTTGTCTACATGCACTGAATTCTGTTCTATCAGGCAGTACTTATATCAGCTAGGTGACATCAAAGACATCTCCTAGGAGTTATTGCTTCAGTGAAATTACATCCCAAGGTTCCGTTGGTCCTTTATGATATCGTCGCTTTACTACGTTGACGTGACTGTAAAATTTCCAGGACATCAACACGGATGTCACTGTTGATGATGTCACACATCTTTGCATTTGTGTGATCCCATGTCATCTGTTAATATCTCCAGAAGTAATGTCACACATCTTTGCATGCCTTCATTCATGATATTTCACAACAATTAATGACAAGAACTTCGGCAGGAGGATGCTTAGAACTAGTGCAGAAACTTGTACTGCTGGTTATGGTGTTCATCCATGTCTATTGGCTGACGAACAGTTATCGCCATATTTTAACGATATTGTCGAAATTACTCAGCCGTTCGTTAAATTAATGAAACAAAAAATTAATCATGATACGAACAGTTATCACCATTTCAGAATTTCTAATGTCATTCGTGAAATAATATATATTTATATCATAAAGTAACCTCGAATAATTTATTGTGGGACTAATTGAGTGTTTTTCACAGTAGACTGACAGGGAATGAAACAATTAATGACTGTTGTGTACTTAAACTTACTATTATAAAGATCGTGCGCAACATCCCCCCGACTAAGTTGAAAAGATATTATAGGGTTCATAACTTTATCCTCTATTTTTCCCTTATGTTACTTACCGTGAAGAATTTTTTTTGCTGTCCTTTATTGTTGTCAAATACCGTAGGAAAAAATACTGGAATTGTAATTGACTGGAACTGTGCACACGTGATACTGATGTATTGGCGATAACTGTTACGCGCGGCGATAACTGTTCGGTAGCCAGTACTGTTTTGATTCCTGCACATCCTAGTATGTCAATCCTTCAGGTTACCCACGTCTTTACCATGGAGATGACCTGCGAGGGATGCTCAGGAGCAGCAGAGAGGGTCCTCAAGAAACGGTGTAAGTTATCTTATAACCATGGAAACATTTCCACCTCCATTCCTGATGTGCTAACACAATTTTACTGCAATACTCCAACTTTCTGCTGACCTAGGAAGTGAGAAGAATCTAAAATATGTTGTGTTAAACCTGAATGTACTAAAGTTAATATGTTTGAACATTGAGGTTTGCACGGACACTGCTGCCACCATCATGGATGTCAAACCAGCATTAATTGTTTGGCTCTGTGTCATCCAGTCAGCTTGATGTTTTATTCACTCCTTGTCTCTACAGCAGAAAATACGAACATCCAAACAGACCTAGCCTCACAGAAGGTGACTGTGACCTCAACACTTTCAGCTGACGATCTCTTGGATATCCTGAAGAAGACTGGAAAGAAGGTCTCTTACGATGGCAAACAGTAGTGACAGCAGGTGAACATGTTACTCCACTAGTCCCGACACAACCCTCCACTAGTCCAGACACAATCTTCCACTAGTCCAGACTCAATCCTCCACTTGTGCAGACACAGTCCCTCACTAGCCAAGAAACAATCATCCATCAGTCCAGACACAATCATCCTCTACTCCAGAAGCAATCATCCACTACTCCAGATACAATCATCCACTACTCCAGACACAATCATCCACTACTCCAGAAACAATCATCCAGTAGTCCAGAAACAATCATCCACTACTCCAGACACAATCATCCACTACTCCAGAAGCAATCATCCACTACTCCAGAAGCAATCATCCAGTAGTCAAGAAGCAATCATCCACTAGTCCAGACACAATCATCCACTAGTCCAGAAGCAATCATCCAGTAGTCCAGACACAATCATCCACTACTCCAGAAGCAATCATCCACTAGTCCAGAAACAATCATCCACTAGTCCAGACACAATCATCCAGTAGTCCAGACACAATCATCCACTACTCCAGAAACAATCATCCACTAGTCCAGAAACAATCATCCACTAGTCCAGACACAATCATCCACTAGTCCAGAAACAATCATCCACTACTCCAGAAACAATCATCCACTAGTCCAGAAGGAATCATCCAGTAGTCCAGAAGCAATCATCCACTACTCCAGAAGCAATCATCCAATAGTCCAGGCACAATCATCCACTAGTCCAGACACAATCATCCAGTAGTCCAGAAGCAATCATCCACTACTCCAGACACAATGATCCAATAGTCCAGAAACAATCATCCAGTAGTCCAGAAACAATCATCCAATAGTCCAGAAGCAATCATCCAGTAGTCCAGACACAATCATAAACTTGTCAAGAAACAATCATCCACTACTCCAGACACAATCATCCACTACTCCAGAAGCAATCATCCAGTAGTCCAGAAGCAATCATCCACTAGTACAGACACAATCATCCACTACTCCAGAAGCAATCATCCACTAGTCCAGAAACAATCATCCACTAGTCCAGACACAATCATCCAGTAGTCCAGACACAATCATCCACTACTCCAGAAACAATCATCCACTAGTCCAGAAACAATCATCCACTAGTCCAGACACAATCATCCACTAGTCCAGAAACAATCATCCACTACTCCAGAAACAATCATCCACTAGTCCAGAAGGAATCATCCAGTAGTCCAGAAGCAATCATCCACTACTCCAGAAGCAATCATCCAATAGTCCAGGCACAATCATCCACTAGTCCAGACACAATCATCCAGTAGTCCAGAAGCAATCATCCACTACTCCAGACACAATGATCCAATAGTCCAGAAACAATCATCCAGTAGTCCAGAAACAATCATCCAATAGTCCAGAAGCAATCATCCAGTAGTCCAGACACAATCATAAACTTGTCAAGAAACAATCATCCACTACTCCAGACACAATCATCCACTACTCCAGAAGCAATCATCCAGTAGTCCAGAAGCAATCATCCACTAGTCCAGACACAATCATCCACTACTCCAGAAACAATCATCCACTAGTCCAGAAACAATCATCCGCTTGTCCAGACACAGTCATCCACTAGTCCAGAAACAATCATCCTGTAGTCCAGAAACAATCATCCACTACTCCAGAAACAATCATCAAGTAGTCTAGAAACAATCATCCACTAGTCCAGAAACAATCATCCGCTTTTCCAGAAACAATCATCCACTACTCCAGACACAATCATCCACTACTCCAGAAACAATCATCCACTACTCCAGAAACAATCATCCACTAGTCCAGAAGCAATCATCCAGTAGTCCAGACACAATCATCCACTACTCCAGAAACAATCATCCACTACGCCAGAAACAATCATCCAATAGTCCAGACACAATCATCCACTACTCCAGAAACAATCATCCACTACTCCAGATACAATCATCCACTACTCCAGAAACAATCATCCACTACTCCAGACACAATCATCCACTACTCCAGAAGCAATCATCCACTACTCCAGATACAATCATCCACTACTCCAGAAACAATCATAAACTACCCCAGATACAATCATCCATCAGTCCAGACACAATCATCCACTACTCCAGAAGGAATCATCCACTACTCCAGATACAATCATCCACTACTCCAGAAACAATCATCCAATAGTCCAGACACAATCATCCAGTAGTCCAGACACAATCATCCACTAGCCCAGAAACAATCATCCATCAGTCCAGACACAATCATCCACTACTCCAGAAGCAATCATCCACTACTCCAGATACAATCATCCACTACTCCAGACACAATCATCCAGTAGTCCAGACACAATCATCCAGTAGTCCAGAAGCAATCATCCAGTAGTCCAGAAGCAATCATCCACTACTCCAGACACAATCATCCAAAAGTCCAGACACAATCATCCCCTAGTCCAGAAACAATCATCCAGTAGTCCAGAAGCAATCATCCACTACTCCAGAAACAATCATCCGCTTGTCCAGAAACAATCATCCAATATTCCAGACACAATCATCCATCAGTCCAGACACAATCATCCTCTACTCCAGAAGCAATCATCCACTACTCCAGACACAATCATCCACTAGTCCAGAAGCAATCATCCACTAGTCCAGAAGCAATCATCCAATAGTCCAGAAGCAATCATCCACTAGTCCTGGCACAATCCTCCACTAGTCCAGACACAATCATCCACTACTCCAGAAACAATCATCCACTAGTCCAGAAGCAATCACTCACTACTCCAGAAGCAATCATCCACTACTCCAGAAGCAATCATCCACTACTCCAGATACAATCATCCACTACTCCAGAAACAATCATAAACTACCCCAGATACAATCATCCATCAGTCCAGACACAATCATCCACTACTCCAGAAGGAATCATCCACTACTCCAGATACAATCATCCACTACTCCAGAAACAATCATCCAATAGTCCAGACACAATCATCCAGTAGTCCAGACACAATCATCCACTATCCCAGAAACAATCATCCATCAGTCCAGACACAATCATCCACTACTCCAGAAGCAATCATCCAC